TGAATGTTATATAACCTACTAGCTAAAGGGCCCGGCGTTACCCATGGAAAAAAAAGAAAAAGAAAAAAGCAAAAGAAAAAATTTAAGAAAAAAATTTCATATTTTTTTAACCTATAACACCCTCCGGCCACCCATGCGTCTCCACAAAAAATTTCAGCCCAATCGGTTCAGCCGTTTGGCCGGCTATACGCAACATATATATGAATGTCTTGTTTTGTAATATAGATAACAGTATGTTATCTATTTTGATATTTCTGCAGGGTGTTCCAATAAAAACTGAAATTAAGTGTCGTCTTTTAGTATTATTCTGGCAACTACCAACATCAAAGAAAATAGTTTAGTCCATTTTACAAATTGGCGAGAGTTTTTAAAGAACTGTAACATAGGTCTTGTCACAAATTGAGTCTATATCTTTGCAACCTGGTGATGTGAACCATTTTTTCAAACTTAGACTTTCTAATCTAACTAGAGTTAGATTTTAGCATAGTTTGATCAAAGATCTACGACTTCCGGTTATTGAGTTATTGACTCGACAAAGACTCAAATTCTTTGTGTCCAGATTTGATTTTCTTAACTGTAACCAAATTTGTTCAAATGTTTAATATCTCCAAGTTACACAAAAGAAAGGCTCATTCGGAAAATCAGGTGTCATTTTTTATCAATAGGAAATTGAAGACGATATTAAAGTCGTCTTTTAACTCCATTGTTTATCGAGACATCCAGTAAAAATGATGGCTTATAATTTTCACAGACACGTGTGCATATGTTAAAAATTAAAGATGTTTGACAATTTAAAGAATCAATTAGGAAAATATTTTAGATTTCTTTTTTAGATTCTGGCAATTTTTTTTAAATTTTTCTGCGCATAATTGTGTCGCCAATCGAAAATCGAAAAAACGATGATCTGGCATGTTCTGTTTTAAAATGTGGATTTTTATAATAATATTGCATTCAACATTATTTAAAAATAGCACAGTCAGAATTTGATAAGAATTAAAGAGCTGAGTAATCATAAAAATATTATGGACCTGGTCTTAGAATAAATTGGAAATCATATGAAAACAATGAATTTGATCCTCTAAATTTCTGACTTTATTTTATTTAAACAGTCTCAGTCGTAAAATGTATAAAAAAGTATCGTTTTTCGATTTTTGACATTTTTTAATGCACAAAATTAAGACATTCCCCGTGATTTCAAATTTGCATAAAAAAGCTTTTGCGTCAGATATTAAAGGGAGTGTTCGCGAAAAATGAAGGCAGGTATAGGCTTATGGCGAATAATAAGCGCCTTTGATCGCTACTAACCTTACTTCTATCTGTTCCGTCTATAAGGAGAAAATTGTTAAACACGACTCATTCCGAAGAACGTAGCGTCCATACAAATTCAGAAAGTTCCAACATTCAACTCGAATCGTTAAAAAATATATTTAATTTTTAAACAAATCATTCAGATATTAAACCAATCATCATCGATAATTTTTCGACGCATTCGAATATAGTTGATATTTCATAAATTTATTTTTTATGATCTGATAGTTGCTTTGATAATTAAGACGACATTTTATATTTTCCAGGAATGTTCAAAATCCAGCGCCAACGAAATGTCATTTAAAAAAAACAAAATCAAAAATATTATAAAATATTAACTATATACGAATGCTATTTCTTGTAAGATCCGAATGATTTGTTTGGAATTACATTGATTATTTTACGATCCGAGTTGAATGTTGCAACTTTCTGAATTTGTATGGACGCTACGTTCTTTGGTATAAGTCGTTTTTAACAATTGTCTCTTTATAGACACAACAGATAGAAGTAAGAAGCGCAAATTTTTCGCCGTAAGCCTTAAACCCCCTTTCATTTTTCGCGGACACTCCCTTCAAGTGGTATTTGTAATGATAAAACGACTTTTTCTTTGCATTAAACCTTGATTACATTTTTAATCATCTTTGTTATTAAAAACTAGTATTGACAAAACAGTTTTAATCTCATGTTTGTTAACAAAACAAATGTCAATCTTTTAATGTCAACAGAGAAAACAATAATTTAAAAATCTACATCAAAACTGCACATTTTTTCAAAATAACTTTTGAAGAATGTATCAAATGATCATAAAGCAGAAAGTTTTCATGTTCTTCCCTGTTGTTCTTCCCTGATTTGCAAAAAAAAGAGAAACTTGGTAAAAGAAATAGATTTTGACTGATGTTTATTTGAATAAAAATAAATGTTGGCACAGCACCAATTTCAAGTTTATTATTTAAATAAAATTCTAGATATTTTGAAACACAAAATGCCGATTAAACTAATAAATAAAAAAATAAATTTAAAAAATTTGACAAACAAAAATTAGATAAAAGCAAATATTATATTTTTCTACCCTTATAATTGATATGCATAAATAATTATAATTAATCCTATTTATGTGAACTGAACTTAATAATAATAGAAAGCCAAAATTAAATGATAACTTTATTTTATATTAAAACCATATTTTATATACGCACTATACAGTGAGCACCATAAAACTCTGGAAGAGAAAATGACTTTTAGACTCAATTTATGATTGTAAATAGTCCAACTAATGTAAGACAGGCAACTGTGCTGTGTATACAGACCTATTTCACTTAATTATAGCGAGTTAATAAGTTACTAAGTATATATAACTATTTCCGTTGTAAAAACATCGAATACACTTAATTATTACTTTAATGTCGTCTTCTTAAACCACAGTATTTAGATTCTTACTGTATATTTAGTATGATACTGTTACCTGCAGAAAGAATGAGAATCTGAGACGACAGTGAGGAATTTATTCACTCTTCTCAACACATAAAAACCTTCAAATCGTCAAGATTTTAGAGTTTCAATCTGCCCAACGATTGTTATACAGATTTTTGCACGTTATATTTATGTATAGTACATTGTAGTAACTATATTATACCAATTTTTGTATAATATGATAATATGTAGATAGAGGATTATATTCATTAATTTGGCAGGGATAAATGAAAGCAAACAAGGTTAGGCACGTTTATTCATTCATCTCCGGTCAAGATTATACCATCTCCTATTTCCATCATTAAGGACAAGCGAAAATCTCTAATAAAAAAATCCTAAATCTATTTTTCATTATTAGGCTTGCGTGTCGCTTCACAGTCTCTTTCATATTATAAATCCTAACTCTATTTTTCATTATTAGGCTTGCGTGGCGCTTCGCAGTCTCTTTCATATAATAAATCCTAACTATATTTTTCATTATTAGGCTTGCGTGGCGCTTCGCAGTCTCTTTCACATAAAAAATCGAATGTTTCTTTAGGGTAACCATTTCCTTCGCAATCGTATGCATGGTACTAAAAACCATTAATGTAAAATTTGGCGTATTTTTTTAATTGAGACCCTTTATGAACTTTTTCTAGGGTCGTGTCAGTTAGCGGAAAAACTGTTGGTCTAATCGATTCGGCTGTTTTGACGTTTATTGGAAACAATCAAACAAAACTATCTGACATACATAAAGCCAAGTTTATACATAAATCACGCACCTCTGACCCTTTAGTAAAAGTAAATTCAACCTAAAGTCTGACCGCGTCAACCTTGTTGGACGGGCTATTCCTATAGAGTGTCTGCTTTATTTAGCCAATGTTAGGGCGATACGGTACAAACTGGGACCGGAAAGGTTGACCCGGCTCGGAAATTCAAATGTACTGCCCGTGAAATAAGTTTGCATGGTTTTTTTGAGTCGTAGCCAAATAAAAAGCAAATTATGAAAACTTAACATTTTGCTATGAATTGGCAAATTTTAAAATTGGACCAATTCCATGAAAACTAGAAACTGGAAAACTGAATTATTCAAAACAACTTCACAAAGTTAAGTTAAGTCTTCAAGACTGATTGGATGGAAAAACATTTTAACTTTCAAAACTTTTTGTTTTGGTAAGAGCTAACTCACAAACAGCTTTCTGTATCTGAACGTTTCTCATTTCATTTAATTTAGTGCATCGCTCGCCCGCCTATATTTTGAAATCACTAAAAATCATCTCAACCGATCCGTCCTTATTTTTTTCCCGGAACCTCCCCTTTTTATTTGAAAACTAAAAGAAAATTCTTCCAAAAATTGTTATTAAACAAGTTTGATTTTAAGCATTGAATAAAAATAAAAAATAAAAATACCAAAAACAAGCCAATTTATATAGAGTAACGTAAAGGCATATGATATTTTACAGGGTCGCAATAAGGGGTGCTTACCTCTTCTAATAGTTCAATTAATGTTCTAAAAAACTGGTTAAAAGATGGTGCCCCCTGCCCCCCCCCCACATCTCTCTATCACTCCTTGTTAAATCGAAGAGAAAGGATGGTTGCATTGAGCTCCATCCTTGCCAATATCTTCTTATTTATATTAACAATAAAATATATATTATTTTACTACCAATCCCTTTATATCCTTCCCTATCTTTATAATACATATATCAACTGTACTTTTAATATTTGATTTCATTAGAATCCAGGGAAATTGAATCCAAGAGCGCTGAACCTTTTATTATCTTTCCAGGAGGCGCTCAGGCCATCTTAGCCACCTTCATACCCCTTGGGAATCAACTTTTACTAATCCAGGGAAGGTCTCATCCCCTTAACGCCCCTGATTTTTTCAATTTTTCCCCACTCTAAGTCTTTTTTTAAAATTTAAATACTTATTCATAAATTAATTTATCAGCAATGAAGTTTATTAGGATTTGCAAACTATAAACAACTGTAATGATTTCACGTGGTTTAATTTTTTCAATGTCTAAATCGGCGAGTCAGCTTTTTGCAGAAACCACAATTAGATGAAATTTTTTTTTAGAAGGAAAAAAATACGGATATTTCTTTATTTTTGTATAGGCAAATGTTTAAAAGGGTTCCTTTGAGAATCGAGCATATTCTTTTCACATTGAAATTACGTGGACTGACTCTTTATCCTAAATATCTGACCTGTCCCTTTATAATTTTTTATTACTTTCAGATGGAGATGTTTTGAATAATGTCCGGGGGTAAAAGACCCAGTATCATGCAGCAGGCCCAGCATAGAACTAAAGAAGAGGAGAAGAGGATTCACCAGGTAAATATTGAAAAATATTCAGAGATAGAAAAGAATGTAAAATGTGATAAAGGTAATCAAGTTTCAGATCTTCAGTCTGTAGAAGTTCAACAGACGCCTTGTGAATAATTTATACCAAGTGTCTACTTCCCTTCAATCTTTCTTAACCTGGCCCTTCAACCCGTTCCTTCATCCAACCCTTCATCCCATCCCTTCCCTTCATCCCATCCCTTCATCCCGTGCCTCCATCCTGTTCTCTCTCTCTCTCTCTCTTCTCCTATTTCTGATTTGTCAAAGGAATTGAGTCTTTGTCACAAACTCTGATTTTCTGATTCCTATATCTTTCCAGTCCAATGTTGTAGACATTTGACATTTCAAACTATGACTTCTGTTAGATAAAATAATATAAGTTTGAAATATCAAAGGTTTACGACATAGGATTCAAAAGATATAAGGATTAGAAAATCAGAATTTGTGGCAAAGACTCAATTCCTTTCCTGTAATTTAATCTTTTTCCCCCAAATTATATCCCTTCCCCCTTCATAATGATAGCATTACCTTCTCCTCCTTCAGAAGAATTTAAAATTGAGATAATTGAGATTGTAGTTTATTTATTGTTGTGTTTTATCCCGAGTAAAATATACGTGATCGATAAATACCTCTAATCAGATTATATCTAAAAATAGCAAATGTTTACAATATTTTGCTCATTTTTGTATCAATTATGATAATATTAAAGTAATTTAACGATCAAAATAAAAAATAATAAAAATTTACGAAAAAAGTTTGATTTATTCTTCCTTCTCTGAAGTCTGTATGAATGTTTATCAATTATTTTGTTCTTGTACCGTACTGGACCGTATGACAATAGTGTACTGTACACTCTTGGTTTTCTTAATGACTAGAAGTGAGAAATAATTTTATAATACCTTTATATTAGCAACCTGATGGTGTAAATATTTAACATTTCAAACTTAGATTATTTGACCTATCCGAATTCATAGTTTGAAATATCAACATTGGGCTGTAAAGATATAGAGATTATATCAAATACATTATTCAGAGTTTTTGAGTAAAACTCTCCTTTTTAATTATTGTCACGTTCAAGTTTTCAAATTTGGACAACTTCCAAAAAAAGGAAAAATGGGAAACTAATTTCATCTTTATTTTAAAGAAAGGAATCGAGTTTTTGTCACAAACTTAAATTTTTAAATCCCTATATCTTTGGAACCTGATGGAGTAAACCTTTAATATTTCATAATTAGATTATTTGATCTAACAGTATACTTAGCTTGAAATAAATAAGGTCTAAGACTTTGGGTTCCAACGATATAGGGATTGAAAAATCAGAGTTTGTGGCAAAGACTCAAAATTTTGAACTGTTTCTATTTCAACCCTTAGATCAATATCTACTATATATTATTAGTAGATATTGATCACTGTCTTGACAAACATGGTTTTAACTTCTTATTATTTTCAGCAAAATGTCCGCTGTAAAAGTTTAAAATAGAGTTTTCTAGCTTCGGGGGTTGAACAAGTTTTAACATTGTAAAACTGAAACAGAAAAAAGAAAATTTAGTTCAATATAAAGATTTGAATTAAATACTGTCAAACTTGAGTTCATTCACTTATTTATAAGATTGTAATATTGTTTTATTTCTGAGAAAAAAGGTTTTTAAATTGTTCTGAGAGTGTGAGCAATAATGTTTAAATAATTGAACCCCCCCCCCACCCTTCTGGCCCCTTTCATACATATATTTTGAGTCAATTTATTTTTAACATTTTCAAATATTGGGTTTCTTCCCTCACAATTTCCTCAACTAAGCTAAATATTAAACAAAAAATATTTCATTTTTATAATTTCAAAAATATGTTTTACATATTCAAATTGTAAATATATTTAAGAAAAATTATTTATTAATCAATCTTTATCTGGAAAATACTTTTTTCATAATTATTTATTTAGAGTCTTCTGGATTTAAACGTGCAAGTCGCAACATTTAGAGATTTGTTAGGTAAGAAGCTGAAACAGTTATGGACGTTTTTTTTTTGAGTAATCCGTTTCTTTGTCCAAAGTTCAATCTCGCAAAATAAATTTTTTACTATCAAGCCATATTTATTATTTATTTAGAAAACAATGGAAAATACAATAGAAATACAAAATCTAGAATTTTCCTTATCATTATAAAAGGTTTAAAGGTTACTTTGTGAACGAAAGGAAATTACATTTACAATGTCTTTAGAAAAGAATTTATGTTTACAGTACATGTTTATGTTTATGTTTGCAGTACATGTTTATGTTTATGAATATGTTTGCCGTACATGTTTATGTTTATGTTTATGTTAGCAGTAAATGTTTATGTTTATGTTTATGTTTGCAGTACATGTTTATGTTTATGTTTGCAGTACATGTTTATGTTTATGTTTGCAGTACATGTTTATGTTTATGTTTGCAGCACATGTTTATGTTCATGTTCATGTTTGCAGCACATGTTTATGTTCATGTTTGCAGTACATGTTTATGTTCATGTTCATGTTTGCTGCACATGTTTATGTTCATGTTTGCAGTACATGTTTATGTTCATGTTTGCTGCACATGTTTATGTTCATGTTCATGTTTGCAGTGCATGTTTATGTTCATGTTCATGTTTGCAGTACATGTTTATGTTCATGTTTGTAGTACATGTTTATGTTCATGTTCATGTTTGCAACACATGTTTATGTTCATGTTCATGTTTGCAGTACATGTTTATGTTTATGTTTGCAGTACATGTTGGCGGACCAAGGGATACACCGGAAATGAGAGAGAGAATAAGACGAGTCCGACGAGTTTGTTTAGGAAAATTATATTCAAATTACATTTTTAAACATTTAAAAAATAACATCAAAATAGAATTTGCTTCGGTAAAACGTATAGTTTTTCTTTTTCGGAACTGAACCAGAATTTAGAATTTCTCATATGTTCGTCAGATTAACAAATCTTTATTCTTCACTTGCTAAATTGCCCGACGTTTCCCGTGAAATTTTCGAATTTCGAATTCCGAATAAAAAAATAGAATTTTAAAAACAAATTTTTTTTAAGCATATGTTACCCACCTGGTACCCAAGGATTTTCTAAAAAAATCATTCAGTTTGGTTCAGCCGTTTGGCCAGTTACAGCTATTATATATATATATATTATCCATAGACACAGTGTTTCGTCCTATTAGGACTCATCAGTATGGCTCAATTCATCAGTTTTTAATTTTTGCAGTGGCAGGGCTTGAACCATGAATTCTATAGATTATGGATCAAACACGTTAACCACTGCTCCATCAAACCCTGAGAATTTTGTAATGAAATATAGGGACCAGAGAGCTCAACCAACTCATTATAAGTTGAGGGCCTTGCATAATGCTAATTAGTACACCTAATATATATACACATATATATATATATATGTGTATATATTTATATATATATTTGAAACAAGAGCTTTATTATATGGATTTTTTTAGATCTAAAAGCACAGTAAATAAACAAAATGTACGCTTTGTAAAAACAAACAGAACTTGTGTGCAAGAAAGTTTTATAGAGTTTTCAACAATTAGAACTTTTCTTTTTATAAAACTTTTCAAAAACTAATTTGGTGTTGAATACTTTTTAACGATTGTTTTGCATTTTACATTTGTAAGGCCCATGTATTTAAATTCGCATTGCCAGTAAGATTTAAAAATGCATTACATTCAGGGCTAAAAAGGTAAGTACATTAGAAATATGTACTTTTGGATTCAAAATGCAAAATATGGTCATTGTTTACTTATGTGAAATAGGGCCATTCAATTTACTATCTATAAATGTTATAAATGTATTGTAAAGGAATTGAGTCTTTGCCACAAACTCCGATTTTATTGTCCCGATATCTGTGCAATCAAACGTCGTATGATCTTAGATATTACAAACTATGAATTCTGTTAGATCAAATAATCTAAGTTTGAAATATCAAAGGTTACACCATCAGGCTGCAAAGTTATAGGGATTAGAAAATTTGAGTCTGTTGTAAAAACTCAATTCCTTTACCATCTATAGTGTAGGTAATTGTTTTAGTTTGTTTATCTAAAAACTTTTTATAAACTTCAAAACTATATTAGGTTTGCTTTTATTAAATTTTAGATTTTAATATTTTTTGCTTTAATTTGAACCGCTTTAATTTGAATCGTTCGGAATAGGTTTTATTTTAACAAAAGTAGTTGAACCAAACTTCTTATTATCTACTTTAATATCTATACAATAAGGGGATTAGTGAAGTTAATGGGATGGGACAATAGAAAATAATTGATATATTAATATTCAGAAAATATGGTAATAATATAGTTTACAACAGTTTACTAGGCAGCAACAAACAATTCCTACCCCACTGCACAACAATGTGTGTAATTTTTATGAAAATATAAGAGCACCTTCTCTCTCATGGTAAATTATATTTTAACAGTGCTATGGTCATCATTGTACTATAATATCAAATGATACAAGAGCACGGTGCAATAAGGTTCGACTAATAACAGGGTTTTCTAAAGAATAATTAAATATCCCCAGAATTTAAATAAAAATAAAATTTAAATTACCTTCTTTATTTCTTCTTCATCAAAATAATTTCTTATTTCTAAAGAAATAACCACAACGTATAAACACAAGTGCACAAGCATTTAATAATATGTAATAACATAAGAATTGTGGATCTCTAAAGAAAGTAAATAAAATTATATTTTATTTTTTTGAAAATCTTTGAATGAAAGATCGAATACATTTTTTTGATATCAGGCATACTTTTGAACTTAAATTCGGCATTTTAGAGCAAAAGATTCCTTCGATAACCCTCCAATGTTGTACCTACTTAAAAAAAACTTTTAGTACAATAAAATGACATTTAGAGTGCAAAAAAGCCTAAACACTTTTTACAGAGACACCTTGTAGATGCTGGATATGTAATTGGTGCCAGTGCATAGACAAATTTCAAGGGTTTAAGGGAACGATCCTTTTTTTAATTAATGAACCGGATTTTCCGTGAGCAACAATGTTGTTAGAAAAAAATAGAAACGATTAAAATAAAACTCTTTTTTTGGTTACTTTACGCAGAAACGTGCTGAAAAATGTTAATGTTATACAAGAAAAATTCCAAAATGAAAATGTTAAAACTTTTGGTTGATATTCCAACGGGGCGATGACATTTTAAAATATCGAAAAATCATTTAGGAATTTTTCATAGATTAATTAAAATAATTAAAATAGTACACAATAACCCTGAGGCAGAACAGGCTCTCTGTCTTGTAATTCTACGCCGACTGCGCGGAACTCCTCTGGACTTCTGCCTCAAGGTTATTGTGAACGAGTTTTATCCAAATCTTGAGAAGACGACATCTAGTGTCCTATCTATTATTTTAATTAATCTATGGAATTTCTGTTTGAACTGTTGAAAATGACAATTTAAACAAATAAACACTAAATAACATTTCCTTAACTTTGTAGAAACTCATCTTTTTACTTTTTTATTTTTAATGCAGGAAATATCAAAGGAATTTAATTTTTATCAAAAGTAATAAACTAACATAAATCATAAGCCATGCGGATAAGGCAAACCTAATTTTTTAAATGTTTTACTTTTACTGAAATATTGAAATGTAGCCGATCTTGCTGTGGAATTAATCCCAGTACATTGTTAGGATAGTCAGACTGTAGTAAATGCAGTACTCTTAAAACTTCATCCATGCACAACTCATCAGCTATAAATGTCAACCAGGACACAAACTCTTAACCGATCAATTCCAAGCCAATGGGCACAATCTCATCAGCTCTGAATGTCAATACAGACACAAGCATAGCTATCAAACAAGCTCTTGATCGATCAATGCCAAATCTCAAGGCCTGATCTCAGGTCATATGTTTCAATGAGGACTAAATTACTTCTATCACTGTAATCAAAGCGGAGTCTGTACCAACTAATGCATATTTACAAATCTATGGTACATGTGAAGTTAATACACGTATTTACAGATATATATCATCGTAGTTAAGCTAATCGCAATAAGTAGCTAGTCTAGTTGCATCACAAGTTTTGTAAGGTTTATGTTTAGCGCAGTTAGGTTAGCAAACAATGTACAACCTAATTCATCTAGGTATGTTCAAATGTATTAAAAGACCAGTACAAATCTAGTAGAGCTCTCATGAACCCTGACATCCTGAGATCACAGGACATGCTAGTTGATACTATTTACCTTGATATTATTCAAGTAACTAGTTTGTCAAAAAGATAGATACTTACACGCGCAGTGCACTTTCTTATACAAAAAATCTACCAGCATTTTGCCAATTACTCTTATTAAACGGAAGCGGGTTATTGTTTTTAAATGTACATGTATACATGTACATTTACACTTTCATGTATACATGAAGGGAAAATAATGATGAACCAGGAAAACCAGAGGATCATATAATTGGAAGGGGGGGAAGGGAGTGGGGAAGGGGGGAAGGGGGAGAAGGTGGGAATGGTGGGGAAAAGGATGTCCCAGATGAGTCCACTCTTTTACATATGATTAACTTTTAATGATTGCTTTTATCAAGCAGACAGTTGAAAAATTAGTTTTCACAAAGAACAATTTCAACAATTTAGACATTTTTAAACCAAACAAATTAAAGTTTTAGGTTTCGTAAACAAGTTGCTCACCTTATTAGAATAAATCCCCTCCTTCCTTTAGAGAGGAAGGGAGGGGGGTACTTTTACCAATTTAATACTGGAAGAATCAGGTTCATTTAGTGATTACTTAGAATACGTAATTTGGTAACTTTACAGTTTATAACCTCTTAAAGAAAATATACCAGAAGCAAGCATCTAATAGAAAACATATGGAAGTAAAAATCAAGAGTAAAAAATCTTTGACAAAAATATCTGCCTGGAAATGGAAATCATAGAAAGGAAATAAAAAGTTTTCCCCCCTCCAATGATTTTTGATGATTGGGGTAAAAAATTTACATTGGACATTATGAGGCAAGTTTTTTTTAGTTTTTAATACTTTTTACCCAATACTTCATTTATTTTCTCAATTTCCGATAAAAAACCTTTAAATGTTTTACCACACCGCACACGGCACAATCTTATATTTTGGTGGGAAAAATATAAATTTTTCAAAAATTAGGGGGGGAATGATTTTTCGAGAAAATATACGCCCCAGGGGTAAATACTAAACCTCTGATATGTCATAACCTTAAACTTTGATAGATGTACATGAATACAAAGGCCTATTCAGTATCTTCCATAATTAGGAGGAGGAATAAGCATCAGGAATCAGGATTAAGAAAATTTTAATTATAATGTCACTCATTTTGATTTTTGTATCTAAATATTTCTATACAAATCTATTATCACTATATTTTCATATTTTATCATCAACGTTAATTTTAGTGTAGATTGAGATATTTATATTACCCTCCCAACCCTGGCCCCCTGTATATCTGGTTAATATCCTAGCTTAATATTGCAGGATCTATGTATATATGTGAAAATAATCTGTTTATCTTATATCCTCTCTCTAATCTATTCTATTCTATCCTCTCAACTCTGGTTTTTGTAGAAGTTTTAGACTACTAATACAGGCACTTCACGGTGATTCAGATGTCCAGGTTTTCTAGATGTACATTCGGTTTTAATTTGATCCAATGTTTATCCAACTTGAAATATGTTTTCACTCTAGAGTGTAGAACAATATTGTTTTTTACAAATCCTGAGAACGACAATATATCCACCCTAATCCGGAGAACGACAATATATCGACCCTAATCCAGAGCACGACAATATATCCAACCTAATCCGGAGAACGACAATATATCCAACCTAATCCGGAGAACGACAATATATCCAACCTAATCCAGAGAACGACAATATATACAACCTAATCCAGAGAACGACAATATATCCAACCTAATCCAGAGAACGACAATATATCCAACCTAATCCGGAGAACGACAATATATCCAACCTAATCCAGAGAACGACAATATATCCAACCTAATCCAGAGAACGACAATATATCCAACCTAATCCAGAGAACGACAATATATCCAACCTAATCCAAAGAACGACAATATATCCAACCTAATTCAGAGAATGACAATACATCCAACCTAATCCAGAGAACGACAATATATCCAACCTAATCCAGAGAACGACAATATATCCAACCTAATTCAGAGAATGACAATATATCCAATCTAATTCAGAGAATGACAATATATCCAACCTAATCCGAAGATTTCAGATTTAGACAATTCTCACAGATTGAAGATTGATATGAAAAAGTTCGATATATCGAACGAAATTTTAAACAGGGCAGAATTTTTTTATACAGGTTATTGTACTGAAACCAATAAGAAACCCAGTGTCTTGAATTGGGTCAGCAAGCAATGTTGTGGATAGTGATACCAACATATTTGCTAAAATAACACATTTCTTCTGTTTTTCTTTTCTTTTTATTAAAATCTCTGAGGACCATCTATTACATAATGTTAGCATAGATATCACATGACAATTACATTAAAAATTATCAAGAAATTAACACAAGATAATATCTACATTTTGGAAAACCATTAAAATCAATTTTTAACCTTTGCATCAATCTCTCATCATCAAGGAATTATCTCCCCGCTGTAACATTTCTACTCTAAGGTTAGATATATCCTCTATTATATTTCTACTCTAAGGTTAGATATGTCCTCTATTATATTTCTACTCTAAGTTTTGATCTCTCCGCTATTATATTTCTACTCTAAGGCTAGATCTTTCCTCTATTATATTTCTACTCTAAGGTTAGATATATCCTCTATTATATTTCTACTCTAAGTTTTGATCTCTCCTCTATTATATTTCTATTCTAAGGCTAGATCTGTCCTCTATTATATTTCTATTCTAAAGAATGATCTCTCCTCTATTATACTTCTACTCTAAAGTATGATCTGTCCTCTGTTATACTTCTACTCTAAGGTTTGATCTCTCCTCTATTATACTTCTACTCTAAGTTTTGATCTATATTCTATTATACTTCTACTCTAAGGTTTGATCTCTCCTCTCTTATACTTCTACTCTAAAGTATAATCTCTCCTCTGTTATACTTCTACTCTAAGGTTTGATCTCTCCTCTGTTATACTTCTACTCTAAGGTTTGATCTCTCCTTTATTATATTTCTACTCTAAGGCTAGATCTGTCCTCTTTTATATTTCTATTCTAAGGTTTGATCTCTCCTCTATTATATTTCTACTCTAAGGTTTGATCTCTCCTCTATTATATTTCTACTCTAAGGCTAGATCTTTCCTCTTTTATATTTCTATTCTAAGTTTTAATCTCTCCACAATTATATTTCTAATCTAAAGTATGATCTCTTCCTCTATTATACTTCTACTCAAAGGTTTGATCTCTCCTCTGTTATACTTCTACTCTAAGATGTCTGTTTTTTCTCTGTGTTCATGTACATATTGACACGTAATCTACAATACAATACATATTCAATATTTCTCAATCATTCATAAATTACGTTTGCTAGATGGATAATCTATTTTGTATTGTATACCCTGTATAGTGTTCACCAACACCAGACCATACTTCACTGGAAGTCTGGAATAAATAAAAACAAATCACGGAAATCTTGGGTTCAAGCATTGCTCTCCATCTTACGCAGATCTGGAACAGATTAATTCAATTTCTCTTCGATGTCACGTTATGGTTATACACTGCATTAATGGAGGGATCAATCATTGATCCTCAAGTTTAAAAATGCCAACATTAAGATTAAGCATTCAAGATTAACAGTATCTGCACAAAATGGTTAGTATTGAAACCAAATAGGGGATTATGCCAAAGATCTGAATTTAATTAGCGGAATAGGTTGAAAGTTTCACTGATCAGAAGGAGACTGAGACAGATAAATCTCATTGAAAAGGTGTTAACCCCTTCATGAAGTAAATTTTGGCCTTTATATGAAATTATTGATATTTAAACTTTTTAATATTTTGTTTTCAGTAGATCTCCGCGAACATTGTTTGATAGATATTAATTTTTATCCCTAAAACATTCATCTAAAGATTTTTAAAGGCATTTTTTGTACAGCCTTTAATTCAAAATTTGCTTCGGAATGACTTTTGTTTCTTTGAATTTTTTTAATTTTCTTATTTGCACATTTATAGGATACTAAATAAACTAGTTTATTTTTAATCAGATTATTATGAATAGAGAATAGAATATATATTAGAGAGGAATTTAAAGAATCTCTCGGGTTGAATTTTTTCAGTCCCTTTCAGCCTGAAAGGTAGTTCAAAGTGTGCAAATTATGTGCAATAGAGTACCATCATTTGATTAATAGTTATAACGGAAAATCATCGTTTGTAAAGTGAAAGGCATAGAGTCGATGTGAAATGATCATTGGTCAATTATGAAACCATCCTATTTCATAATTTGGTTTTCTTTTAACATTAATTTTAGATTTTCCATAAAATGATATTCCAGGGCCCAAAAGGTTATATAGCATAAATATGTGAAGTACACCTGCAGTATGGAAACTGTACAACAAAATGGCCGTTTTACACTTTTTTCTAGTAAATTCCCCTCTAATATATATTCTATTCTCTTTCTTATTATGATTTATTATGATTTAATTGTCGAACACATAAATCTGGTTCAGACACGGACTTAAAGTTGTGAATATAAAGATGTGTGGCAAACTGAATTAAAAAGTTTATCTTAAAAATTGTATTAGATGTATCAACAAAGAATAACGTGGCAGTTGAAAAGGATTAAATCTTTGCCACAAATATTTTATATTTCAAACTTAGATCGGCCAAAATTCATAGTTTGAAATATCGGGAAGAAAGGTTGGGGCGAAGACTCAATTGCTCGTCAATCGAGAAAAATGCTTTGATGATAATTCCATATGCGGAGAAAACGTTAGGACGTTTCTACCTCACGTGGGGAATTACTAAGACGTATATTTCTCTAAGACGTTTATATAAATTGGAGGGAAAAAACTTTGACATTTTAAATGGAAAACTTTATGACATTTTACTTCATGTGGGGAAAATGTGACATCCTATTTTCGTTTACAACGTTTTCATTCTACAGAGGGGAAACCTTTATGACGTTTTTATTTCATGTATACTAAATTTATTCTCTATATCTTGGTGTGTATCGGAGGATATTAGATATATTCTATATCCATAGGTGTGTATCGGAGGATATTAGATATATTATTTATGTCTATGTGTGCATCGGTGGATACTAGAGCCCGCGATTTAAAAAATTCGGAGAAATACGACTCGGGTCTAAGCTGTCGTTGGACCTTATTTACGGCTTGAGCTTCCGGATTAAAGCTGCATCTTATTTTCCACAGAGTTGAATTTAAAAAACCGGTTTAATATTCTATTTGGCGAATTTTCATGGTAGGAATTGGCACATTCCCAGTTTTTATTAGAACAAGACGCAACATTGAGTCTTATTCTCAACTAAAACCAATCAAGGTCGGTTTTATTTTCATTGGGCTTAACTCCTTAAGTCGAGCCGAATATCTTGCAGCTGTCAATCACGTGACACAAGCTGTCGTTAGAGTTGGGTCGAAGATTGGGTCTTAAAGTCGGGTTTAAGGAATTCCGGCTCGAGCTGAAGTTTTTAAATCGCGGGCTCAGATATATTCTATATCTCTAGGTGTGTATCGAAGGATACTAGATATATTACATATCTCTAAGTGTGTATCAGAAGATACCAGATATATTCTATATCACTGGGTGTGTATCGGAGGATACCAGATATATTCTATATCTCTAGGTGTGTATCAGAGGGTACTAGATATATTACATATCTCTACGTGTGTATTAGAGGATACTAGATATATTTTATATCACTGGGTGTGTATTTGAGGATACCAGATATATTCTTTATCTCTAGATGTGTACCAGAGGATACCAGATATATTCTATATCTCTAGGTGTGTATCGGAGGATACTAGATATATTTTATATCCATAGGGGTGTATCAGAGGATACTTAAGATGTATTCTATAATATCCATAGGTGTGTATCGGAGGATATTAGATATATTATTTATCTCTAGGTGTGTATCGGAGGATATCAGATATATTGTATATCTCTAGGTGTGTATCGGAGGATATTAGATATAGATAAGATAAGATAAGATAAAGTTTATTTCTAAAATACATGTATCTGTATACAGAACGAGTTTACAATTACAAATTGATGATTATGTTAACAGTACAAGTATAAAGCAATTAGGTGGAAAATAGCTCTTGGCTGTTTTGATTATTTTTTCCACCTAATCTTGATAATAATAACAAAACATTTCAATTAAATAGATTTAAGGAGAACGATTAGAGATCAGGGTGCGAATTTATCTTATGCAAAATAGTTTATACATTAATTCGAATAATGTGTTTTTAATATAGCTTTAATATAGCTTTTATATAGCTTTAATATAGCTTTAATATAGCTTTAATATAGCTTTAATATAGCTTTAATATAGCTTAGAGGATACTTAAGATGTATTCTATAATATCCCTAGGTGTGTATCGGAGGATACCAGATATATTATATATCTCTAGGTGTGTATCGGAGGATACTAGATATATTACATATCTCTAGGTGTGTATCGGAGGATACCAGATATATTAAATATCTCTAGGTGTGTATCGGAGGATATTAGATATATTATTTATCTCTAGGTGTGTATCGGAGGATACCAGATATATTATATATCTCTAGGTGTGTATCGGAGGATACCAGATATATTATATATCTCTAGGTGTGTATCGGAGGATACCAGATATATTACATATCTCTAGGTGTGTATCGGAGGATACCAGATATATTACATATCTCTGGGTGTGTATCGGAGGATACCAGATATATTACATATCTCTAGGTGTGTATCGGAGGATACCAGATATATTACATATCTCTAGGTGTGTATCGGAGGGAACTATAGTAGATAACTCCCAACTGATTTGTTTATACCTGCTGTCTCGACTCCTCCAACGAGAACTAGAAAAGTGCCTCCGATTAGTCTCCTCACTTCCCATGGATATGGATGAATATTTTGGTAAGAATAAAAAATGGATAAATTTTTTATTTTCATTTTAATTTAGTTGAATAAAACGTCTTCTAAATTGCTTTTTTTTCGACGAATTATATCTTTCTTTTTTAATATAATATTAAATAATGAATATTAATTTTATTTGTAATATTGGATTATATTAATGACAAGAAAGGAACAATTAAAAGAAAAAGAAATAAAGATAGAAAGTGTTAATTGCATAATATTGATAGTTTCTATCTTTTTAATATTTACAGTAACTACAGTGCACTTAATATCATTATTATATTATATCTATGCTTCGGATACTATTTTATCGACAATTTCTAAAATTTGTAATTGATTTCTATTGTTTACACAAATGTCAAAAGATAAATTTCACAAATCATAAAGATTCAAATCCAATCTTAAAACAGAACACGGAATTTACAGGATACAGGATACAGGATACAGGATACAGGATACAGGATACAGGATACAGGATACAGGATACAGGATACAGGATACAGGATACAGGAGGATACAGGAAACAGGATACAGGATACAGGATACAGGATACAGGATACAGGATACAGGATACAGGATACAGGATACAGGAAACAGGATACAGGATACAGGATACAGGATACAGGATACAGGATACAGGATACAGGATCATTTTTTAAATGAGCAGAATAAGCTAAACTAAATTGCTCTGAAAAATTTCCATCATTTAATAAATTTTAATGTTTTTAACTTTGGATTTAAATTTACATATTTTCAAAAAATACGGTTTTTAAAAATTTAAAAAAAGTTTAATTACATAAAATCCCGTGGGTTTGAATAATTGTTCTTTTAAAGTAGCAAGGATTATTTTCAAAATTCAAAATGCAAAAAGTATTAAATATCTTTTAATCAGTGTCTAAGGAACTTTTGAGAAATAAAAATCTTTCATGAATATATATATATATAATCAACTTTCAAGCTTAAATAAGGAAACCCCTGAAGAGCGGGAAAAAAGGAAAAATTTTGTAAATCGCAGTCATGGTTTTTTTAAAATACTTTTTATATATCAGTTCTAATTAGAAAAAAAGAGTGGGCTTCTTAAATAAAAACGTTTAAGTAATGTAAATTTTAATACCAAAATATAAAATTTAAAGATTAATTTAAACCAGCGGTACAAGCTTAAAAAATATTCACCTCAAACAGTCCATCAAGCGTCACACATATCTAAACTTCGAATGGAAAATATTCAAAAATTAAACTTTATTAAAATTTATTTTGCATTTTTGTTATAGAAGCGATGTCCAAACGTCCTGTGAGCGCTGGGATTGGAAATATGTTAACTCAGGTGACCCTTTATAAAGGTTGTATATAAGGTTAGATTTATGCGCTCCAATGTAGGTAAATGTCGTCTTTTTTTGCAATGGAGACTCAAAATACTCATATGACGTCACTGATACTTAACTAACAATCTAACAATCATCACAATTGTTTACAATTATTGTGTTTACAAGTTTGAATATTAAAAATTGAATTCTAATTAAAGTTTTCAATTTTGGAGTTCTTTAATATTTAGCGAGCCGCAAAATTTGTTATTCTTTAAAATAAGCAATGATGACGTCACATGAAGATTTGAGTGTCCATATAAAGGTCGTCTTTACCTACATTGGAGAGCATCTAACCTAATTATACAACCAGCTTGTTTAAAATGAACCCTTTTAAATAAACTGTCAGATTAATTTCAAGTGACCCTCCATGGATTCCAATTTCCAATACCTAGATCCCAACGGTACTCTTGAAACTTTCATCTGATGGGAGCTAACGTTGTTTTCTAGGTTCAAAGGCCCAAGTCACTTTTGTAGAGAAACCACAATTGAAAATAATGAGTGTGTTTTGCAAAAAGTTTCATCCCTGAGCCTCCTAGAATTGGAACAACCTTGTTTCATACACCAGGGGTTGAAACTTTTGGGTAAATAAGTACTTACCTTAAACTTGATATCTTTAGTTGAACCCTAAGTTTAATATTCAAATGAGTTGCTCTCGTGTTCTCAAATTTAAAAATGATAAATTGTGTTTTTAATATAGCTTTAATATAGCTTTTATATAGCTTTAATATAGCTTTAATATAGCTTTAATATAGCTTTAATATAGCTTTAATATAGCTTTAATATAGCTTTAAATAAAAAGAATTATTGAAATCTGCCAAAACGGATGAAATTCCTTTTTGTAAATCTTGACTTCTGTATCAAGAAACGATTCAGATTAACCCGTGAAAGTTAAGCGAAAATTAGGTATAGAAACGGATAAAAGAAGAGATTGAGAAACGGTTCAGGTCAACCCGAGAAAGTTGAGCGAAAATTAGGTAGAAACGGATAAAACAAGAGATTGAGAAACGATTCAGATGAACCCCTAAAAGTGAAAATGAAGCGTATTAGGGTTAATTCCAGCCTCTAGACGTCATATGAAAGTGTTGAAGTTGAATATAATATTTAGAATTTATTTTAAATAATTTTAGATTGTATTATGCAACACAGGACGTCCTGACTTCAATATAGAAGAGATAGCTAGTGTAGAGAAGGTATAGTTCATTTTTAAAAGTTTCTTTAATTAACATTTATTTATTTTTATTTAAAATTTTTTATTATTGGGTTTACTACAGATTAATCTACCTTTAAACTGGGGGGGGGGGGGTCCCGGGGCTTCCTCCGTAGAAAAAGGCCTGGGGGATTGGATATAGGGTTAAAATTCATATTCATAGCCCAATTTTTCAAGGCCAGCTCATTGAAAAAAATTAAACAGATAACTTTAATAGTTTGGGCGCTAGGGAGAGTTAAAAAAAATGCCAAAAAAAGCTCAAAAAATGTAAAAAAAAAATTTTGTTTTAAGCATATATCAAAGTTATGGGCTATTTTATATTTTTTTTACCGCCCTGTACCCTACCTTATGCATTAAAAAAATGAAATTGATATCCCAATGTCATGGAAATAGAATGCCAGGACTATATTCGGTTTGGACAATCCTGCTTTAAATGACGGCTCTTAATCTCTTGGGGAAGAAACTTTAAAAAATCAAGCCTTTTTCTTCTTCATTCTGTATTTTTGTTTACATGTCCCTTCTAGCAATTTAGAAAAAAAAGAAATGTTGTCTAAGCTTGTAGAATTGCTGAGATATTCTACTGCTCAGCACTATCTGTAGACGTTATTAATAATTTGTCTGATATTTTTAACTGTATGAACAATTTCTGTATCTATATCTAAATATATTTATCTTTATGGATGTTCAAAATAAAAAAAAATTGACTTCAAAAATTTTTTATTTTCGTAAAATTCTGAATATCCACGAAAAAATATTAAAATAGATTTTGTTTAGAATGTGAATATTTTTATCCGAATGAAAGTTTTCGCTGCAAGATTTTGGTTTATTACATAAAAAATTCTAAATCTAAAAGATATCATTCAACAAATGTTGGTTGAATTGAATTTTTTTCTCGAAGTTATAAAGTTTACAAAAATTTGTGTAGGATAAGAGAGAACTGGGTAATATTGTTGACGATATAGCTGATCATTTACCCAGAGAAGATCCAACTAAAGGTAATATTGTTGATGATATAGCTGATCATTTACCCAGAGAAGATCCAACTAAAGGTAATATTGTTGATGATATAGCTGATCATTTACCCAGAGAAGATCCAACTAAAGGTAATATTGTTGATGATATAGCTGATCATTTACCCAGAGAAGATCCAACTAAAGGTAATATTGTTGATGATATAGCTGATCATTTACCCAGAGAAGATCCAAATAAAGGTAATATTGGTGAAGAGTAAAGTGGCATGTCTGATTAACGACAGTACCCTTGAATCAAATCATCCAGTATGTATTATAGTTTTTCCTTCAAATACTCTATTTTCGTTTGTGATTTCTTTGCAAAAGAGACTCAAGAATTTTATCTCCATAAACAATACAGAGCTTGTCATTTTCGAACAGTCTTTAAGCCAGAAAAACGACGTTATCCTCCACACAGTATCAGATTACGGATTCAGAGGTACTGTTGTGAATCGGGCACACCCCTCTTTAAAAGGAAGATCAAATAATAATATGACGACAGTATATTTATAGGACAGTTCCTTTAAAGGAACAGTTCCTAAAATAAATTTTATTATTTCAAGTTTTTTATATTTTTTAAATATTCAGCAATTGACGGTTTAACCTCTGAAGAGCAGGACCGCAGAAAATGGAGAATTAGAAGGAAAAGAAGAAAACCATTAATACACTGCTGCTTTTGTACTCTTTAACCTTTGTACTTTTAAACTTATACCAGGGAGTAAGGAATAGAAGGGAGATATAACTGAATCGGTTCGCCCTACCATATGATTATAAATGCTTTGCAGACAGGTACTCCATTTGTATATGAAATATTCAGAATAGGTTATTGTGTACGCGGTAAATGTACATCAGACAAATATTTCTTATTCAAATGGAGTACCGTCTGCAAAGCATGTATAATCACATGGTAGGGCGAACCGCGTCAGTTATATCTATCTCCCTTCTATTCCTTACTCCCTGACTTATACATATTTATTTATGTACTTGGGGGGAAGTCGATTAGTGCCCCTTTGAAAATTTTATTTGCCCCTTTTTTACATACATGAAAATCCAACATATTTAAAACTATTTCTCCCACCCCTCCCTCCCCCCGATTTTACCTTGTATTTGTTTTTGATTAATATTAAAATAGTGCCAACCATTATTATATAATATACTTTCCTGAACAATAAAAAAATTAAGCCAAAATGTTCTTATTTTATAAGCGTTTATGTAAAAATATTGCCATTTTATATTAAAAATTAAGTCCAGAAACACAAAAAATGGATTGTGATTTTTTGTAATAGTTTTGGGCAATTTTTTGGTGAAAGAATGGAAGTTAGGGTTCACACCGGATGTATCATAAGAAAATAATTACTTCAAAATCTAGTTCCGCAAATGGAGGGAAAAATCATCTTGCATGAATTTGATTCTTTAGTTTTTCAGGAAAACTTATGTAAAACTTGTCACATATAAATATAAATTTATTTTAATCAAAACCTCGATATGTAACCGTATTGTGTGTACAATGTACATGTAGTTTATACTATGTAGATCCCTTCCTACTAGATTCCAAAAGAAATTCTAATCTTAGAATATACATTGATTTTAAATAAACAAACTTTGATTTATGTAAAAACTAGAATCTCTTTCACGTTTATTTGTTTTTTAACAAATTTTTAAATGGAAAATTAAAAGATCATTGATTAAGAATATATTTACTAAGAAAATGTCATTGGCCCTCGGGATTATTATTAAGTCCCTTGGGGTTTTAAAGAACTTGAGTATTTGACACAACTCAAATTTTCGAATCTCTATATCTGTACAATCTGATGGTGAAACCCTTTGACATTAGGTTTACGTTTGTATGTTTAAAAAGGTATGTTTATGGTAAATAAAAATTTATAGTTCTGACTGTTACATACAGTCCTTTCCTACTTAAAGATGAAATTTTCCATAGTGATTAGTTGTCATTTAATATGCTGATATTATTGTCTACTTTGTACATCAAAACAATCATTTGGAATTTATTTTCCTTTAATTGATGTTGATTTTTGATTTGATTTGATTTGGACTTTTTTACTTCAAGTTTTTAAATCCTATCCCATTAAAAGTGTATTTTGAAATATTCTGAGACATCTAGCGGCCAAACTATCGTCCGTCGAAAGGACGAACCTTGTTCATACAAGAAACATTTTCAGGGAATGAACAGTTTCAATAAAGGAATTGAGTCTTTGCCACAAACAGATTTTCTAATCCTACAACCCAATGTCGTAGACCTAAGATATGGCAAACTATGAATTCTGTAAGATCAAAAAATTTAAGTTTGAATTATGGAAAGTTTACGCCATCAGGTGCAAAGATATAAGGATTAATTTGGGTTTGTGGCAAAGACTCAATTCTTTCAATCCGTCTCTAAAGTATATAGAAAAATTATATCATACTGTAAAACCCTTTAGGACATTATAAAACATAAAAAAACAAACAATGTATTTACTAGTATTTAAAATTTAAAACTTAAAAATTACAAATATTTTTACCATCTTTTAAGCGACATTTTGTCAGTTTGTACAAACGTTAATTCTTTAGAGTTTAGACCAATGAACAAAGTAAAGAAATTTATAATAAACTGTTCTTACTATTTTGATATTAGTTTTATTCCAACATACTTAATTTTATTCATTACCATTAATTTAGTATTAATAAATATAGTTCCTTATGGGGATTTTTTACTTTTTAGTTTTATTGAGTTTGAATCAAGGAGCTTTTAGAGAAAGGGTTTTTAATGTAGAGATAGAGTTTTTAAGATAGAGGTCAGTCTGTAGAGATCGGGGTTTTCAAGGTAGAGTTCAGTATGTAAAGATCTAGAGTTTTTAAGGTAGAGTTCAGTCTATGGAGATACAGTTTTTAAGATAGAGTTCAGTCTGTAGAGATTGAGTTTTTAAGGTAGAGTTCAGTCTGTGGAGATGGAGTTTTTAAGGTAGAGTTCAGTCTGTATAGACAGGGATTTTAAGATAGACTTCCTTATATAAAATGCTAATATCAAGAAAAAAAGATTGATTTTCAGAAAAGACAAAATATTCAAATAATTTACTGTTATAAACAAATTTAAAAGTGAAAAATATTTTTTCTATTCATCTGATTCCACCTTATTAAGTTTAATAAAGAAGGCTTTTGTTAAACCCCAATGACGTTATTCTATTCAATGGTAGAGTCTTATATTGTGTGTTTTTATCAATTATTTTTACATCATTAAAGATATAAAATTAAATTAGCTTTTTAACTTAAATGTTGAGAAAAAATGTCAAAATTTTTATTCACAAGCATTTTTAAAATGTCAATCTATTGTATTTAATTAATGTCTAATAAGTTTCAGTTTTGATACATTATCAAACCTTTCTAAATACTTTGTATATTGTATTAACAAAACTGTATAGATAAAGAAAAAGTAAAAATAAAGAATTGAGTCAAACAAATCTTTTCTATCTTTATAGGATTAGATTTCTTTAGAACTTTGGAAAGTTCTACCAAATAAATGTATTACATTTAGAGAGGTATAGTTCTACCATACATAACTCTTTCAAGTGCACATTTTCATTGAATATCACTTTCATAGGCTACAAGCAAGCTTCTCTCTAGATTTTAACGTGCTTTAATATGTGCGAAAATTACATTTTTTTGTAAATCTTTTTTGCAAGAAATTGACTTTGTTCCCTTTATATTAGGCTTGATTTTTTAAGGTTCCCAATGTGTCGTGTCACTCCCGTAATTCGTAATTGCTATAAAATATTTCAAATTATATCAATCTCGCTTCTTGTACCGACACGACCTCTAATCAGCTTCTTGTACCGACACGACCTCTAATCAGCTTCTTGTACTGACACGACCTCTAATCAGCTTCTTGTTCCGGGCAGCTCTTTAATCAGCTTCTTGTACCGACACGACCTCTAATTAGCTACATCTTAACATCCTTTTTTACTTCAATCTACGGGAATTTATAGTTTGAAATATCTAAGGTATGTTTACATAATTGGGTTGCAAAGTTATAGGAATTAGAAAACAGAGTTTGTGGCCTGTGGGTAAAACTCAATTCCTTTCCTTTCGAAAAATAAATTTGCTGCAACCGAATTCTAGAATGCCGCACTAAAAATTAGAACAAAAGACATATTTACTTGCAAGTGTGCACACACTAAAGTTTGCCTGGGATTTGTCGCAAAAAAATAATTACCTTCTCATTTATTGTTAACATAGATTTTATTTCTGCGTGCGATTTACATTATTGAGTAAAATAAGAAGACCAGTTCCAGCGTGAATCTGCTGCCATACAATCGTACAATAAAATCATATATCAACATTATTAGATCAACTCCAAAAACCCTAAAGACTCAAAATTTTACTCGTGTGCCTGAAAACCATCTTTGTCACATTTTAGCGTAACGATAATGAATGCAACAATTTTTCGAGTAATTTAAGTTTGATTTGTGAACGCATGCTCTTTTTCTGCGAAAAAACTCGTCTAAATAAAAATTTAGAGAAGACTATATATTTAGTTTTAAAAAGCATAAATAAGATAAATATTGTACTTTTTACTATTAAGGGCTTCGAATAAGATAAATATTGTACTTTTCACTATCAAGGGCCTAGAATAAGATAAATATTGTACTTTTCACTATTAAGGGTCTAGAATAAGATAAATATTTTACTTTTCACTATTAAGGGCCTAGAATAAGATAAATATTGTACTTTTCACTATTAAGGGCCTAGAATAAGATAAATATTTACTTTTCACTATTAAGGGCCTAGAATAAGATAAATATTGTACTTTTCACTATTAAGGGCCAAGAATAAGATAAATATTGTACTTTTCACTATTAAGGGCCTAGAATAAGATAAATATTGTACTTTTCACTATTAAGGTCCTAGAATAAGATAAATATTGTACTTTTCACTATTAAGGGCCTAGAATAAGATAAATATTGTACTTTTCACTATTGAGGGCCTGGAATAAGATAAATATTGTACTTTTCACTATTGAGGGCCTGGAATAAGATAAATATTGTACTTTTCACTATTGAGGGCCTAGAATAAGATAAATATTGTACTTTTCACTATTGAGGGCCTGGAACAAGATAAATATTGTACTTTTCACTATTGAGGGCCTGGAATAAGATAAATATTGTACTTTTCACTATTAAGGGGCCTAGAATAAGATAAATATTGTACTTTTCACTATTAAGGGGCCAAGGGCCTCGAACAGTTTCACCAGTACTGAAAGGTCGGAGAGAAGGGTAAATATCTAGTCCATGAGATCCTAAATTACAAGATGAAAACTATAATTAGAAAGCTATAATTATCTACTGATAGAAAATCTGTCATTTGCATCATCATCAGCATAGCTAGAAGCTTTAAGAAACAGGCCGAGCTGGGGGGAGGGGCTGAAATTAGAAAAAATCTGTGATTTATTATTATTGTAGACTTTTGGGCATAAATAGGACGCTAGCTGCTTACATAAAGAAACCCGGGGGGGGGGGCTTTCGGTACCTATTTTTTACCTCTTTAACAGTGGAGTAATCCAGGGCAAATCATAACATCCTAAAAGAAAATTATTTTAAAAAGACAACTTTCCCTTTACCGAGTATCAAAGAAACTGAAAACATTTTCTTTTACTTTGAACCCTGTGTTGTTGTAAACCTTTCATATGTCAAACTTTGACTATTTAAGTTGAGCTGGGAACTTTTGAATGGTGGATTTTGAAATTAATGCTTGATCTTTTTCTTAATCTCGAGATTAAATAATGCTTTTTTTCCTCTTGATTAATCTTCAGATTAATTAGATCGGTATTAAGGATATCCCATTCTAAACTTCCCAGCTCTGATCGATTTAAAGTTAGAAATGATAAACAAAAGATTAACGCCTTTTAACTGCAAAGTTAAAGAATTTGTTAAAGTCTATGCATTAAGAGAAAACATGGTTTGTTTACATAATATAAAAAAAACTAGCTGAGAACTCTAGAACTACTCTTATTTTAAACCAAAAGCAATATACAGTGAAAACCAGAAAATTCTGGAATAGAAAGTCGACTTTTAGACTCAAGTTATAACTTTAAATAATCAAATGAACACGAGACACAGCAAGTGTGATCTGTGTAGTGTAAACAGCACCATTTAACTTAATAAGTGATTAAATAATTTACCTGAAAAGCTATTTACTTTGTAACAACCCTGTCTTCCTCTCCTTAGTTTTAATACTCCCTAGCTCTCGCAATCCTGTCTTCCTCTCCTTAGTTTTAATACTCCCTAGCTCTCACAATCCTTAATACTCCCTAGCTCTCACAACCCTGTCTTCCTCTCCTTAGTTTTAATACTCCCTAGCTCTCACAATCCTGTCTACCTCTCCTTAGTTTTAATACTCCCTAGCTCTCACAACCCTGTCTTCCTCTCCTTAGTTTTAATACTCCCTAGCTCTCACAACCCAGTCTACCTCTCCTTAGTTAAAATACTCCCTAGCTATAACATACTTATTGTGACTGCATCATAGTTTTCTTCTGATAAATGCTGATTCTTCCAAGCTATTTGTCCTCTCTCCTCATCAGTCCCTAAAAATATTTCACTTTTAAATGTAGAAAATATAAAAACATTAAAATATAAAAATAAAAAAAATATGAAAAATATAAAAATATAAAAAGTATAAATCTTCTGAATATATGCATATACGTTATTCATGCCTGTCTGTTATTACTTTTGTTTTTGTGTATCCAAGATACGTCAAAGCGACTCAGTCGATCGGGTCTAAACTAAGGAAATTCTGATTTTCGAAATCCCCATATCTTTACAACCCTATATCATAGAACTGAGATATACTTTAAGATGAATTAGTCTTAGTTTGAACTATCTTAGATGTTCACCATCAAGTTTAATTTAATTGTTGTTGCAACTTAAATGGCCCAAAAGAACTTTTTTGGACCGTCAAGTTGGAAAAATGTTACCTAGAAAAATATCAAAGAAAAATTAAATGCACTAATGTTAACAGAAAAATCCGTGAAAATGTTTGTTTATTGATTATTAAATCAAAACAAATATTTAGAAAGGATTTTTTTATAAATTTACTTAACGTACGTTTAAAAATCTCAAGATAATTTTCTCCCCCTATGGGAATTATAACAAGAAAGGAATTGAGTTTTAGCCACAAATTCGGATTTTCAAATCGTTATATCTTTGCAACTTGATGGTGTTAACCTTTGATATTTCAAACTATTATCATCTGATCTAAAATAATTCATAGTTTGAAATATCTAAGGTCTCCGACATTGAAATGCAAAGATATAGGGATAAGAAAATCAGATTTTGTGACAAAAAGTCAATTCCTTTGACTAGCGTGATCAAAAGTAGTTCTTTTATTGTATAATGTAGGGAAATTTTCCAGGGGAAAATCATAATATTTTCCTATAAAAGTTGAAAGAAAATAAAACACATCAATTCCCGGTCTATAAAGGGGGGGGGGTAAACTAGGTTTATTTTAAGTATCAAATAGACATCTTGGTAGCTTAAGCAAGTTGTAGAGTATATGATACATACAGAGGTGAGGAATCTTGTATTGTGGAGTTTGAGATCAATGCTTCATCTTGATCTTTTAATAATCTACAGATTAGTTTAATCTTTATTCGATATCCCACATGGTTATCATAATCGGAAGGGATAATTGAAATGAAGAGATAAGGCTTTAATCCTAAAATAAAAAATTCCCGTCGAAAACTAAAAAAAATCAATCCATGAGGTTAATCTACTTAAAAGCAAATTACCTGGAATTGTATTATCAAGAACGAATCCTAGAAACATAGCAACAAACATACTGGTAGAGAGCAGTACTGTTATTATTTGATCAGCTGCATCAGAACCGGTTTTTATACTTCCCTTCCCTTCCTCACTCTCCATCCACTGAAGTACATATTGTTTATGTACGATACTTTATACAATATACTATATAGAAGGAGATACATATTGCTGGAGGGAGGGGGTGCAGAGGCGCCATGATCCCCGCAAAAATGACCTCCGAGCCTCAGGATTTGCAGAATTACCTCCAGGCCCCGCAAAACTGGTCTCCCAGCCTCTGTGACGTCACCAAGCCTTCCGCCATTCCGTCTCCACGCCCCGCATTTTGGCTCCAATAAAAAATATTTGGCTTTTATTTCCACCAAGAACCTTTTTTTAAAAAATTCTCAACATGATAAAATAGTTCAGAATGATACATTAACATTTTGTATTAAAAAGTGAATTTTAATGAAGATTAAAGGCTTGTATTTTGTTTTTCTAAATTTCAAAAATTCCTCAAATTGTGAAGAACTATTGCAGTTTTGTATAAAGATAGAAAAAATTTATATTATTTTAGAGGGGTCGCATATACAAATCAAACAAAATCAGCGGCAATTTACAAAACAAGGTAGTTTTTGTGAAATCCTTGTATTTGTGATTTTATCGTATGCTTTAGAAAATATTGAAGAACTATTTTTTTTAAAAATTGAAACAAAGAATTAAAATAATCTAAATATCTATTACATGCTATACTAACAGGTTAGGGCAGCTTCGTGTCATATCTTGTTGTTTTAATAAGTTAAATTTAATTCTAAATAGTTTTTCTTTTAGCGAGAGAATTCATTTATTTCACTGAAAAAATTGATATACAGAGGTGGGAGGGGGGGAGGGGGGGGGTGCGCAAAAACTCGTATATTATAGGACAGATCCTCATTAATTTTTATGATAAAATGTAATGCTAAGGAATCGAGAGTTAATAAAATCTTAAAATCATGATGCCTTCAAAATATTAGATAAGTCATTTATAAAGGTCGTCTTTTACTCATTCCATCTTAATGTAAACTTTTACAGAAAAGCAACTTCAGATCAATTGAATGAATTAACATGTCAAAATTGTTGATTAAACGATTCTTTAAACTATGACTGAGTCTACTATGAAGAGATATAGTTTGATATTTGTTTGGTTAAGCCAATAAATTTAAACAAAAATAAAAACAACAAGCGGAGACCAAAATGCGGGGCGTGGAGACAGAATGGCGGGAGGCTTGGTAACGTCACGGAGGCTGGGAGACCAGTTTTGCGGGGCCTGGAGGTAATTCTGCAAATCCTGAGGCTCGGAGGTCATTTTTGCGGGGATCATGGCGCCTCTGCACCCCCTCCCTCATTGCTGTAATATTTCTGATTTTTATTGTGCGAAAATGCTCTAAAGTGTGCTTTTTTGACTCTGGTCGAATATATTGACTTGATCAAAACAAAAACAAAATGTTTAAAATATTTTCGTATCTAGGTCTTCTATCAGAGTAAACATTGTGCGTATTGCTAAAAAAAACGTATGAAACAAGTTGGAAATATTCTCCCTACAATTTTTAGAAACCTCATGTAAGATATAGAAAATTTAATGTTTAATCCCGTAATATTTAAGTAACTAAAATATCTTAATCTTTACGCAAAAACATAACTAAATATGTTTGTAATATTTATGTAAAATTTGTAGGGTTTCGATGTACTAAACCCTTTTGTTTGAATTTCTGGAAAGTTTAAGAAAATATTTAAGAATATTGTTTGTTATTGTCACAAGTCAGAGAAATGTTTAAACCAACAGCGGCAATTTTAACATCTATCATTCTCTCTCGTAAAATAAACAAAAATTCCTGCATTTTATTATTTCAAAATTTCGCTGTAATAAATATAATGCAATAGTTACCTTCGGAAGGACAAGAGCAAAGAATATTGAAAAGCCAAGAACGAAAAGGTTTCGAGTCGAGTTGAGATCCACAAACTGAAGATTGGAGAGACCAACAGCTGTTATTATTCCAAACATAACACAAAATATTCCTCCAATGATGGGTGTGGGAATGGTGAGAAAAAGTGCTCCAAACTTGTTTACTACTCCAAACATAATCATGATAAGAGCAGCATATTGGATAACACGCCTGCTTCCCACCTAACAATTCATCATTGTTTAGATTATACCAGGAATACATATCCTTCTATATTTTCAGAAAGGGAGTGTTTACCTTATTTGATCTTACCTTTAAAGGGACTGTAGACTAAATTTCAAGTGACCTGACATGTACAGAGTGGCATGTCCAATTCATAACAGTACCGTACATAGCTTTCTCTGACCAAGATTAAATGAAATGTCCATATTCGAATACTGAATACAAAGCTGACTTGCACAATTCTGGTGCAGAAACATTTTCAGAATTTGTCAAAATAAATACTTTAAAACAAAGATGATATCTTCCAAATTAAGATAAAGGTGTCAAGGTTATAATTTGGGCATATCCCTCTTTAAATAGAGTATCACTTGATATTATAATGATTGTCCCTTTAAAAGCAATAATTCCATTATTGTTTCATAACTCTCTCTTTAACCAATTTTTACCTTCGTAATGCCTATAGCTCCAATATTCTCACTGTAGCTGGTTGTTCCATTTCCAGTTCCCATTAGACCAGCAATAACACATCCTAGACCTTCAGTTCCTATACCACGACTTATAGCGTGGCTGGGGGGTGGTGGAGCACCTAAAATACAGAACATTTTCAACAACTGATTATAATCTTAAATGAATTTCAAACTCTGATTTTCTAATCCCTATATATTTGCAACCAAATGTTGTTGACCTTTGATATTTCAATCTATAAATTCTATTAGAAAAAAGTCTACGTTTGAAATATCAAAGTAAGATTGCAAAGAAATTGGTATTAAAAATTTGAGTTTGTGGCAAAAACTCTATTCTATTTTAAATGTATAACTTATATCTTGGCAATATCAGGGGTAGACTTTTTATGTATCATGTATATAAAAATTCTGTATATAAATATAGTTTGAAATTATTTGAAATTAAAATAAAAAAAATAAAGGAAAGGAAAAGAAAGTTTCATATTATATACATTACGATAAATATAGCTGGGGGTGGATTGTTAGTATTTTTTTAGAATTAAAATTTTTTGATTTATTTGATATGTTGAAAAGATAAAAAAGGTTTAATGGGTTGTGATAAAGATATAGGTTCTACACAAAACGGGTATTTTAAGCATTTCTTTTTAATTTGCACCGATTTTTGGCATTCTTTAAGTTTACACAAGGTTTACACAATCAGGTTGCAAAGCTATATTGATAAGAATGAAAGTAATTAACACCTTTAAACAGTCACGAGAGTAAAAATATTTAGAAAACACTTGAAAACAAATTTTAAATCCATATTTTATTTAGAGAATGCACTGAAACCACCGACAATGTTACAGAATAATGTCCACAAAAAGTATTAAATTTTTTTTATGCATTCAGCATTTCGTAAATTTTTACTTCATACAAAAAAAACTGTTGGAATTCTTAAATACTTTTTTCTTTTAGTATATAATACAGTTCATATTATATACATTCTGTATTTCATGATTTGATGTGACCATGGTATGAATTATTACAAACCTAAGAGAAACAACCCTATTAAACCTGTAATATATAGTTTTATTGAACAATAACTTCAAGTTTACTTAAAGTAACACAAAAGCTTTATCTAACTAACTACACACATCTAAACCCTGAAGTTCAATTTATCCAAATGAAAATTAAATATTCATTCGAAATTGAAAAATAGTATTTCTTACCACTGAAATATTTAATGCTGTTTTCCTCAACCATTAATTGGCTTTGTCTAAATCTCAAAATAATGTTGAAATAACGCCGAATAACGCTTAATAACGATGAATAACGCTGACTAAACCCAAATAACGCTGAAAAACGTTGAATAACGCTAAATAACGCTGAATAACGCTAAATAACGCTGAATAACGTTGAATAACGCTGAATAACGCTAGGCAACAGAAAAAAGATATTCCTATCATCAATTATTAGGATTAGACAATGTCCCGGACATCGACTGGCAAAATAAATTATGTTTGGACTTGAAATATATGATGTTTTAAATTAATCTTTTCAATTTTTATTTTTCTATATTAATTAAGTTTAGGAATTTTGCCTGATTCTTTGAGACGAAAAACATTTTACTACAAACTTTTTTTGTATAAATCATATATATGCTTAATCTCCCCTCCAGACCTAACAAACTGTCTGACAAACCTGCCATTTTGTGCGATATATATAATATTAGTAAAACTAAAACAAACTTTTTTTGTATAAATCATATATTTGCTTAATCTCCCCTCCAGACCTTATAAACTGTGTGGCAAACCTGCCATTTTGTGTGATATATATTAGTAAAACTTTTCATACAAGTTTTTTCAACCATAACACCGAGGTCTGTATTGATTTAAATAATGAAGAAACAAATTCAAGGGTTTTGCAGCTCTTTTTACCAGCAAAGATGTTTTCTAAATTTTGCATTACGTTACAAATGTTTGCAGATTTTTTGTTCTTTATAATTATCAGTTTTGAGAAGAATTTAATCCACATTTTCAAATCTTGGCCCTTTAAAAATAATCATGAAATGTTAACCCATTTTTTATATATTCAAAAATTTTGAAGTTAAATTAATTGTTTGAAAAAGTATTATTTTATTTAATCTAATGTGGAAATGAAATTTATTTCTTCAAAATCGAAAAATATTAAATTTCTTGAAAATATAAAATTTACATATTTATCTTCTTTTTCTTCTAAGACAAAAATTCTCTGAGCAATAATATATTTGAAGTATATTGCGCAAACTATAAAATTGAATGGATTCTGATATTGTTTATTTGTAGTGTTTTCATAATATATTATTTTAGTATTAATATTATAATACTTTGCTTTAATTATTGGAATCTATATAATAAAGTACTTTGCTCATAAATATTTGTATGTTAGTTATAGCTGGCCAAACGGTTGGAACAGGTTGATTGAAGTTTATGGGTTCCCATGGGAAAAAAAATTCGAATTTTCTTCTTTTAAAAAAATGGTTTTTTTTTTCAAAGTTAAATTTTTTTTAAATTCCACGGGCAACGCCGGGCACTTCAGTTAGTAGTCTTTAAAATAATGTGTCTATATGTTAGCTATATATGGCCAAACGGCTGGACCAAGTTGGCTAAAAGTTTTTGAGGTAACCCATTGGTAGCCTGGGGTAACATAGGCTAAAAAAAAAAGAGTTTTCTACAAAATTTAAATAAAGTTTTCTTTTTAAATCAAAGTTTTTTTTATTCGAAGTGTTTCTTAAATTTAACGGGCAACGTCGGGCACTTTAGCTATATCATTATACTAACATATCGTTTTCCCATATTTAAACATGTTTTTTGTGAAAATCTCTTTTTTATTTCTGCTGCATACATCTTTTGAAACAATCCTTCTATGAATTAATTTCACAAATTTAGGCGTTAAGCTCTGCCTGTAAATATTGGATTTTGCTTGCAAAGTTTTCAGTCCACTAAATGTTTTGAAAACATTCCAAAAAGGAATAGAAGTTAGAGACACGTGTATCTTAAATTTATTCTTATTATTCCGCAGTATTGGAGAAAATATAAAGGGACTGTGAAATCATTTTCAAATAAGATAAACAGGGATAAGAAGAAAATATAAAGGGACTGTGAAATTATTTTCAAATAAGATAAAAAAAGGACAAGAAGAAAGTATAAAGGGACTGTGAAATTATTCTCAAATAAGGTAAACAGGGATAAGAAGAAAGTATAAAGGGACTGTGAAATCATTTTCAAATAAGATAAACAGGGATAAGAAGAAAGTATAAAGGGACTGTGAAATCATTTTCAAATAAGATAAACAGGGATAAGAAGAAAGTATAAAGGGACTGTGAAATTATTTTCAAATAAGATAAAAAAAAGGACAAGAAGAAAATATAAAGAGACTGTGAAATTATTTTCAAATAAGATAAAAAAAGGATAAGAAGAAAATATAAAGGGACTGTGAAATTATTCTCAAATAAGGTAAACAGGGATAAGAAGAAAATATAAAGGGACAGTGAAATTATTCTCAAATAAGATAAACAGAGATAAGAAGAAAATATAAAGGGACGGAGAAATCATTTTCAAATAAGATAAATAGGGACACGAAGAAAGTTTCTTTAGAAGTAATAAAAATCAGACTAGACAAAATGAAAATGTAAAATGTATTGTATGACTTTTTTTATTTTTATTTACGCCCCAGATGAGAAACGCAAATGTATCAGATTATAGAAATGCATAACAATTTTCTCTTTCTGAATAAGCTTTACGAGAACATATTAGATTTCAATCTTACGTTCAATTTGCTTTAGTTTGACGTGAATATTAACTTTTAACAATCACAAATTTTCCATTTAGGTTTGGCAAGGGTATTCCTGGCACTTGAAGATAACAGAATTGGACTGAAATCTCGACTTCTAGACACTAGACGGAGAAATAGAAAAATATTGATCAAACCATGATAAAAAAATTTAGAAGGACTAGGCTACTAGAGCGCTTCGCTTCGAGCCCATCTTCCATTTCAATTGTGAACATCTTCTCTTTGTATACATTGTAAAACAAAAAAACAACAAAAGATTTCCCGGATTTTATAAAAAAAAGTTTCGTGGATTTTCAAAGTTTTCAAAAGTCGAATTTTGTTAGAGGCAAATTTTTGAAATTTATATTATTCTCAAACCATCCCATCACGCGAGGCCCCACAAAAAAATGGACCCGATCGGTTCAGCCGTTTTGACATTTATTGGATATACACAAACAGACAACCAAAGTATATAAAGATGATCGAAAACCCATCTTCACGTTAAGCTAAAGTAAATTGAAAGTAAGAATAAAATCTTATATATGTTTTCCATCTTAACTTCCTTTGTTTAGAGTTCCTGAGAAGAACAAAATGTTTGAATATTCTGGTATGTAATTCCCCATATTTTTCTTTTTCCCATACGTGTGCTTAAAATTAAAACAAGAGGCGCTACGAGGTCACAATGTCTTTGTAGTAATGTCCCATAAATTTTAACTTTTCTTTCTGTTTAGCTTTCAGTGTCTTTGATTCTTTGATATGATGTCACTAACTCACTTAAACAGTACTTTTATAGCCTCAAAAATATAAATTTTAAAACTTTAAAGCGCTTGTGTTTAGCTTTAGTTTTTAAAAAGTAATTGGTAAAATTCTCACCGGTTGTTACGTGTGAGCTTGCAAAATTTGGATCATTGTGTGCTTCACAGTTTAATATGATGATTTTTTTGTACCTTTTGTATTTCTAACCTATTTTTAACCTCAAATTTTCTAATCCTTATATATGTGTAACCTGATGGTGGAAGACTTTGACATTTCAAAGCTAGATAATTATATCTAAGAAAACTCACAGCTTAAAATATTTAAGGTCCTTGATATTGGGTTGCAAAAATATAAAGATTATAAATTTAGAATTTGTTGCAAAGACTCAACTCCTTTACCCAAAATGATTCAGGTGAAATCAAGCTCTAAGGAAGAGTGTATATTGTTTATAAAAATAATTCCTCTGTTTGAATAGATAACTGTTGTTTTCTGAATGAAAGTGGGAAAAAACTCCTGTATTTGAAAATTAGAAACTATATCGACATTGTATATCGGGTATTCTGGCAACCTTGCAGAACAAAATGGAACTAAACTTGAATCTACGACCAGGGAGATAGAAGGATATAAAGTAACATCCTTTCTCACAGATTAAACTGTAAAAATTAACGAGTTCTGTGTCTCATAAAGTTTCAATATTGACTTTTAATTTAATTTAGTTGGCTCTAAATTTAATAATGGCATGTAAATGCCTTACTCCTAGAACTGCTTTCAGACCAAACATAATAGTTTCCTATGACCAAAATTTTTCATTGATTTTTTATGTGAAAGATGGATCCCATGTCAGGCTGTTACATCTGTCTTGTGTTTACTTTATAGACCAGTACTAAAAATGCGTACACCTCTGATTCTTTGCCGTGATGGACGGTTGTTGTAAGCAAACAAATTTTATTAAAAAAGGATTTGAAAAATTGTCAACAATGCAAATTTATAAGTCTTCCATAAAGCAAGAATCAAATAAATAGTTTCAATCAAATGTTTTCTCAGACAACAGATGTTTTATAAATCAGAGTCATGTCAAACATCATTTTTATGTGAAGCAATTTATATAATTTACAAGACCATGCACAATGCACTGCACTGCGAAGTTTTTTTTAAGATCAGATTTTTTTCAAGGCAAAATTCTGAATCCTGACTTTTCAAAGATTGGATGAGATACTTTCTACCAAAAAACACATTGAGCTTAAAGTAACTGAAAACTCCACTTTTTTATCTCATATCTATATTTTTTATCTCATAGCTTTATTTTTTATCTCATCTAGCTATATTTCTTATCTCATAGCTATATTTTCTATCTCATAGCTATATTTTGATCTCATAGCTATATTTTTTATCACATGGCTATATTTTTATCTCATACCTATATTTTTTATCTCATAGCTTTATTTTTTATCTCAATTAGCTATATTTCTTATCTCATAGCTATATTTTCTATCTCATAGCTATATTTTTATCTCATAGCTATAATTTTTATCATATGGCTATATTTTTTATCTCAAAGCTATATTTTTTATCTCATAGCTATTTTTTGTCTCATAGCTATATATTTATCTCATAGCTATATATTTTATCTCATACCTATATTTTTATCTCATATCTATATTTTTATCTCATAGCTATATTTATTATCTCATAGCTATATATTTTCTATCTCATAGCTATAGTTTTTATCTCATAGATATATTTTTTATCGCATAGCTTTATTTTTTATCTCATAGCTATATTTTTATCTCATAGCTATATTTTTATCTCATAGCTATATTTTTTTTCTCATAGCTATATTTTTATCTCATAGCTATATTTTTTATCTCATAAATATATTTTTTATCGCATAGCTATATTTTTTATCTCATAGCTATATTTTTATCTCATAGCTATATTTTTATCTCATAGCTATATTTTTATCTCATAGCTATATTTTTTATCTCATAAATATATTTTTTATCTCATAGCTATATTTTTTATCTCATAGCTATATTTTTATCTCATAGCTATATTTTTATCTCATAGCTATATTTTTATCTCATAGCTTTATTTTTGCAAATTGGCAGTGCATATATCTTCGTTAATTCGAACTGACTATTTTTCTAATTTAATTCAGAGTTTGAAATATCAAAGGACCAAGATAAGATTAACCAAGTCGCGTTTTAGATAAGTAATCAGTCCCTTTCATGAGGAAAACTTGAGAACCAAAGTTTTTTCGCAATAATGAGTTCTATCTTGCCTCTAATAGGGTCTTGTTTTCTAGGTATACGATTACTAAGATCCTATCATGTTCTAATTGAACAATTAACAAGTAACAACCTGTTAGAATCATGTTTATCATGGTTCACCATTAAACCATTATTGTATTTGTCCTGCTTGTGCTTTTTAAAGTTTTTAAGTTTTTAAAATTTCACTAAACTTAAAATAGAATAGTTGAAACAAAAGGCGTTAGATGGCTGTCATACTAACCAATTATACCATAATTTGCCCGGCATGCAGTACAAATACAAGTACAAACTGGGCGTACCAAATTCGATAAGCAGTCTTTTATGGTACAGCGCTTTTTTACACAGACTGTCTGGAAACCCAAGTGAGATACAATCAAGACGTCCGATAAAGGAAGCTAATTTTAGAAACATTAAAAAAACAATATTCTGCAGAAGTTTCAAACTAACCTGATAACCTAGCGCAGGCGTAGTAATCTCCGACACTTTCTATAGCAGAAGCTAGCACTCCAGCCATCATCCCAACCACGCCCTCAACAGATACTGTGGGCGTTCCCCATTGAACTTAATACAATCATTACAATTATTTCATAAATATTGGGAGTAGAAACAGATTTCTGTTTCTTAGGTCTGATGAATGATTTGAAACAACATTAAAGATTTAAAGATTCAATTGAAGCATCATTAAAAATTAAATATTGTATCAATATAACAGTTTAGTAGTTCAAACTTGAAACATCATAAAAGGAACCCAGTTCCTGATTTTTTTATTACATCTGTATAACCCAATGTCGTAGACCTTTGTTATTTAAACTATGGATTCTGTTATGTCAAATTATCAAGTTTGAAATATCAACTGTTTACACAATCACACTTAAAGATATTGGGATTGTAAAATTTGAGTTTGTGGCAAGAACTCAGTTCCTTTCAAAAACAAGTGTAAAAACGCTTACATGGATACGGAACTCGAAACCAATCTGAATTAATGAAAAGATCCTTCCTGGCAGTTACAGATATGTTTGGGTTGCTTCCATCTAGAATATGTCAAGGTTAAATTATTTTCCATTTCCAAAATGTGGTCTGCTTTTTTGGCGCTTTCAATATTACCTAAGATATGAAGAATTTCGTTCTGATTTACAACAATATTTGATTTATTTAATAAAAGTTGAAATCTGAACGAAATTATTTATATCTCCGGTGAGGTGTTAAAAGTGTCAGGCCGTGAAACAATGCCAGGACTTTCCCCACAATATTTGATGATTTGGACACTTTTTCCACAATATCATATTATGAATGCATTGATAAACATCTGCTAAACTTAAAGATACGGTTAAATTAGTTTTTAAATGTAGCAATTCCAGAAAATATGAAGAAACAATATTTCGTCTTGAATGTCGTCTTTTTTTAAAGAGTTAAAAAACATGAATAAATTAACTTCTATTCCTTACATATTTAAAAGTGTTGCAAAATTATTTTGATTAAATAAATATATACCTAGTATAGTGTATAGATACCACATATACACCACATAATCAGAATAGATAAATAGATTTATAACAAGTATTGTGTAGAAACCACATATACACAACAGTATCAGGATAAATAGATAGATACCTAGTATAGTGTAGAACCACATATACACCACAGTATCAGGATAAATAGATAGATACCTAGTTTAGTGTAGATACCACATATACCCCACATTATCAGGATAAATAGATAAATACCTAGTATAGTGTATAGATACCACATATACCCCACATTATTAGGATAAATAGATAGATACCTAGTATAGTGTATAGATACCACAAATACCCCACCAGGATAAATAGATATAGATACCTAGTATAGTGTAGAAACCACATATATCCCACATTATCAGAATAGATAGATAGAAAGATACCTAGTATAGCGTAGAAACCAAATATACACCACAGTATCAGGATAAATAGATAGATACCAAGTATAGTGTATAGATACCACAAATACCCCACATTATCAGGATAAATAGATATAGATACCTAGTATAGTGTAGATGCCACATATACCCCACATTATCAGGATAGTCAGCAGAACAGGAAACAAGCTAAATACTCGGAACCTGAAATACATATGTGTTAATATTCAATTTTAATCAAACAGTCCCTCACTTCCTAATACTTTCCCCCTTGAACGAAATCCGAAACACCTCCAATTAGATTTATGGTTTAAAAATTATATTACACAATAACATCAGGATAAGGCACAGACTGAAAATGTTGACTTGGTTTAAAATGATTGTTTAAAAAATATAATTTTGTAAAATTATTTCTAGAAGGTAAATCAAATCAAATTAAATCAAATCAAAAATTCATATATTTCTCAATCTTATTTTAGGACAGGTTAGCTTGATACATATTTAAAATCAATCTCTAAACAATCAACCGATTATTACTCGATCAAGCAATATTATGTCGGTCATGCAATATCTATTATTTCATATGATTTATTATAGATTTGTTTGTCCCCAGAACACGATCGGGGTTGCGGTTGTAACAACCAAATCTAGGAGTTTTTCTATTTCGAAATTTTAGTGTTGTAGGGATTTTATCGATCGGCCAGGGGTTATTTTTAAGCCGCGTTTCCACTTAAGTTTTCGATCCTGTTGAGTAGAAATAATGCACCCTTTCGGTGCAAGGCCGGGCTGTTGACAGCTGCCCCTCGGTCCTCCTACATCCGTCATAGCTGTTTAGCTAGATGTTAGCTTCAGATATTCTTGAAACCAAAGGTTTGAGTTAAGTGCGGGAATACCAAAGGTTTGAGTTAATTGCGGGAATACCAAAGGTTTGAGTTAAGTGCAGGAATACCAAAGGTTTGAGTTAAGTGCAGGAATACCAAAGGTTTGAGTTAAGTGCGGGAATACCAAAGGTTTGAGTTAAGTGCGGGAATACCAAAGATTTGAGTTAAGTGCGGGAATACCAAAGGTTTGAGTTAAGTGCGGGAATCGAATCCGTGTATTCCAGTCTAGACACCAATCTAGTTACTGGCTGCGGACAATTTTGCTTAACTTCAGTGATCGAGAACTGTGGTGAAATATACTACCCAACCCCTGTCTAGTCAATCCATTATTCTAATCAATGTATTTGATATCAATTGCAAGTTAGTAACTTATTTATAACAGTGGGTTTGTTTTGAAAGGGTCTGTAGACTATTCTCTATTGCATGAAAGATTTGTGTGTCAAGCCTTAAACCACTGCCTGAGCAAAAAATTACATAGTTTTTTTTGGTTTTGTCTAATAAATGGATTCTCTTAAATAGTGGATTTCTGCAGCAGAGAAATTTAATTGTGAAATGAGCATATAACGTTTTATATTAGAGGTAATATTTGGATTTTTGAATATTCATAAAACTAGAGTTTACAAACTATGTATTTCTTACACATTGGAGTTCATATTAGTTCTATGTGATTTCCTTGTGTAGAGAAATTGATATAAAACTGTTTCAAAGTTATACCAAGACTCATATGGCCGAAGGAGCATTGTGGTCAAATACTGAAGGGCCAAAGGTGGAAATTCTGGTCACGTGACCAGATACTTCACTGCCATTGGTGGAAATTCTGACCATGTGATACAGACGTAAAAATTATATTTTCAATTAAATATATTAAAAAGTAATAAATATTATATTCAAACTATAATACGCACCTAAACTCTTAAGCGTATTTGCTATGTTCTGTTAGAAACTTCAATTCATATACCAAATCACACACATATATATATATATATATATATATATATAATACATATATAATATATATATAAACAGTTTCATATCAATTTCTTTAGATAAAGACATCAGATAGAACTAATATTGGTTGCGATCAACTTCTAAAATGTTTAGGCTTCACCCTATACCCGGCCTTTCATTTTACCTTAACAGTCCCTTTAATCAACATTTCTTAGGGCAAAATTATAAAATCCAAAAAATGCATGCTTTAAAGAAAAACAAAAGTTTCAAGCAATAGGGAATCATGAGAACTCAGACAAAATAGTATGAATTATACTCCTAGGGTCGTCTTTGAATTCTCATCCTATATGTGCCACCCTTTATTATAATTGCATGATTGATTAGCGAATGAAAATTAGTTAACTCTAGTATGAGAAACAGAGTCTTTCTCCTAAACTTGGTTGATTGGTTTCACAAAGTTCTGGAAACATAACCCCCCCCCCCTCCCTCCCCTGGGAGAATGTTAACTTTTTATACGGGGATTTATAAATCTATAATCCATTCTTCGTAATTCCAAGGTTTCGTAAATATTTAATATTCCCATCCATGAAAAGTTGAAGGTTTGATGTTGGGAGAGCTTAATAATGCATGGAGCCCCCACCGATTCCTTAAATCTTGTATGGATGGAGATGGATAGAAAGAGAATGCAAACAAAATCTATGACGTCACTAAAATAGACTTTTTTCTAATTCCTATTTAAAAGTTTACAAGTCTGGATTACTTCAAGGTCTGATCATTCCGAAATCAGTTTTGCAAAAGTGTGAGGTTTAAAGGGATAGACTGTTTTAATTTACCCTCCATTTATAAAGTGTCATGTCCGATTCACAACGGTACCCTTAAACGCTTTGATTGATCAGGAATCCATGATAATTGGTAACTTCCGATTTTGGTTTCTTGCTATTAAAACAATGGAGAAAAATGTTAAAACCATAAGCACTGTTCAAGCTAGACTTAACGTACATTTTTTCCACATTATTAATCAGCCATCAGGTTACTTGGACATACTCCTATTTAAACGGTTGATCATGTGAAATTACGTTTACAGTCCCTTTAATTCTAATATGTATATTATCTTTATGTTTCCAACCTCCCCCTATTTTTTAATACCCTGGAATACAGAGTTTGTTTGAAGAAAGAGAAGTATCTATTATGTATAACTGACTAAATTGCTTTGAAGGAAGGAAGGAAGGAAGGGGGCAAAATTAAATATTGAAATGAGACAAACTTATATAAAATCCATTTGAAATTTAATAAACGAATTTAATCTAATGATTACTTTTTCATGAATTTTCATAAAAAAAACTTTTATTTAAAATCCTCTATTTGAAAAGTCACTTTATTTCATATCATTTTAAACTGTGACAGAAACCTACGAATGTAGATCTAATCTCAGACGACAGAAAATCTGAGAGAAACCTACAAATGTAGATCTAATCCCAGACGACAGCAAATCTGAAAGAAACCTACAAATGTAGACCTAATCTCAGACGACAGAAAATCTGAAAGAAACCTACAAATGTAGATCTAATCTCAGACGATGGAAAATCTGAAAGAAACCTACAAATGTAGATCTAATCCCAGACGACAGAATATCTGAAAGAAACCTACAAATGTAGACCTAATCTCAGACGACAGAAACCTACAAATGTAGATCTAATCTGAAAGAAACCTATAAATGTAAATCTAATCTCAGAAGACGGAAAATCTGAAAGAAACCTACAGATGTAGATCTAATCTCAGACGACAGAAAATCTGAAAGAAACCTACAAATATAGATCTAATCTTAGAAGACAGAAAATATGAAAGAACCCTACAAGTGTAGATATAATCTCAGACGACTGAAAATCTTTAAGAACCCTACAAATCTGAGGGAAACCTACTAATGAAGATCTAATCTCAGACGATAGAATATCTGAAAGAAACCTACAAATGTAGATTTAATCTCAGACGACAGAAAATCTGAGAGAAACCTACAAATGTAGCTCTAATCTCAGACGACAGAAAATCTGAGAGAAACCTACAAATGTAGATCTAATCTCAGACGACAGAAAATCTGAGAGAAACCTACAAATGTAGATCTAATCTCAGACGACAGAAAATCTGAAATAAACCTACAAATGTAGATCTAATCTCAAACGACGGAAAATCTGAAAGAAACTTACAAATGTAGATCTAATCCCAGACGACAGAATATCTGAAAGAAACCTACAAATGTAGACCTAATCTCAGACGACAGAAAATCTGACAGAAACCTACAAATGTAGATCTAATCTCAGAAGACAGAAAATCTGAGGGAAACCTACTAATGAAGATCTAATCTCAGACGACGGAAAATTTGAAAGAAACCTACAAATGTAGATCTAATCTCAGACGACGGAAAATCTGAAAGAAACCTACAAATGTAGATCTAATCTCAGACGACAGAAAATCTGAAAGAAACCTACAAATGTAGATCTAATCTTAGAAGACAGAAAATATGAAAGAACCCTACAAATGTAGATCTAATCTCAGACGACTGAAAATCTTTAAGAAACCTACAAATGTAGATCTAATCTCAGAAGACAGAAAATCTGAGGGAAACCTACTAATGAAGATCTAATCTCAGACGACAGAATATCTGAAAGAAACCTACAAATATAGATATAATCTCAGAAGACAGAAAATCTGAGAGAAACTACAAATATAGATCTAATCTCAGACGACGGAAAATCTTTAAGAAACCTACAAATGTAGATCTAATCTCAGACGATAGAAAATCTGACAGAAACCTACAAATGTAGATCTAATCTCAGACGACGGAAAACCTGAAATAAACCTACAAATGTAGATCCAATCTCAGACGATAGAAAATCTTAAAGAACCCTACAAATATAGATAATCCCAGACGACAGAATATCTGAAAGAAACCCACAAATATAGACCTGATCTCAGAGGCAGTAAATCTAGAAAGAAAATCACCCAATTTAATTCCTCGTAATCTTAAAAGGTATGAAGTGTAAAAAAGAAATATCAGAAGTCAGAACTCCTATATTATGAATCTCGGGATCAAGAAATGATCTTCATCTTATGGATTAATCTAAAAATAATTGCTCTGTAATATTCTGGGATAACTAAAATGAATGATCTTCAAAATTTAAAAGTCTCCACATCGGAGATCGAGATTAAACTGTCGAGATTAGTGTGATTTGACACAAAAGTTCCAATCTCAGTGCACGGAAAATGAATCTAAATCCGAAGTATTTATCTAAATGTTCTTAATATATTTTAAACTAAACAATATGAATAAATAAACCTTACTTAATCATATTCTTCCTTCCAGGTAAAGGTATCCAGGCTTTCTCCAGGTACTGGGAGAATAAGATCATCAGAAGGATTGTTCTAAATATTCAACTTTTAGATATTAGTATACATTGACACACTGAATACTGTGGAATACGAAGACGACCTGTTAAACTCAAGTTTTGGTTTTAAATGGTCCAAGGAACAAGAAACTAAGCAATTGTCCAGTGAACACCGGTAAATCATTTGCTTTATAACATCATAAAATACGAACAAGATTGAGCAAATAATATCCAGTTTAATCCTGTTTCTATGTCCGATTAAACCCCCTTGAACGATTTGCCTCAAACTTTGATTGAATCACTCGTTAGATCTCCGAGCAAATAAAAAATGACAGAACAATGGTTATTTTAAACAAACAACACCACTCTCTTAAAACATTAGATTGAAGTGATAATTACCCTCCTGCTACTCCCCAGTGTCCCGACGCATTATGTGCTGCGACATCGAAGAGAGATAAACCAATCATAGCTACAGAGGGTCCAATTGTTAAAGGTGTTATCCATCTCATTATCAAACTTAGCAAACCTTAAACATAAAGTTGGATGATTTTCAATTTTCAAAATGTAAAAAAAAAATTATCATTGGAGAAAGCATGGAATAAACTATGTAACGATATTGCAAGCTAGGCTTAATGTTGGATAATTTATAAAACGTAATTTTACATTGAATAATTATGCTTAAATCAAAACTTTAATATTTATTCTTTGAAGACATTTTTCACAAAGCACAGAATTACAAAAGTTTTTTAAATGTCAATATTATAAAGCAATTCTAACAAGTTGGGAATTCTCCACGCTCTGGATGATTGTCAATATTGAAAGTTCCTTCGCAATTGCTCTCCATTGTTTGTTAAACTGTTAACCCTATAAAGATAAAGGCTGGGGGTTCTGAATCTATAGCATAGCCGGGGGGGGGGGGCGTCCCCCTTTAGAAAAAAGCCTGATCGAATAGGTATCGGGTAGAAATGCATGTTCATAGCCCAATTTTTCAAGGCCAGCTCATTGAAAAAAAAATTAGACAGATAACTTTAACAGTTTAGGAGTTAGGGAGGGTTAAAAAAATTGCCGAAAAAGGGTAAAAAAAATGTAAAAATATGTTTATTTGTTTTAAACAAATATCAAAGTTTGACACATGTTTTTACATCCGTTTAAAGGACTTTTCGAAAATATAATTTTTAGATCTGCAGCTTTTGTCACAAAATAAGTTATGTGCTATTTTAGATTTTTTTACACAGAGCGAACTTTTTACCACCCGTAAAGTCACACAATTTCACTGTGATCGTGTCAAAAATGAGAGTGCTAGGACAAAAAAAACTAGAGGGAGGAGAGCATCAAATGACCTCCCCCCCCCCAACCCCCCAGCCTGTTTAGGATTAAAGTTAACCCTAATTTTGTGTAATATTAAAATTAGCGAAATAATACAAAATTTCGAAATAAGAAAGGATCGGATGCAATATTGAACATGTTTGTCGATGATTATACCCTATGATAACTTGATGGAGGGAGAATACAATAATAATCTAAGTGTATAGATGAATATACCTGTATACCCTATGATAACTTGATGGAGGGAGAATACAATAATAATCTAGTGTATAGATGAATATACCTGTATACCCTATGATAACTTGAAGGAGGGAGAATACAATAATAATCTAGTGTATATATGATTATACCTGTATACCCTATGATAACTTGAAGGAGAGAGGATACAATAATGGCTCCTTGAACTTCCCGCATTCGAAGCTAATAAAATGATCTTTACAGCTTTATTTTTGAATTGTACTTAATTTTTTAGAAATTTATTATTCTATTACTTTATTTTAAATATCCTCAATCGATTATATTACTTTATTATTATTATCATATTGATCCCAACTCAATCTCAAAGTGTCATATCGGAACCTATGAACTGTGAACAGGTTTTTTTAGTATCAAAAATTAATTACATGTCAGAAACAAGCCCAAATCATTCCTTTTAGCAATTTTTCATATTTCTCAAAGATACATGATACAAAGATGCGCTGAATTATTATTATTATTATTATTATTTTAAAAAGTCAATAACGACTTTAATGGCGAGGAGGAACATTGTTCACTGACCTGCCAATATTCTTGAGGGTCAACTGGATCCGTCTCCTTGCAGGTCCATTTATCCAGGTTTAGAAGAGCCAAGGTTGGAACAATAAATGTAAATGTTCCACCCTGTAATAATATAAGGAGTGTTTTTTTCTGTTACTTTGTTTATCATCCCGAACAAACCACTAACCAGGGCTAAATGCGTTCGGTTTATCTATTTTAAAAACTTTAATCGTATTTTAGTTTTTAATTCAAACATCTTCAAAACTACGGAGTTATCTTTTCATCAACACATCTGCCAACAAGTTTTTTTTAAAAGAAAATAATAGAAAAATTCATGTTTAGATGGTCAAATTAGTCAAAAATTACAACTTGCTAGGACAAGCACTGAATCAAAAAATTATTTAAAAAGACGAAATTGAATTCGTCACTGAATTCCCATGTTTATTGGGACACCCTGTATAAAATTTCTAACCTGTATTATAGGAAGACGACATCCTATTGTAGTCTGTAGAAGAGTCACAATGCCAGACACAAAAAATATTGTAGAAATAATATAACCCCGGGCAGGATCTGTCTCTCTAATAGTAATTAAAAACAAACTCTTACTAAGTTCCGATCAGACATATTTTTAAACTTGAAAACAAAATATGTGAGTTTCTGGTACGGTCTATCTTCTTTTATATGTTGGACGTATCGGACTGTCAAATATAATAAATTATTATCAAATTTACCTTTCGTATTTTGACTGAAGAATCCTCCTGCCAGTTTAAAGCCAGGGTTGCCAGATGTGCAGCTATTAAACTATATACTCCACCACTAGCTCCAGCTAATAATAATAATAGTAATATTAATATAGATAATAATAATAATAATAATAACGATAACGATAACGATAACGATAACGATAACGATAACGATAACGATAACGATAACGATAACGATAACGATACTGATACTGATACTGATACTGATACTGATACTGATACTGATACTGATACTGATACTGATACTGATACTGATACTGATACTGATACTGATACTGATACTGATACTGATACTGATACTGATACTGATACTGATACTGATACTGATACTGATAATTATAATGATAATGATAATGATAATGGTAATTTATAATGATAATGACAGTTATAATGATAATGATAGTTATAATGATAATGATAGTTATGATGATAATGATAATAAGTTTGATAATAATATCGTAAAAAATTATTATAGTGATGATTTGACGAAAACAATCTGATTCTAAAAAGTTAACATTCCCTTGACTTCTCAAAATCTTCAGTGCTTACCCAATACAGAGGAATTCACAAAGAATAAATGGAATTGATATTGTTCCTCCAAACATAGTTAGGTAGTGTTGTAACCCTAAGAACATGCACATGTACCTAAATATATAAAATATACAATTGCAGATAATACTGTAACCCTAAGAACATGCACATGTACCTAAATATATATATATACATGTGTGCAGATAGTACTGTAACCCTAAGAACATGCACATGTACCTAAATATATAAAATGTACATGTGCATATAGTGCTGTATAGCCCTAGGAACATGCACATGTACCTAAATATATAAAATATACATGTGCAGATAGTACTGTAACCCTAAGAACATGCACATGTACCTAAATATATAAAATGTACATGTGTAGATAGTAATGTAACCCTAAGAACATGCACATTTACCTAAATATATAAAATATACATGTGCAGATAATACTGTAACCCTAAGAACATGCACATGTACCTAAATGTATAAAATATACATGTGCAGATAATACTGTAACCCTAAGATACCTAAATATATTAAATGTACATGTGCAGATAGTGCTGTATAGCCCTAGGTACATGTACCTGTACCTAAATATATAAAATGTACTTGTGTAGATAGTACTGTATAGCCCTAGGAGCATGCACATGTACCTAAATATATAAAATGTACATGTGCAGATAGTGCTGTATAGCCCTAGGAACATGCACATGTACCTAAATATATAAAAATGTACATGTGCAGATAGTGCTGTAATATATAAAATATACATGTGCAGATAGTGCTGTATAGCCTAGGAGCATGCATAGTACCTATAGATATTTAAAATGTACATGTGCAGATAGTGCTGTATAGCCCTAAGAGCATGTACCTGTACCTAAATATATAAAATGTACATGTGCAGATAGTGTTGTATAGCCCTAGGTACATGTACCTGTAACTAAATATATAAAATGTACTTGTGTAGATAGTACTGTATAGCCCTAGGAGCATGCACATGCACCTAAATATATAAAATGTACATGTGTAGATAGTGCTGTATAGCCCTAGGTACATGTACTTGTACCTAAATATATAAAATACACTTGTGTAGATAGTGCTGTATAGCCCTAGGAGCATGCACATGTACCTAAATATATAAAATGTACATGTGTAGATAGTGCTGTATAGCCCTAGGTACATGTACCTGTACCTAAATATATAAAATGTACATGTGTAGATAGTGCTGTATAGCCCTAGGTACATGTACCTGTACCTAAATATATAAAATGTACATGTGTAGATAGTGCCTGGACCTGTATTGTACAAGTACCTAAATATATAGATTGTACATGCAGGCAAATAGTGTTGTAATTTGTAGCCCTATATATATGCATTATGGAAATCCCGGTACACGTTAAGGATGTAGTCTTTTAACATGTACATTAAGTACTTTACACAACATTTAATTACAAATAGTACGTAGTCAAAAAATCTATGACTTTCAGGACAGTATTTAATTAAAATTTACCAAGGGGGTATATCTTCAATTTTGTAGAGAACACTTTCTTGTGTTTTCTTCAGATTCTCCTTTCCATTTTCTTCGTTATCTTTACTTTTCTTTTCTTCCGATCCTTTCCTCCCATTCATTTGTAAAATAATCCCATTCTAAAATAGTATTTAAAGGAAGTGTGTACTGTGTACTAATTTTGGATTTTGGCTGCCGGGGTACAAACTGTTAGAAAAAATCCTATTATATTGATCAAACAGTCGAAAATTATTAAATCCAAGTCGTCCTGATGAACACTCTGATTGACAAGATATGCTGCTGTTCGCTTCTGATTAGTTAGAGAAAACAACAACAAAACTATTTACTATATAGAGATTGCATAATAAGCTGCTATCGTGGCAAAAACGTCGAAAACTGACACTGATAAACTGACCGGAAACTATGAAAAATTTGAACGTTACGGACCATTGACGGCTAAAACTTTACAGTACTGTACACCAAATGAATTATCTTATTCTTGTGAGATTATTATGACCAGATGATATTTTCTTAATCATGCAGGCAGGATATATTATCTTATGTGATTTGCGTCGATATTATTATCTATAATATATATTTTTCATTTGATGTTTTGTGAATTTGGTTATAATCAGTCTACCGAAGGAATGATAGACTTTCTTTAATACAGCTCCTGCTCCATTCTCAAATTATGATTTTCATATAAATACAATGAAGTAGATAATATAATAGGACGTTCATAGATAAATAAATAAACATAGATACTAGATAGCTTATGTACGCAAAATCACCAGAATTGTACAGTCTGCGAACCCATACTTCTAGGGGTCAAAGTGTACTTTAAATGAGCGGAGTGGTTTGCTGTTTTAATCATCGAGATATTAGTAATAGAGGGGGCATCTGGAATTTTAGACTTCTTGTTGTACAGCTACTGTACACAATGACCCGATCAGAAATTCTACCTGGGGGGATCACAATTCGTAGATTAGTGTTTTAAGACATTATAGTTTGAATCCGAAGCCTACAATATTCAAGCAAAGAAAACAAGCCCATATGATTTTTGTATAAAAATGAGACATGACAAATAGAGAAAAAAAATAAAATCTTTCTCAATAACATCTTGCTTCTTATCAAATTCTTTACTTCTGAAATCTACATTGTGCATTAACTCTTAGTAATATATGTTTCTGACTTTTAGAATGAAAAGCAATTCTCAACTAATAATAGATCTAAATTAGGTTAGACTTAATTTTAAAGTTATTGAAGAACTGAAAACTGTTGAAATATTTATTTTACATAAATGAACTTAACGTGAAACAAGTAATTTTTAATTATAAATAATCTATTGGCTTTGTAGGAGAACCAGTTTTGAAAGCTTTTGACGCAATCCATTTTCTTACATTTTGGTTCACTGCATATAAAAATTGGGTTATTTTGATTCCAGATAACTTGTTCTATCCACTCTTTTCGTATGTTATGAAAAATTTTTGAACCCGAAACATCGTTGTTTACACAATTCTTGACACTACAATATCTCATTGTTGAAAAATATTAAAATTAACTGTCCACACAATATTGTACAATTATATGTACTTATGATTAAACCCACTGTACTCTATGATACCAACTCAGTCATAAGGAAACATTTTTCGACAAAATTCACTGTACAGTATAAACCTAGCCAGGCAAAATTAGGAGAGTTATGCCCGCCCCCTGGTTTTAATGGATCTCATATTAGAGTGTATAATAACTCCGGGAATGGAACTATTTGAACAACAATATTTCACTGATCAATATATCATACTGACGAGAACTGAAGAAGGACATGAGAAGGACTAAACTAACTTAAATTTCTCTCTACAGAACTCATGTACACCACAAGTGCTCAATGACATAAGAACAGCCAATGTTCACAATTCCGACCTAGTTAATCTATATAATAGGAATATCTTTAAAACATCTCTGTGCATTTATATCTTTCAAGATGAAAAATGTCGTCTTATGCGCAATCTATCTTTATGAGGACGTCCCATGAAAGCATGAGGTTTAAAGTCGTCTTTTCTCATTAAAAGAAATAGTTGAAAAAATAAACATTACAAAACATGTATACAAAAGAAAATTTTTTATCTAATTTTAATTTCTCTTTACAGAGAAACAAAAGGAAGCATTGATATTGGTCACTCAAATGCTAAATTGAAAAGGTAACAACCTCCATATCATCAACTTTCAGTTTTCGTGAACTCTCCCATTAAAAAATGGTCCTTTTACAAACTCATTTCTCTATATTTTAGAACACTTTTTAATGTCGTTTACCTGTGATAATAATTCTAACAATAAAATCGGCTCTATCAGATTGTTAAAGTTTTAAAGCTTCAAATGTTAATTGCATCCGTTGGCAAAAATATAAAAATTTGAAGATTAGAGTTTGAGGTTAGTAAAATTGTACTACCTCCATTTCTCTTGCTCCAATATCCTCTTATTTGAAATATCTAGACTAAATCTGAAATAAACCCTCATAAAAATACAAAAACGAGAATATGAATAAAAGTATTCGCAGCGACAAAAATCTATCTGTTCATAAAATAAAACAAAGAATCAGGAAAGGGGCAACAATAAATATTAAAAGCATTTTAGTTAGAATTAGTTAGTTTAAACTCTGGATCTAACCTAATCTTGTTACTTCAAAAAAATGGCGTTGAAAATTATTGATCACTCCGTGTACTTGTAGTCCTAACTGCGTATATCGAACCAAAAATACGATAATAAAATTAATCGCTTCTGACTGGAACTGAGCTACTACTCCTTTAAATAAAGCCCAAATTAAGATTTAAAACCGGTTATGAACCAGTTTTAGTCTCCCGCAAAGTTTCAAATTTGATTTCTGGTGTCAACTTTAAACAGGCGACCAGGTCAGGGGATCACATTTGATCTAGCTGTGATCCCAGTATTTCCACCGATCAAGTCCGATTCCAAATTGAAACTAGCGGAACCTGGATGGAATTATATGATAAATATTGACAACGTAAACATAGTTTTAAGTGACCCTCCATTGAAAGAGTGGGATGTCCAATTGACAAGATCCAGAATGAATTGGATATTCATGTTTTTGTTTTTGAAAACTGTCTATTTTCATTTGTGGTTTCTCTGCAAAAGTGACTTGCACAAAGCACATTTCTTTCTTCGGAATGAAGAAATTATTAGAAATATTAACTATTGAAACCAAAAAAACGACAGTGAATCACTTAAAATAACGACCACAGTCCCTTTAAAGCTTATTCTACTGTGGGTTGTACAATTATATCTTGCACTCATCCCCCCAATACATACAACTAATTATAATGACTGATTAGAACTGAGTCTAATGTTTAACTAAGCTCTGTACGCTCTTATTCTGAATTGAATATGCTTGAACATGCATAAAGCAGGCAAATGTCACAAATATACAAAGAACTTGAATTCTATACGAGAGTACAGGACAATAAATGAAGGAGGAAGACTTAGTTAATGACCATAAGAAATGTGGAGAAATAAGTAAAGAATAAGAGAAGAAATTAGTAAAAAATAAGATAAAAATTAGTAAAGAATAATAGGAGAAATAAGAAAAGAATAGGAGGAGAAATAAGTAAAGAATAAGAGGAGAAATGAGTAAAGAATAAGAGGGGGGAAAAGTAAAGAATAAGAGGGGAAATAAGTAAAGAATAAGAGGAGAAATGAGTAAAGAGTAAGAGGGGAAATGAGTAAAGAATAAGAGGGGAAATTAGTAAAGAATAAGAGAAAAAATGAGGAAAGAAAAAGAGGAAAAATGAGGAAAGATCAAATAAGAGCAGAGAAATAAAACGATTATATGAGAGAAAAAAAAATCAATTGTTTATGTTAAAGTAAAATTCACTTATAGTTAAACGTATCTTGAACGACTTGATGAATTTTGTTCTTGTATGAAAAAACTAAATTTTCGCTTATCTTTTGATAAATATATAAATTAAAACAAATTGATAAAAGTGTAAATTGATTTGAAGATCTAAAATTTGCTCCTTTTTCAACTTTATTTTTCTTTAAGTTTAAAACATTTTTAACAGTTTGAGAGAGGTTCGATATATTGGCTTCACTCAAGGGGGGAAAGTGTAGGCGAATGGGGGAAATAAAATTGGAATAAAAACTGAAAGTTTTACTTTTTATTCAATAGAGGGGCATGCACAATTCACAAGTGACTTAGAAACCTTGATCTGACCATTAGTGGAATATAATGTCGTTTGTCTGGCTTGGAAGAGTTTAATTCTGATAATTTCTTTACTGTTTCATAAAGGGAGTATTTGTGAAAAATAAAAAAGACTATGCATACGTCTTATTATAATGATTATACCCAAGAACGTAGCGTCCATACAAATTCAGAAACTTGCAATATTCGACTCAGATTGTAATTATTATCAAATTAATTCAGGTATTGCAACCTTTAAGCATTGATTGTTTAAGGCATTCGTATATAGTTAAAATTTCCCAATATTTTTTATTTGTTTAAATAACAATGCAGTTAAAATGGTGATTTTTTTGTCCGCTGAGTGTTTTTTTCACGTGGAACCATACACACGAAACATTGAGAGCAGAGACACCTGTCGGCCAACTATTGAGATTACGTTTACAGTCCCTTCAGTAAACCACTCTTCACATAATTAGCGACCGTCGGCCCGGAGTTAATATATGGACCCAAAAACAGAGGAAACCGATCAACAAACTGAGAATTGAAACATTTTTCTGGAAACCGGAAACGGACCCAAAAAATGTGGAAGTTCGGACCCACAAAATATATGGGGAAACCGATCAACAAACGGAGAATTTAAAACTTTTTCTGAAAACCGGAAATAGACCCCAAAAATGAGGAAACGAATCGAAAATATTGGGAAATCCCTCAAAAATATAAGACCTGTATAAACTGGAATCTGTCCTAAAAATCAAGGAAACGGATAAAAAAAACGGGAAATTCATATAAAAATTAGATTTAAGTGATTTCCGATAAATTTTGAAAAAAAAGCAGGAAACGTATCAAAAAAATCATTTTGGGGAGGTTTCCGTTTTTTGGATCCGATACCGTGTTGAGGCGTTTCCATAGCACCATATTCCCACAACTTGTATTTTATTTTATCTTGTTTAATAACAAATATTTCTAAGCTTTTTACAGTTCGTTATTTTACATATAAATACAATACTCTTAATTAATAAGTAAACACTCATTGATAAAAAATATATTTATCAATTGTATCATTTTCAAATTTTACCGACTAGACCGTAAACAGAGGCTTAAGAACTTACCGAGGGGGGTGATTATCTCCTCTTATGTAAAAAAAATATCCCTGAACGATGGCATGTCTTGCCAGGAATTTTAGTATTTTTTACATAATAACTCTGAAACAGGGACAGGAGGGGAAAATGGTGTGCCCTACAAAAAAAATATTAATGATAACTATTTATTGACTCATTAAGGGGCGCTATTGGAACCCTTTATTTACTAATTTTTAAACATATCACCAAGAAGTAGAATTGAAAAGAGTGTTAAAGGGAGTGTCTGGCTAGACATGGCAGTTGAGTTGAGAGTGCAGTATTGTAGAGACATATTTTAGAAATCATTGGAGATCTATAAGACATTTGTACGAATAAATCAATCTTTAAAACCTGCAGGCAGAAGTACCGCTGGCCGGGTCATAACCTGACTGGAGGGGAGAGCCAGGAGGATTTTAAAGACCAATTTTGCGCTCTTAGTTAGGAATTATACACCGTACAAAAATCTTATTGGTCTAAAATGATTTCTAAAAATATTCTCTACAATACAGCACTCTCAGCTCAAATACCATGTGTACCAAAACACTCTCTTTGGCGGGTTAATATAAGGGGCATTCCGGATTCACAATGGTACGTTTCAACCCTGATGGCGCCCTCCGTGGTTCTAGCCATTTTAAAGGCGAAGCTTTAAAGAGACAAATCCTTAAGGTTTGAAATCTAACAAATCATAAAGAGAAGAAAAAATACATTTTTCTCTTATTTTAGATATTCCATGAAAACTTTCAGTTATCTCCCGAAGCAAGCAACTCAACTATCGTGTACAGAATGGGCGGAACACAAGAATTCCTCACTGATTGAGATATTCACGAACATCCCTGCATCCTCACGAGCCTTGCCTAGAGAAAACAAACTCGGATGACCTGAACCACAGTGCACCAAATATTTAAAAATTATCTGAACCACGGTGCACAAAACATTTACCAATGATCTGAACCACAGTGCACCAAACATTTACCAATGAGCGGAACCACAGTACATAAAATATGTAGTCCTGATATGAACCAAAGTACACCAAACGTTACTAAAAAAAACGCTGCGAAGAAAAAACGCTGCATTTATAAATTGTGAACAAATAGTTTCCCTTGACTTAAGCTTAAACATTACTTGGGTTCTACATTAGTCTTTTTTAGTGAATGGTCAGTAATAAACTAATTTTTATTAAAAGAATCAAATTTGTCAATAAATCAATGGTAGATTTAATTATTTCTTTTACATCATTATATTGAATTTCTTTTTATATAAGAATTTGTTCGCAGATTTCTACAAATTCTTCAAATGTCGTCTTTTAATAAAAATTCCAGGAAATAAATCTTCATAATATGTTTTTGAACAATGAGACATTACAGAAACCAATAACTGAATAAGATTACTTATTTTTGATGATAATAGTTAATTTTTATTTCCTCAAGCTGTTCCTAAACAACTTATTAGTTTACCGTAAATTTTTTCGTTGTCGTTATTGAATAATTTTTTAAAAACGATACTTAAATCTTTCCTTAAAAATGAACAATAATGAAATAAAAGATTGAATTTGCTGAACAAATATGGAATGTAAAATCGTCTCATAGCCTAGGTCTAATATTATTCCTAAAAGATTTCTCAACAATACTACATTCTCAGTTCAACTTCAATACATTGCCGGTCACTCCCTTTAAGAATTTGTTTTCTAAATATCTTTATATCGATATAGTTGTCTTAAAAGATTATTAGTATATCTATAAAAATAGTGCATGAAATTAACAATTTATTAATTGTAATGATTTAATTTTTCTAATCTGCAAACAAAAATATTGACGGAATATTCTTATAGTAAAGTGGGTTTAATCTGTTTTGAAATAATAAAAATATGTCTTTATTCTAAATATTGAATCTGACCAAAATTTTATAATTAGATATTATTGGGAAATATTGATATGCTGAAAATAAACATTTGAAAAGGGTTTCGAATTTAAAATGAAATTAAAATAATAAAATTTGAAAAGGTTTCGAATTCTAAAATAAATTAAAATAATAAACACTTGAAAAGGTTTCGAATTCTAAAATAAATTAAAATAATAAACACTTGAAAAGGGTTTCGAATTTTAAAATGAAATTAAAATAATAAAATTTGAAAAAGTTTTCGAATTTTAAAATAAAGTTAAAATAATGCGGAATACAGGGCAATCGTAAAATAAAAAAATACAATGCAGGACAGTACAAACACAGTACACAGCAAAGTACATAGCACAGTACATACATGTTACAATAGAAAGCAAAGAAACTGAATGCTTGCCGAAACTCAAATTTTCTAATCTTATATCTATTTCTAATCTTGCTCTCTGATGTTGGAGACACTACAAGGTTGCAAAGATATGTTAGATAATTTAAGTTTCGTGCAAGTACTGTTATATATTTAACTGAGTTTATGCCTCAAACTCAAATTTGGTGTGAACCTTCTATATTTTAAAATTAGATTATTAGATCTAACAGAATTCATAGATTGAAATATGAGAGGTGTGCGAACTTGGGTCGTAAAGTGGGTTTAGAAAAACTCATTTCCGTTCTTTCCAAATGATTATATGTTATAGAATGGTCCTATTTTTAATTTGAAAATAATAAAAATATCAATTTTAGTTCATTATTACGATAACCAAAATATTCTTTTGAGGATCAAAAAATGCAAAATAAAATATTCATTATTCTTTGTTCGCTTAAATAATATAAGTGATCAATTGTTATTAAATACAGGGGTAAATAATTCTTAAGAGACGACTTTATGACTTTTTTACTGTCTGTTGCCTTAAATTCATGGTTTCTTGCAAATTTTAACTTTTTTCCTTCTTTGTAAAACTAAAAAAAGTCATTATATGTGATTAGACGACTATACTTAAGTCTAAAGACTTAATTTAACCATGAAATCTTGATATATCAAGAGATTCAAATATCCTCATGACAGTTTCATTCTTTGTGGAATACAGAACATATTTAATCTTGCTTATCAAACATTGACATTACATAAATACATTGTTAGGTTGATAAATAGACAGATATGTATATTGTTAACCAATAAAACTCGTGATAAATAGTTCAATGAGCGTGAAACACAGCAGTTTTATATAAAAATTGGTATCGTTTATTTAAACAAACGAAATTTTTCTAAACAAACAAATTTTTGTCGTGTAGAAAAATTACATAATGTTGAACGAACAAATCGGACCAATCAGAGAAATAAAAAAATTTAACAATTCTTCACAATCAATTGTAACACAAAAAAATCTTTTAAAATAAAACTTGCAAAAAAAATAATCTAAAAAAGAAAAAGAGGAAAACATTTGGTTGATAGATTAAATTGTGATCAAAGTCACAGCTTGCTGGGACCAAACTGCTAAATCAGCGTGACTTAGTTCGACTTCAAAATCACAGCTTACTGGGACCAAACTGCTAAATCAGCGTGACTTAGTTCGACTTCAAAATCACAGCTTGCTGGAAAAGGGACCAAACTGCTAAATCAGCGTGACTTTGTTCGACTTCAAAGTCACAGCTTGCTGGAAAAGGGACCAAAGTGCTAAATCAGCGTGACTATAATAGTTCGACTTCAAAATGTTCCTATTATCATTTTTAGTATTTTCTGGTTCAAAAACAATTTTCTGATTATTAACAGTTATAGCTTTACAAAAGCATTCAACTAAAAATTAAATATATAATATTAATAAAACACAAAACAAATTTACTTAAAATAAAAAATTTATCGTGATTCTGTTTTTTCTTGTTTCTTGTTAAACGCACAGTTTATCTGAACCGTACATTTAAACATCAGTTGGTTAAATCAAGGAGAATTCAGGGTCGAATTTAATGAATTGGAGAGGTCGCTGAACTACCTACACCGCCGCCAGGTTCAAATCTTTAATCACATATTTAGATCCACTGGAATCTTTAATTTTGAATCAGTGATTCAAATTTGAATAGGCGGTAGGTAGTTTAGCGACCTAGCTTAAATTAATAAAATTTGGTCCCCCGTTTTTTAAGACTGCTTTTTTCCGAATGTTTTTATACTGCTAAATAATTCACAATTTTAAATAGACACTCTGTAACATTATAAAATTTTTTTACATTTTCATTCGAAAATCTAGATTTTTTAGGATTTTAGAAAAGTAAAAAAGTGTATACTTGAAGAAAAAACACTGGAATTTGTGAGTAAATATTTTTTCATCTAAAAATTATGTCTATATTGTAATTTAATTTTTTGTCATATTTCTATATATGTTTTTATTTATTTTTCAACAAAAAACAGACATTCATTTTTTAATTTACTTATCAATAAAATGTTCCTTTGTATAACTAATCATTATGTTTAAAAAGTTTCAATTAACTCCTTTTTATAATTATTTGTCTTGCTTATCTTTTGCTAAAAAGCGTATGGAGAAAAAATTTAACTATTTAGGTTCATTAATTGTCATTAAAAGAGAAACTATTGTTTTTGCAAGATATTTCTTGTATTCACTTTTTGTGTTTTCTGCTAGTGTAGTTTGCTATTAGAGGCAATCTACACTATCACAGTAATCTAAGCTAATGGGATAGGACAGGTTCTGAAAAAAGTCTGGCCACATCATCAAAGTTAAAACCGAGCCGTTATAGAATGGTGTCGGGCCGTTACTTTCCACGCGTCACTAAGGCCGGTACAAGGGGTTTGTCCGGTTCAAACTCCAATGGACCCTAGTTCCCCGTGCTCTATATTTACACAAATATAAAACTATTCATCAAATAATGAGATCAAAACTTAGAATTTTGATTTCCATCTTATGCAGATCTACATGTTGATTTAATTCCTCTTCAATGCCTCGTGATGTTCAATGTTCATAACTTTAATTAAGGTAAAATCAACTATTGATCCTTAAACTTAAAAGATCACATTTTGAACAACAGATATAAAGTGGATAAGCATATATTAGTACAGTCCGGATGATCTTAGCTCTATCTCGTTCACTCTTTATAAGAAAGTCATTGACGGGGCCTGCTCTAATTAATTCGTACCGGTCCAGTCCGATCCCCGTAGACCATACCTTACTAGGATTAATTCCGCTAAACATTTAAAGTACGACTTATAAAAATTCAAGTTCAACAAGCTTGTCCAGAAACTAAAATATCCTCAACTATGTTTTCGACATGCTCCAGTACACTGACCGAAAGAAAAGTGGGTTTTAGAGTGGAGAGTAAAGACAGGGTTGAGTTCGTGCTCTTTTTGTACATTTTCTAAAGAATATTTTCAACTCCCACTCTTCTTGATCTAACTCTTAAGATTGATTCTTTCAAGCCAAGCAAATAGTCTTTCCAATGCAGTTTCTTTTGCGACATTTTCCTGTGTAGGAATTCTTGGATTTTAGGATTTTGGATAAATTTGACCGGGTATGTGGTGAAAATAGCCACAGTTAGAATGAGATTGTATGGGATGTGGCTCTGGTCGATGTAGTGGAGGAAAATGACGATGATTCCCGAGAAACTCGTGATCAACACCGTGATGAGGACAGTTTTCATGCTCACCATGTTCTTGGAGGAATCTGCGGCCGTCTCGGACCTTACACTTAATCAACATCCGTAATTAACAATTATTCAATGAGGTTAAATTGAGAATGATTATTTAAATTTTTCTCTCTATGGAGAAAAACTGCAGAAGAGAAGAACAACAAATCTAGTTACAAAAATAGGATTTGTAGTTCTCAATATTAATATTATTTTTTCAATCACAAATTTTCTTGTATTGAACTTTTGTAATTTTCTAGCAATAGAACTCTCGAGCTTTATTTTTCTATTTTTTCATTTTCATTTTGAAGAAAGCGTATGTTCACTGACTTGAAGACAGTTNCCCCCTCACTCACCTATAATAAATATACCCAGTACCCACCTTTCAAATAAAAGTAAGGTTTTATTTTAATCTGTTACTAGTTCTCAGAATTTGATCATCTTAAAAGCTTGTTTCAATAATATTATATCTTTATTATAAGTACTTTTTCATAAGATTTTGTCTTTTAGTTTCTTAAAAGCTTATTTCATTAATATGGTTTATATATCTTTATTGTAAGAAAGATTTTTATCTTTAAACATATTAAAAGCTTTTTCCCTTATTATGTATTATTGTTTATTGTAATTAGGGTTTTGTCTTTAAATATCTTAAAAAATTTAATTTTCAGGCTTTGATTTTTGTCAAAAAAATATGTTCTGACTTCATCATTGTTTTCTATTCTAGTCAAATATAGGGTTTTTAAGGTTTTTTAAGTCAATCTATAAAAACACAAATTATGTATTGTGTTGTTTCTATGATGATATATGTAGAAACAATTTAATTTAAAATCTTTACTAAAGTTTTTATTATTACGCATGTCACGCAAACGCCACTGTATACAACAATGCCACTTTTTTAAAGAATTATTTTTGATTGGTAGAAAATGAACTGCAATTTTACTGGTTTAAATAATTTAATAATCGATTTTGGGAGTTAAATATTTGAGCTTAAGGCTTAAGTTAAGTCACGAGCGGCAACTAAGCTGAACTTTTCAGAAAAAAATTTTTGAAAATGTTTAAGATGTCTTGAAATTTAATTACGTTCCAGATTTTGTGGTATTTTTGAAGATAGTATTTTCCGTAGAGGAAGAATCCCAGTGAAGTAGCTGAGCAGACTCCGCAGAGTAGCACTGTCGTGATGATGTGAGGATTAAAGGTTTTACTTCCGGTCAGACCAGTGTAGAAGGTCAGCTGGGGGGACACATAACCTGGATTCAAATCAGATTTAAGTTTAAGTTTAAGTAAAAATTATAATTATACCCCAAATTTTTAAGTCCACCTTACCGCTCAAGATGGCCGAAATTATAGAAAATATAGAAAATTATACGGGAAATATCGAGAAAAATACAAAATTCTAAAATCCGAAAAGTTAAAAAAAAATTATTTAGTTAAAATAAAGACTCCCGATTATTTTATAGTAGTTACATGTTTAGTTAAAATTTCGCGCTCAATTCGGTAATGGGACTTTAAACAATGAGATATAGCAAGGTTATAATACAAGGAAAGTTATTTCAGAGGTGTACGCATCTTTTGTACTGTCTCTTCGCGGTAATGTAAACACAAGACGGATGTCACAGCCTGGCATTCATTTCATAAATCGATCATTAAAATTTGGTTTATTAAAATTCGGGCTATCCAACGTTAATACAAGAAATGATTTCTTTCCATATTTCAGGTGTAAAAATGGCTTTCTTTGGTTATTCTGCAAATAACTATTGGGCTCAGTAACATCGGATAGTTTGATTGATTTGTAATTGCAAATCACTTTATAAAGAAAAGTTATTAAAAGATATCATTTTTTAAACAGGTTTTATTGAACGTAAGCTTGATATTGATTCTTTAATTCTTTTCCTGAGTATTTGTTAGATATTTAGTTAAGCTATCCTGAGTATTTGTTAGGTATCTAGTTAAGCTATTCTGAGTATTTGTTAGGTGTTAGGTAGCTAACAAGAACTTAGAAAAAAAAACAATTCAGAAAATCAATAACAAAAATCATTGATTAATATTTATTCTTTAAATTTATTTTAAATTTTAATTTAATGTTAATTAAAAAAAAAGTCTACAAACCAAATACTTTCAATCAACGTTAAAGCGATGCAAAAGAGTTGAGAATAAATACAGAAACCTCCTTGTAAATCATTCCTGAGTAGGACGGATACACCTGTCTGTAGTACTGGGTAGGACGGATACCTGTCTAGTACTGAGTAGGACAGAAACCTGTCTGTAGTACTTGGTAGGACGGATACTTGTCTAGTACTGAGTAGGACGGATAAACCTGTCTGTAGTACTGGGTAGGACGGATAACTGTCTAGTACTGATTAGGACGGATAAACCTGTCTGTAGTACTGGGTAGAACGGATACTTAATTCTAGTACTGAGTAGGGCGGATACCTGTCTGTAGTACTGAGTATGACGGATAAACCTGTCTGTAGTACTGAGTATGACGGATAAACCTGTCTGTAGTACTGGGTAGGACGGATACTTTTCTAGTACTGAGGAGTGAGGAGGACGGATAAACCCGTCTCTAGTACTGGGTAGGACGGATACCTGTCTAGTACTGAGGAGGACGGATAAACCTGTCTGTAGTGCTGGGTAGGACGGATATCTGTCTAGTACTGAGGAGGACGGATAAACCTGTCTGTAGTACTGGGTAGGACGGATACCTGTCTAGTGCTGAGGAGGACGGATAAACCTGTCTAGTACTGGGTAGGACGGATACCTGTTTCGTACTAAGTAGGACAGAAACCTGTCTGTAGTACTGAGTAGGACGGATGATAACTGTCTGTAGTACTGAGTAGGACGGATGATAACTGTCTGTAGTACTGAGTAGGACGGATGATATCTGTCTGTAGTACTGGGTAGAACAGATACCTGTCTGTAGTACTGAGTAGAACGGATACCTGTCTAGTACTGAGTAGGACGGATGATACCTGTCTGTAGTACTGGGTAGAACAGATACCTGTCTGTAGTACTGAGTAGAACGGATACCTGTCTAGTACTGAGTAGGAAGGATACCTGTCTAGTACTCAGTAGGACGGATACCTGTTTAGTACTGAGTAGGACAGATACCTGTCTTGTACTGAGTAGGACGGATACCTGTTTGTAGTACTGAGAAACCTGTCTAGTATACTAAGTTGGACGGATACTTGTCTGTAGTACGGAGTAGGACGGATACCTTTCTGTGGTACTGAGTAGGACGAATACCTGTCTAGTACTGAGTAGGACGGAAACCTGTCTGTAGTACTGAGTAGGACGGATACCTCTCTGTAGTACTAGGTATGACGGATACCTGCCTGCATAGTACTGAGTAGGACGCATACCTGTCTGTAGAACTGAGTAGGACGGATAGCAGGTGATTAGACCGGTCAACACGTAGAGAAAGAAGGAAATCTTCGTTGATGTTTCTTCAGGTTCAAACTCTGCCATTCTCTCAAACTAGAACATTAACATGGTGTTATCCATCACAATAGTATCAGATCTAGTAAACCTCCAGGAATTCGATATTTTTTTATTTAAAGGGTCTGTGAACTTAATTTCAAATGACCGTCCATTTATAGATTCTGATTGACAGCAGTACCTTGTAACAAAATCTTTGTGTCATCAAGAATGAATGTGTTATCCAGCATTTTCTCTTTGAAAATTGATTATTTTCAATGGAAGGTTTTCTGTGAAAAATAAACGACTATATGTCCTAAATTTTGTTATCAGAAAAAGGTTTACAGGGTATCGATGTGAATTGGTAATGCCGCTCGTTAGATGATAGGCTACTTGAAATTACATCGACCCTGTCCCTTTAAACTATTGAATAGAATCCGAGTTTTGAAATATGAACTTTTCAAGGAGAAGGTATAAAATATCGCGATGCTACTTTAGAGAGAGTGCTCGCGCTCAAGGGCGTATACAGGGGGGGGGCATGGGGGGCAGTGCCCCCCCTAGACTTGTAAAGGGGGGGGGCGTAGCCCCCCCCTAGAATTCTGCAAGCCTTTCACACTTTTCAAATCTTAACTGAAGAGTGAAGAACACAAAAAAAATAAGTTTGCTTTTCATGATTATTATAAAAAATCATTCAGATATTACAACTAATAGTCATCGATTATTTTAAAGGAACAGTTCATTATTTGTTCATAGCAAGGGCGTATAGATGGGGCGTTCGGGGGGGAGGGGGGGAGTTATGCCTTGCCCACGGCCACCACATATTCTTAAAAAGTTTTCTCATTTTCAAACACCTAACAACTGCTGTTCTTTCTAAATTTTCAGCAAAATTGTCACCAACCCCCCCACACCCGACCCCCGAGAATACATTCTGTGTATTTTAATTTTAAGAAACAAATATTCTTATAATAATCTTAAACTTGTTTAGGTTTCATGATGCCGGGATTGTCAGAAGATTTATGTACTGCATGAAGTTCACATGTGAAGGAAATCAGGAAAACCATGAAGTTCTATTTCAAGAAATCTTTGAGAAAAGAAAAAAATAGAGGAGTTGCGGAGTATTTCAGAATAATTTGAAACTCAATTAGAATATTGTTTTTTTTTATTAATAAATTGTTCTGCCCAGTATGCTGTCCATTCTTCATAGAATTATTCTTACGGCTTAGGCTTAGTCAGATTTAGATTTTTTTCTTTCTAGTTGGAAAATGTATAAAGTTTTTAGATATTGGTTTGCCATTTAATTTAACTGTGTCTAGTACTCTTCATGTAGTTATCAAATAAGCCTTTTAAAGTAAAAAATGTTGGATGTTAAATTTTATCATGCGTATGAATAGAATAGAAATTGATCGTGAGAAAAATAGTAGTTTTTTGAGTAAAATTCTTAATTTGGAGCAAAAAAAAAAATATTTTTAGTCAAAAAACTTTTATGATAATGGAGTTTTTCAAAATTCCCAAAACTTTAATTGGTTATCCGTAATAAATTTTATTTACTCGGTTATCCGTAATATATTTTATTTAGTCCGTTATCCGTAATATATTTTATTTACTCGGTTATCCGTAATAAATTTTATTTAGTCCGTTATCCGTAATATATTTTATTTACTCGGTTTTCCGTAATAAATTTTATTTAGTCCGTTATCCGTAATATATTTTATTTACTCGGTTATCCGTAATAAATTTTATTTACTCGGTTATCCGAAATAAATTTTATTTACTCGGTTATCCTTAATAAATTTGATTTAGTCCGTTATCCGTAATATATTTTATTTACTCGGTTTTCCGTAATAAATTTTATTTACTCGGTTATCCGTAATATATTTTATTTACTCGGTTATCCGTAATATATTTTCATTACCCTTCATTTAAAGAGGAGCGTGCCCGGCTCACAACGGTATTTTTTAAAACCTTTGTCTGATCAATAATTTGGAAGATATCGTCGTTATCGTTTTGCTAACTTGTAAAGTATTTTAATTCTGGCCATTTTTGCCAGTCCCTTTTACTTTTAAAGTTAAAATATTGATCTTACTCATTTTTTTAAGGGGCCCGGCCCTCTATGAACTAAATATTACGTCTAAGTTCCTTTAGGGACCATGGACAAAGGCTTAATACTAGTCCCTAGAGTTTGATTCATAATCAAAATAACGTCTACAAAAATCCCCCTCTTCGTTATAAGTACATGTTGACCTTTTCGTCAAATTTTAAGGGGACTGTACAATTTCCCTGTACACATTGCCTATCAGCATTCTATACTCTAACTTTTCTCCGTTATAATAGTTTTATGTTCTTAACTAGGTTTAAAAATTCAAAGTTGCGTTGGTTGACTGGTACAAGGAAAGTTAAGATTTCCAGATAAAGCTGGGTTCCCAAGCTAGTATATGATAAAAACACACAGTTACCAACAATATGTTTCTTAACCCTTGACAGATTGAAAGAGGTGAAATGATGGCATGGGACGTAGAGGTGCGGAGGGGGGGGGGGAAAGACAAAACTCCTCCTAGCCTGTGCTAGCCGCGGCGCTCGGCCCCCTAGCCTGTGCTAGCCGCAGCGCTCGGCCCCTAGCCCATCCTAGCCGCAGCCCTTGGCCCAGAAATTGTCTTAACCTAACCTAACCCTCAATAATAAAAAGTTAATGTACAAAATTGAGATATTCGCGCAAACGTGAGAGTTTTGTCTATCCCCCCCTCCGTCACCTGCCTGAAATGATATCAACGGAAGTTTTTACTTAAATATCTTTAGAATTTTTCATAAAGCGTTTTTTAAATCATGGGATGACCGAAGTCTACAGTCAAAGTTCTGGATAAAGGAGTAAAGTTATAAAAAAAACATGTTTTTTAGCAGATTTTAAAGATAAATCTTTTTCTAAAGATTTAAAGTTTGCAATTGGAAAATTACTAAGCTTTAGTAAATCTGTGTCAGTAACATAAAATATGATTACAAAATATATTATAACAAAACATATAATTACAAAGCATATAGAGGGTGTCCCAAAAAACATGGGAATTCAGTGGCGAATTGGATATCGTCTTTGTTATGAATTAGCATTGTAATACCTAATTTCAAAAGCCATAATATTATTATGTCTGCTAGAGTTTATTTTATGAAAAGGGTAAAATACTTTTAAGATGTGTCTATAATGTCTCCGCAAGATGAACAGTGAAGACGTATTATATCCTTTGCCTTTCTCTAGGCTGTGTAATTATATCCTTTGCCTTTCTCTAGACTGTGTTATTTTATCCTTTGCCTTTCTCTAGGCTGTGTAACTATATCCTTTGTTGTAGATTTTACCTGCACGATTGAGAGTAGCCGGGCGATAGATATGGCCATTGATATACAGAGGGTGAGGTTTACAAAGTAGAATATAAATATTTCTACAATATAAGCAAACCAGTAGGGCATTGATACAACAGAACTTATCATCACAGCACAGCCCTGCAAAATGTACATAGAATGTACTGTACAGCACAAAGGTCATCACTGCACAGCCCTATAAAATGTACATACAGTGTACTGTACAGTACAAGGTTAAAGCAGCACATTTCTGTAAAATGTACATATAGTGTACTATAGTGAGAATAAGTAAGTAATTATTTATTTATGAAATACGATAAAAACATACAAAATCAAGTGATTCAGAAGAGAACAGTTTAAAACCTCTAAAAATAGAGGTTGTCGGAATATTTTCCCCCAATTCTAAAAAAAATATAAAAATAGAAATCAAAGGAAAATGATAGGAAAGGAAAGGAAAATTAGATATTTATTGTTTACATTATATTTAATGTAAATCTATCTAAGATTTGCCTTTTTGATATTTTTTGATAATGTGAAATCTTTTTTAAAATGTGGAGGTAATTGGTAACAGTACAAGGTCATCATTATACAGCCCTATAAAATGTACATACAGTGTACTGTTCAGTACAAAGGTTATCACTGCACATCCCTGTAAAAATGTACATTTTTATGTTTTACAGTACAAGAATCATCACAGCACAGCCCTGTAAAATGTACATATTTAGTGTACTGTACAGTACAAGGTCATCACAGCACAGCCCTGTAAAAACTACCTACAATGTTATGTACAGTACATGGTCATCACAGAACTGTAAAATGTACATTCAGACGATAACATGATCATGTTCGCCTTTTTTACAAATTAAGTTATTAAGAATGAACATTCAGATTGTTTCCGTCTTTTATGGGCATTTTCGCTAATTTTTAAAGCCTTCAAATTAATTAAAAAAGTTTGGCTTCAGATTTAAAATAACACTTATTTTAGTTGAAAAAAATCAACGAAACTGTATATACATGTCGCAAATACCTACACCATAATAATTAAACCGAGACGAGATTAAGTCAGTACTGAAACGCCAGATATCCCAAGATATGGACGGGTTAAAGGGTTTAAATATAGATAGTTTCGAGACAGCAGAAACCAGCTAGAAAGCTGATGAGATGTGGGAATCATGAAAAATACCCATGATAGTAAATACAATAACAAGAATAATTGTGTACGAGCCTAAAGATGAAAGAGGAGAGATGTCCATGGTGGTGTCAACGTGCTACAAGCCAGAGATAGAAACCCGGTCATCACAAGATGAATTGCGGGTCCTATGAAGACTGGAAGGAGAAGAATACAAACAAGAAGACAGGAAATACTAACAAAGAACCAATTTCTTGGGATAATTCAGGAAAAGAGGGCGGACAAATGGCGGAAATGGCGGAATGCAAGAAGGATATTTAAGAGGTAACTAAGAAAATTATCGAATACGGGTTTTTAAAGGGTTCTATCTATGGATGTTTGGAAATCCTGAAATTGAATGATGGTAATGACTTGAAAAAGAATTAAAGTTTATAGAGACAACCAGCCGATAAGAATGGGTTAAAAGCAAGTCTTACAGTTGTGAAAACAGGTTCCAGCCCTCCTCCTACCCTCACAGCTCCAGCTGAGAACGATATTGAAAAGAATGACATCCTAGAAAGAGCTTACAGAGGTAAGGAAAACACAGCTGGAACAGAAGTAAAAGCAACAAACAGAATTAGAGAAGAATGGAAGGACAAAAAGATAAACGAATCAAATCAAACAAGACCAAACCTGGATAAGGACCCAGAGACGGAAGTCAAGAAAAATCAACGAAACAGCGGGTTAAATGCTGAAGAAAACCTGCAATATCAATTGCGCAGTATTATTGAATTTTGATACCTTTTTTTAAAAGGGGAGATTGAAAGCAAAGTCACAAACTAGTTAAATCTGTTAACTTTTAACAATTAATATTTTTTTTATTTTATACAAATCTATATTACAGAAAGAGAAAAAATATGCTTGAAATTATGATAAAGGTTTTTATTTCAAATTATGTCATAGGAGGCCCCATTTTGATGCCGAACAAAAAAATTGTCTTTTTCTAAGGTTCATCAAAGTTGTTTGCAACTTTAGGGCCGGGATTGCTGCAACCTCTTTTTTTTTGCTTTCTCTCCATAGAATTTAAGGGGGTTCAGATATATTTAAATAAAATATTTCTGTCAAAAACAATATTGGTTATTTAAAGTTAAAGCTGAGATTTTCAATAATGTTACACAAAATAGCAAGATAGGACGACTAAAAGGTTATTATACGACTTCAACTAAAATTAAAAGCAACTTCGGGTCTTTTTTAACAATTAACAGGACTAAAAAGTTCTAATCCCTGTTTCACCCTGTAGAAGTTTTAAAACTACAGTCTACGCTCTGGTGTTATTTGATTTCAACCGATTAGCTATTTATTAAAGTTTACCATGATAGTGACGATAGCATTGAATGCCTGGACCAGAAGGCAGTTTAGGTTCAAGATAATGTTTACATGAAGGTAAACCAGGGATATCCTGTATACACGGATAGAACCGGCGGTGAAATTGGAGAATAAGAAAATGACAAGCATGTAGAGGAAAACAAAATAATTAAAATGTTGGAAATAATCACTTTTATTAGAGTCGTCACTACTACGCATTTCTTCTTTGTTAATAGTCATAATGTCGCAAACAAAAATTTGAAAAATTAAATTTTAAAGTTTTGATAATAAAAATGTGATATACTCGTCACTTCGACGGTTGGATTAGAAGTGGTTATACAAATAGAGCAGAGCTAGTAATTTCATCAAAAATACGCTCTCTCAGAGCCCAGGGGGTTTTCATTTAATATTCATTAAAAATACATATTTAACAATCCGTATCTTTACGTAGAAATCTCAATTTGTTTGTTTGTATGTCGAATCATCCTCATGGCCCCTCGACCGGTTTGCCTCAAACTTTGATTGGGTAAATCGTGAGAACCATGTGAATGTGTTCAACTAGGTTTAAGAAATTGCTTCAAAGCTGGGTTCCCAAACTAGTATAGATATGATACGGTATTAACAACAGCATGTCTCTGAAGAAAAAATGTGTTTAAGCTATTTTTAATATTTAACGTCGTAAAATAAAGTGTTTGTTGTTTTATTGTTGTTCAAATAGTTCCATTCCTGGAGTTTTTTTACACTCTATTATGAAATCCATTAAAACACCAAACCGCCCCACTTATCATTGAAGTACACTTTGACCCCTAGAAGTATGAGTTCGCGGACTGTACAATACTTGGTGAATTTGCGTACATAAGCTATCTATGTTTATTTATTTATCTATGGATACAACTACCTCTCTATATAATACTCAATCTCTATCAATCCAGATAAGACGCTGTTGTATTCTTTAGTATTATCTCTCAAGATACTACTAGTTCTATGTATTCTTTTATATCTGTCTTACAAGATGCAACTCAAATCCGTCTCGTTCGCTACACGAGGATATATTACTCTAACACCGTAATCATGCGGAGTATTATTCCAACTAACATATATTTTGAATTCTATGATACAAGTTAAGCTAATGAACGTAATTACAAGTTTTACCTGAGTTATTCACAAGCGTAGTTGGGTTTACAGACAATGTACAACGTAATATATATCTAGGTGTGTTCAGGTTCATAAATATAGGGTTCACTACATATTTATTATATGTATGTATATGATGGATATTTAGCGTTTTTAATTTTTAATTTTCAGTTTTGGCTGGAGTAGGCCCTCAAATGCCGTTTTTACATTTAAAGTCTTTTATCCAAAGGATTTTCAAAGCAAACTACAAATATAATATTTTAGATTCATGATTACATTACAACAATAACAGACAGAAAAATAAAGAAAAATAAAATAAATTTTATTACATGTTTTTTGGAAACCTTTTTAAAAGAGACCGAGCACATTTTCGAATATGACACCTACTTTTCTAAAGGTTAAAACGGCATTTTAGAGCAAAATGTTTTATCGATCACCAGTCACCACCTTTATTGTGCATCGTGCCTGCCAGAGGCGTATTCAGGGGGGGCTATTGGGGCTAAGCCCCCCCATGGACCAGTGAAATCTGTTGATTTCAGGGGGTTTTCATGCCCCAACGGGTGCTGAGCCCCCCCCTGGAAAGAAAAAAAAATTAAGCCCCCCCTGGACAAATTCCTGAATACGCCCCTGGTGCCTGCTCAAACAGTTTTTTTAAAATATTTTTCGTTAATGCCAAATAAATGAAATTGAGATTGTTAATGAACGGTAACTTTGAAAATCAGGGGAAATACCGGTAACGAACGCAATGTTCAGTTTTTAGCTAAAGAACGAATGGCTACTTGAACCTGAACCTGAACGGTTTAACTAACCGTTAACGAACGACTTAATGTGTGAAGGTGTCAAGCTCTAGTTAAGTGCAATATATTTTGGTCTAACCTTTCTCCGGGTTTGGCCAGATATAACAAGATGATAGCTCTTAAGAATATCAGATAAACAATTTTAACAATCCTCCAATTAAATAAATTGATTCCTGTTAACGTAAAACATAGAAGATTAGTCAATTTTACTTTACCAAGGTTATTTACTGTCTACCCTCCAGCAGGCCTCCAGTTTACGAGCATTGAGGGAGGGGATGCAGAGCCACCGTGAGCCCCACAAACTGACCTCCGGAGCCTCCTGATACGCAGAATGACCTCCAAGCCCCACAAAACTATCTTCTGGCCTATCCCTACGTCTCCTAGCCTTTGCTATTCTGTTTCCGTGCCTCAAATTTTGATTTCTGCAAACTGTATTAATTTTTATTTACCTTTTACCAGAGAAATGGACATATTAAACACGACGTCACAAGCGTCAAATATAACAATGAAAACGAAATTTGCTTACATTAGTTGACATGTTTTCCAAGATTAAATAAAAAACAGATAAAGAACAGATAAACTTGCACTTATTTTACTGTAAGATAAGCACTTTTTTCTAAAATTATCACTATTAAAAATCATTTTGTCGGACACAAAAACTGAGTTGAGACGTGTGACGTAAAAATACAGCTATACGGAGAGTGTACAAATTCTACGTTGCCATCTATTGTTCTAGAATCTATTTGCCTTTTACCAACCAACCAACAATCTAAATATATCTGTTCGTAGTACAATCCACAGATTTAAAACATTAATTCATTTAGTTGATCCTAGCTTGTATTGAAGTTATGTGCACTTGCCACGGTGAATTAGAAAAAGAGAGAGATTAGTGTATAATTTAGGATTGGGTCAGGTTTAGACACTTGCTGGGCCGAGATCTGCGGCTAGGACAGGCTAAGGGGCCGTGCGCTGCGGCTAGGACAGGCTAAGGGGCCGTGCGCCGCAGATAGAACAGGATCTCTCTCTGTCATGTAATTCCACGCGGCATGTGCACTTACTTCCTTGGGTCTCTTCCTTCTTGTGAAAAATTCACACAAAGCATTCAATACAAGTATTTCACCAAAACTACTGTGTGCTGAGAATTGGTGCTAATATACTTTGATTTGTACATGAAATTCCTGTAGAATAATATAAATTCATTTATTTTTCAATTCTTAAAACCGCTAAAAAGAAGACGACATTTACTAACGAAAAGACGAGGTATTTCCGTATTAAAATACTGTAAACAAATTCCATTTCTTAAATAATATTATATTATCTTTTTTCTAGCTATTTGTCGTCTTTGTTGCAAAGGACTACAGAGAGTCAAATAATTTCATTTTTAGTATTTATTGATAGTACAGGGTGTCCCACGAAACATGACAGTTGGTAAATAGTTTTTAATGTCGTCTTCCATACTTTGTATTAGAAATTAAAGGCTGTTTGCAGTTTATTTCGTTTTAATAACCTTCCGTATCCTTAGGTATCTGTTTTACAAGATACAACTCAATCTCAATAATAATATTCAATATTAATCCGGATACAACTCCTTCTGTATTCTCATGTATCTGTCTTACAAGATACAATTCTCACTCTCAAACTCGCTTGTCCCATCATTAATGCTCAATTTCTATCAAACCGGATGAGAGGCTGTTGTATTCTTGTGTATTTATAGCTCAGATACAACTAGCTATCTATAATACTCAATTTCTATCAATCCAGATAAGACGCTGTTGTATTCTTTAGTATATATCAATCAGAAACAACAATAGATAATGATAGATTGCGCATAAGACGACATTTTTCATCTTGAAAAATATAAATGTACAGAGATGTTTTAAAGTTAATCTATTATATAGATTAACTTGGTTGGTTGTGAACATTGGCTGTTCTTATGCCATTGAGTACTTGTGGTGTACATGAGTTCTGTAGAGAGAAATTTAAGTTAGTTTAGTCCTTCTCATGCCCTTCTTTAGTTCTCGTCAATATGATATATTGCTCAGTGAATTATTGTTGTTCAAATAGTTCCATTCCTGGAGTTTTTTTACACTCTATTATGAAATCCATTAAAACACCAAACCGCCCCACTTATCATTGAAGTACACTTTGACCCCTAGAAGTATGAGTTCGCGGACTGTACAATACTTGGTGAATTTGCGTACATAAGCTATCTATGTTTATTTATTTATCTATGGATACAACTACCTCTCTATATAATACTCAATCTCTATCAATCCAGATAAGACGCTGTTGTATTCTTTAGTATTATCTCTCAAGATACTACTAGTTCTATGTATTCTTTTATATCTGTCTTACAAGATGCAACTCAAATCCGTCTCGTTCGCTACACGAGGATATATTACTCTAACACCGTAATCATGCGGAGTATTATTCCAACTAACATATATTTTGAATTCTATGATACAAGTTAAGCTAATGAACGTAATTACAAGTTTTACCTGAGTTATTCACAAGCGTAGTTGGGTTTACAGACAATGTACAACGTAATATATATCTAGGTGTGTTCAGGTTCATAAATATAGGGTTCACTACATATTTATTATATGTATGTATATGATGGATATTTAGCGTTTTTAATTTTTAATTTTCAGTTTTGGCTGGAGTAGGCCCGTTGCTAGATTTTTCCTGAGGGGGGGGGGAGAATGATTAAAGGGGGGGGCGTCACATGCGAAAAACTTATTAAACATCTTAATAGTTTATTTTGTATGTATAAGTGCTGCTTTAAAACATGTCTTCGTTTCCTTACAATTTTCAATGAAATTTTTAATTACATTAAAACAAAAAATTCACTTTCTATAATCCCAGTATATATAACTTTAGGAATAATAATGTTCCTGTTCATGTCTGAGTTTAAAACCAACAAATTAAATCATTTAAACCTTAGAGAAAGTTTTCAAATATATTTTATTGTGTATCCTTGCGTTTGTACGTAGATGAGAGAGAAAATCTTCTTGTCTGAGTTTAAAACCAGCAAATTAATCTAGTTCAATGATAAACTGAAAATAGAAATAGGAAGAAGTCTTTTCGACTCAATTTATGACTTTAAAATTGTGCGATGTAAAAAGGCACAATTCACTTAGTAAGTGATTTAATAAGTTTCTTATAACTAATGTGTTTTAACCACATCAAATACAATTAATTATTTCTTTAATGTCGTCTTCCTATTCTGCAGTTTTCTGGTTATCAGTCACTGAATAAAACAAAAGAATACCTGAAGTTATAAAATACTTTTTAAAGCGTATCGTTGCGGTATTATCATTTGGGGTCGGCCTAGGCTGGGGATAATGAATAATAAATAAAACCAGCAAATTAAATTATGTCTAAACCTAACAAAATTCCCTGAAATTTTCAAATACTTTTATTCTTCTCCTTAGTTTATGCATTGAATATTCTCGTCTTTACTAGGGCTCCCTCTGTTGGTTAGAGAGGATCGATAAGAAAGCTGTTCTCTATCCACCACCAGCAGACAGAATATATTTAGAACAGCTGGGTCCTATACATTACACACACATATTTTAACATCTGTGCACTTGGTATTACATTTAACATAATATTGAAATATATGTTTAGTTGTTTAAGCATTTAGTGGAAAGTATGGCGTTATAAGTATTAACAAATTTGAATTTTTTAGTGAGTGACCGGCAATGTAAGGTGAACTGAGAATGTAGAACTGATTTAGGGGTTTTTCATTCACAATAACCGTCCATAAGGCAGAAGCCCAAAGAAGTTCCGCGCAGGCAGAGAGAGAGCATGCACTGCTTCAGGGTTATTGAGAACTAAAACACCTAAATCTTGAAAAGACGATATTTGGCATCCTATCTGTCGTTGTTAATTAATCTATGGTTAAAACAAGAATGTTAAAAAACTATTTGGTTGTTTGATTTCAAAGTCAAGAAACGTTTTTAAAGGTCTTTATTTTTAAAAACTTGTTTAAACTGCATAATCTACATATATTTCAGAAAACATAATCTTCTAGATAATGAACTCTTCAGAATATACAGGTATATTTGCTGTTTAAACAATTGTTTGGAATTGTTTTGCAGATCCGGGATGAATTCTAATATTTTGTCTATGAATAGGAGGATCTGGGATGATTCTACATAATATGTTGTCTATGAATAGGAGGATCTGGGATGAATTCTAATATTTTGTCTATGAATAGGAGGATCTGGGATGAATTCTAATATTTTGTCTATGAATAGGAGGATCTGGGATGAATTCTAATATTTTGTCTATGAAGAGGAGGAACTGGGATGAATTCTAATATTTTGTCTATGAATAGGAGGATCTGGGATGAATTCTAATATTTTGTCTGTGAATAGGAGGATCTGGGATGAATGCCCTAATAAAACATCTTGAGGATGAGGATGAGGGAGATGAGGGGCTAAATCTACGGATTCCTCCTCCAGGAGATCCCTTCTCCGCTCTGCTCTCCAGTATGATCCCGATGAAGGGGGAGATGAGGGGGGATGAGAAGAAGGAGAAGAAGGACCCTAATGCCCAACCAGAGTTTAGGTAAATCATATTTACTTTTCAAGTACAATTAATTTACTATTAAAAGGGATTATTTACAAGTTTGAAAACATAAATAATTATTTTACTGTACGATTGTACTTGGATTGTACTTGCAGCAGCTCCTTAAAAGGGGGTATTATTTCTCATACCCCCCCCCCCCCAGACTTCTAGATGTGTTAGGTAAGTTGTGAGTTTATCCCTATCTGAACCCTGATGTTTTCCCTCAATAAAGTTAACATTTTTCTCTTGTCGCCTTGTGCCATGCCATATATCTACTTTCTTTTTTTAAATTTTGGATTTCCTGGTTGAGATTGCTATTCCTGAGCTGAAATTTTAAAACTAGAATCTAATTAGAAACCGATTATATACAATCTCAAGTCAGAACTGTTGAGTTTTGAATCTCTGGATCAAGCTTTGATCTCCAGGTTATGCAGATCTACTGATTAATTTAATTCCGCATCGATATCCCGTTATATGGTCATACCCTTCAGGGATATCCCGTTATATTGTCAAACCCTTCAGGGATATACCGTTATATAGTATACCCTTCAGGGATATCCCGTTATATGGTCACACCCATCAGGGATATCCCGTTATATTGTCAAACCCTTCAGGGATATCCCGTTATGGTCAAACCCTTCAGGGATATTCCGTTATTTGGTCGTTTTATGGGTCTGTTTTTTTGAGTCATTTCCGTGGTGAGGGGTTTCCCTCTTGACCCTTGAAAAGCTTTTTTTTAAATGAATAAGAAATAAGATCATATCATTTTCATATTGCAAAGTCAAAGTAATAAATGATTACTTGACTCTGTTAGTTAAGCAGTACTCCCTTAAAAGCTCAAATACACTTGTTAAAAAGGTTAGCCTTTATAGTGTGCATTTACAATGTAATAAAAACAACCATATACCACTGTAAAACCAAACCAAACATTGTTTAAAAAAATCATTAAAAACCCCCCAAAAATTTGTTTCGCCTGCAGCGCATCAGGTTGCACCCCCCCTGGTCAAATCCTGGCTACGGGCCTGGGCGTAAGAAAAAGACTTGACTCTAATGAACACCGGTTTTTATTTTAAAAATACTAGATCTCGGCTCAGTTAACACAGGGTAAATAAACTTTTAACATGTATTTAGTGAGGTCAGACGATTAAAACCGACTTTAAAAATTAACAAAAAAGTTTTCAGATAAATAATTCTATTTAAGACCTTCACAAGTATATCTATATATAAATTTGGCTTGTCTGTCTGTTTGTTTGTTTGTTTGTCTGTTTGTTTGTATCCAATAAACGTCAAAACGGCTGAACCGATCGGGCCCAAATTTTTTGTGGGACATTTAGGGACCCCAGGGAAGGTTTATGAATGATCAAAATTTCAAATATTTGTCTCCATCAAAATTCGATCTTTATTAAATTTTTTAAAATTTTGAAAATCCACGAAATTTTTTGTGAAAATCCGCGAATTATTTTTGTTTTGTTTTACGATGTACACAAAGAGAACATGTTCACAACTAATTAAGAAGATGGGCGCGAAGCGCCCTCTAAGGCTAGTCTATATATAAATTTGGCTTGTCTGTCTGTTTGTTTGTTTGTTTGTCTGTCTGTTTGTATCCAATAAACGTCAAAACGGCTGAACCGATCGGGCCCAAATTTTTTGTGGGACATTTAGGGACCCCAGGGAAGGTTTATGAATGATCAAAATTTCAAATATTTGTCTCCATCAAAATTCGATCTTTATTAAATTTTTTAAAATTTTGAAAATCCACGAAATTTTTTGTGAAAATCCGCGAATTATTTTTGTTTTGTTTTACGATGTACAGAAAGAGAACATGTTCACAATTAATTTAGAAGATGGGCGCGAAGCGCCCTCTAAGGCTAGTATATATAAATTTAACTTGGGTGTCTGTTTGTGTGTATCCAATAAACGTCAAAACGGCTAAACTGATCGGACCCAAATTTTGTGTGAGAGCCTACGTGACCCCATGGGAAGGTTTATGAATGATCAAAATTTTAAAACTTTGTGTTTAAAAGTTTTTTTTTATTTTTGTAAAATTTTGAAAATGCGCGAAAAAATATTATGAAATCCGCAAACTTTTGTTTGTTTTTGGTTTATAGTGTACAAAGAGAAGATGCCGAAGATGCTCACACATAAAGCCACAATTAAAAGTTGAAATAGAAGATGGACACGAAGCGCCCTAAAAGCCTAATATGTACAAGAAACCATTATAAAAAATGAACCTGAAAAAAAATCTATTTCTAGGATGAATACATACTCTTTAAACTCGTTTGACTAGCTATAATTCAATTTATTTTTCTCAGCTCAAAAATAAATTAAATATATATTTTTCATTTTCTTTTCTTGGTTAAAAATAAAATTTCTGTGAAATAAATAAAATGTGAAAACTCTAAACTGCGTCCGGCCGAGCTATATATATAAATTCTATCAATCCTATAATTACCTACTTACATTCTAGTGTTCCAATTTTGAAGTGTGTTGTAAATAAACGCGAAATTATCATAGCGACTGTGTGACCTCGTAGCTCCTCTAGTTTGGATTTAACTACCAAAAAAAGAAATGCAAAGAAATTGAGTCTTTGTCACAATTTTAAAATTTTCAAACATCTATATCTTTGCAATCTGATGGTGTAAACCTTTGATATTATTATTATTATTTATTTGATCTAACAGAAATCATAGTTCAAAATTTATAAGGTCTTCGAAAGAAAGATATAGAAATAGGAATTCATGGCAAAGATTTAATTCCCCTTTATGTGTTCGTATTATTTATTGAAACCATCTTGTTTTCTTCTCTCAGTGGAGAATGTGTATGATTGATAAAAATTGAATCTAACACACAAGAAGCTAAACACTTGCTATGAATTTAAACTTGATATCCCTATATCTTTTCAACCTAATGCTGTGTACCTTTAATATTACCCAGAATTCATAGTTCAGGTTGCACAGATATAGGGATTATAAAATAGGAGTTTGTGGCAAAGACTCAATTCCTTTATTTTTAGTGGAGGAAACATTTAGAAAATATCGGAATAGAATACTTTTAAATCTAGAAAAATAACTTCCATATTATTGTTCAGATAAGGGTCTCAATGCCCGATTTGTGAAACGGACATGGAGACTTGAAATTACGCTTACAGTCCCTTTAAATTGATTGATGGTCTAGATATGATGAGTTTGGATTCCGAGTAGAAGAGGAGGATGGACCTGAATACAGTTCAAGCAAACTACTCTCTATACCCTTCCTAGAGTCCCCTAGGTATAGTACAGAGGACACAGGATTAATTGTCGTCTTTATTCTCAATTTTAATGATATTATTTTGCGAAGGATTTTATAATTTGTAAAATTCTTAAAGTGGCAAAAAATTAAGCAATTTTTCAAGATTAAAGAAATAAAGAAGACGACAAATATACAAAGTTTCAAAACCATAATTTTAAACAAATTGTATTTTCTTGAGTTATGATCGTAAATATAAACAAACATTGATTACTACTTTCTACATGTACATTATATGTTTCAGAAGAAAACTACAGTGGTCAGTAGAGTTGGAATTGGGACAGAACAAACAAACCTTGCTCAGGTAAACCAAGTTGTTTAATATACAGGGTTTAACACAAAGAATGAGACTTTAATGACAACCTGAAACTAATTGAATAAAAAAATGTTAATTTACAGTGGTTTCTAGTTGTATTTGAACTCTCAGCCTTTGTTAGTAATCCTGTACCATTAATATATTCACTGGCAGTTAGAAAAATAATTTTAACGGATTTTAAAAATGGTTTTGGGGCCTCGGTAGGTTTAATGAACTAGTTATGACTGGTATATTTAGGAATGGTAGGTTTGATGAACTAGTTAGAACTGGTATATTTAGAAATGGTAGGTTTAATGAACTAGTTAGAACTGGTATATTTAGAAATGGTAGGTTTAATGAACTAGTTAGAAATGGTAGGTTTGATGAACTAGTTAGAACTGGTATATTTAGAAATGGTAGGTTTCATGAACTAGTTAGAAATGGTATATTTAGGAATGGTAGGTTTGATGAACTAGTTAGAACTGGTATATTTAGGAATGGTAGGTTTGATGAACTAGTTAGAACTGGTATCCCGCACTCCTTGAGAAGATCTATTTGGCCCCTTCTTCTCCAGGTTCACAGGAAACGAGAATCTGCTGGTATTAGCTACAGGTTCTGATCTTTCTTTTCTCTCTATTCTTTCTATCTAAGCTAGAATACTTCTAGGGACTGTAAGCGTAATTGTTTAAAAGTGACCCTCCATGCAAAAATGACAATGCCCGATTTACAACGGTACACTTATAAACTTTGTTTTATCAAGTATTTATTACAGATATAAACGTTTATAGCCTTAAAAACTGATTATTTAAAATAATTGTGGGGTTTTCACAATATCTTCAACATTATTGATCAGATAAAGGTTTCAAGGGTACGGTTGTAAATCGGGGATTGCCATCTTTGCATGACGGGTCACATAAAATAACGCAAACAGTCCCTTTAAGAACGTAGACTTATAATTCTTTTATCTTCCTCAAGTTCTTTACCCAGACTCAAATACTTAAAATTCAACCCTTGAAAACAAATTTTAGTTCAATTCTTTAAAGTAAATTATTAATGAATTCTGTTTGATTAAATTATTAATAAAGTTCTATAGCATACGATTTTACACAGATGAAATATAGATAGGAAATTAGGCTCACCCTTGGTATTTTGTAGTTGAATAAATTCCTCTCTATTTATATATTTCTACACTGTGAATCTGTACTTGCAATTTGAACAGCTTTCCTCAACGTAAACTCCGGTTCAGCTGAAGATTTGGACTTTAAGGAAGCTAGAGCAAGTTGTAATTGTACAGTATACATACAGACTATAGACAGCTGAACGGGATAGTTCACCAAATGCATAGATTAACAACAATACAGATAGGACACTAGATGTCGTCTTTTTAAGATTTAGGGGGTTTTCGTTCATAATATACCTGAGTCAGAATCCCAAAGGAGTTACTGGCATGCCGCGTTGAATTAAAAGACAGCGAGAAAGTCTGATATAACTCCTTTGGGTTTCTACGTCAGGGTTATTGTGAACGAAGAACCCCTAAATCTTGAAAAGACGACATAAAGTGTTCTATCTGTACGAAATGAATCATCTCTTCTTCTGGGATTATTGGCGCCTACAATATGCATGAAATAAATAATTTGCTATAATTGCTAATATTTTTATTTGTAAATACAGGGTTACCCACAAAGGATGAGACTTCAGAGACAATTGTGCGGAATTAATTCTGTCTGTTTTCTTTTATTCACGATCCCTGCAAATGTAAACTTTTGTGTTTCTATGCCAAATCATTAAATAAGCTACAGGGTGTCCCACGAAACATGACAGTTGGTGAATAGTTTAGAATGCCTTTTTCCATTATTTGTCAAGTTGTTTGATACCAAATACCAATACAAATATTATATGAGAGTCATGTTATATTGAAATTGATTTCAAAGTAAAATATAATTAAGCAAAAGATTTGTTTAACTAAAAATAAATGCATTGAATGTCATGGTTTGTGGGACACCCTGTATTAAAGGACTACCTTTCAAGGCAGAAGATGAAATTTAACCTTGGGATCGTCATATTTTAGGAGTTTTAGATCGTCTTTAAAATCTCATTATTTATGGGTAGCCCTGTAGATTGATTGTTTAATAACCAACATGGCGTCGTATTACGGCGCTACGACATCTGCTCTATTTCCATTTGCTCTATGGTCATTTGCTCTAGTTCCATTTGCTCTATCAAGTCATTTGCTCGTTTCGTCATTTGTTCTATACGTAATTTGCTCTATATTCAATCTGCTCTATATTACAATATTACAATAACAAACATGGCGTCGTATTACAGCTTGTTATTGTAGTATAATACAAAGATGAAGAAACCTACATTTATTTTTCAAAATATTTTCTTTTGTTTTTAAAAGCTATTAAATATTCAGTATTTTCCTGGGGTTTTTTTTTGATTTTTGTAAGACTTTCCATTCCTTAAATTATTTGCAACAATTTTAAAGTTTATTTCTGCACTTGAGATTTCTGTATTAATTTTCCACGAAATTATTTTAGTGAGATCTATTAATTTTTAGTTTTACCTTGAATTTAGACTAGAATTAGAACTAGACTTGAATTTAGAATTACCTTGAATTTAGACTAAACCAAAAAAGATTTATTTGTTTCAAGGTAAATTATGGGAGATTGTACATATATGATTTCCATTTTGTTACAAATTTTTAAACGTAGATTTTTTTGTCCTAAACAGAATTTATAGTTTAAAATATTATAGGTCTAGGATATCAGGTTTCAAAGATAAAGAGATTTGAAAATAAGAGTTTACAGCAGTTCTTTTAAATTTCTTGATTTTTGATCGTTTATCTTAATAAATAGTTATATTTTTAATGTCATAGTAAAACTCAATTCATGTATAGAGGTATAAAATCTGCATTTTGAAATATGATTATAATGGGCTTTTAGGGCGCTTCGCGGCAATTTTCTATTTCAATTGTGAACATTTTCTCTTTGTGTATATATATTGTAAAACAAAAGCGAACAAAAAAGTTCCCGGATTTAAAAAGAAGATTTCGTGAATTTTCAACTTTATTTAAAGAAACTTATTTAAAGAACTCTACTTTTTATTGAGATTTATGTCTCATTCAGAACTGTACCCTTCAAACATTTTTCTGATCAAGGATAAATAAGAAATCCTTATCAAAGGGAGTGTTCGCGAAAAATGAAAGGGGGTATAGGCTAATTGCGATAAAAAAGCGCTTTTGATCGCCACTAATCTTACTTCTATCTGTTGCGTCTATAAGGAGAAAATTGTTAAAGACGTCTCATACCGAATAACATGGCGTCCATACAAATTGAGAAAATTTCAACATACGACTTAGACCGTAAAAAAAATCAATTTAATTTCAAACAAATCATTCAGATATTACAACCTATAGTCATCGATTATCTTTTGCCACATTTATATATAGTTGATTTTTCATAATATGTTTTAATTGTTATGATCTGAGAGTTACTTATAAAAACTTTATTCCTGTTTCGAGGAATTTTGGTAATGAAGACGACATTTTCATATTTTCCAGGAATGTTCGAAAACAAGTTGTAAGCTAAATATTATTTAAAAAAACAAAATCAAAACTAGTATAAAATATTAAATATATACAAATGTGGCAAAAGATAATCGATGACTATAGGTAGTAATATCTGAATGATTTGTTTGATATTAATTTGATTTTGTTACGGTCTAAGTCGTATGTTCCAACTTCCTCAATTTGTATGGGCGCAACGCTCTTCGGTATATGAGACGTCTTTATCAATTTTCTCCTTATAGACGCAACAGATAGAAGTAAGATTACTGGCGATCAAAAGCGCTTTTTTATCGCATTAAGCCTATACCCCCTTTCATTTTTCGTGAACACTCCCTTTAACATTAAAGAAAATAAACAAAATTCAACACTTTCGATAAAGGAATTGAGTCTTTGTCACAAACTCTGATTTTCTTTTCCGTAAATGTTTGCAATCCAATTTCGTTACAGACCTTAGATATTTTAGACAATAAATATAGACCTTAATTTAGACTATAAATATAGACCTTAGATATTTTAGACTATAAATATAGACCTTAGATATTTTAGACTATAAATACCTTAGATATTTTAGACTATAAATATAGACCTTAGATATTTTAGACTATAAATATAGACCTTAGATATTTTAGACTATAAATATAGACCCTAGATATTTTAGACTATAAATATAGACCTTAGATATTTTAGACTATAAATAATGTAAGTTTGAAATAACAAAGGTTTATACCATTAGATTGAAAAAAATTTAGTTTGTTATAAACATATCGGATAAGTCTAAACTCCATACATGGATGGTCACTTTAAACTACATCTTTAACCCTTTAATAAGATGATATTTTTGCAGAGATATTGTGAGTTCTTGTAACGAGGAGTCCAGTCAGTGCAATCGACAAGTTGAAAAAGATCTTCTCAGGTGTCTATGGTGCTTCCTGCCCCCTTTTCTATAAAAAGTTTTGGCTTTAAAGGGAAAGTTCGCAAAAAATAAAAGGGGGTATAGGCTGATATCGAATTAAATTCGATATTGATCGATCCTAATTTTACTTCTATTTGTTGCAGATATAAGTTAAATTAGTAGCGATCGATATTTGAATTCAATTCAACGTCAACCTATACACCCTTTCATTTTTCGCGAACACTCCCTTTAACCGCGCGCCTTTTCAAACAATACCAATAAATACTGCGCTTGCTTCCAATTTTTTGGGCGGATTTACAAAAATAAATCTAAAATAAACCATCTCTGGGTCATTATTTATCAAATGTCTCAAATATTTGTAAATTTTGATGCAGTTTAAAACTTTAAACTAATTAATGCTTAATTAAAAACAATTAAATGTTTTGGGATTAGTGTTCTATGACTACTAACATAAAATTAAACAATTAAAAAACGTAATCAAAGTCATTCTCTTAATGCAGCATTACAAAATATTGGCGTGTTTTTTTAAAGTAATTAGGAAATATTTTTATTTTATTTTGTAATCATAAGTCATGCAACTTGCCAGAAGAAAACGTTAATGTTAGATGCATCTATCTATGCATCATAAAATAGATTTTATTTTTATTATTATTTTTATTTTTAATGATAAAGCAAGATGTCGTAGAGAGAAAAGTGTTGAACATTTTCTTCCTGAAACAATTATTTAACTGAAATTAACTGTAAAAAGTTAGAGTTTGAGGCAGAAACAACATTAACTGTTTGATAAAACCAATAGAAAGCATTGTTTTGTGTTACATTTTACGTGTTAACCTTTAAAAAATATTCAAAGTTCATAAATCTTTTTTCGCATTTTTTGTAACTTTTAACATTTAAGGACAATGCCGACCAATATATGCTTTTCAACCAAAGAGTCTGTAGGGATACCAAGATTAAGGTGACATTTTTCTATTATAAAATAGGGTGTGTTAATTTTGTTTTATGAGCGCTAAATTTTGTCATTTTAATTATAATTGTAAGTGTAAAAGTAAGTATGAAACAGAAAAAGATGCATATTTTGTCATTTTGTTAATCCGAGTTCAAAAATTATGAAAGTTTGGAACATCTGGGCCTGGCTATCCTTTTTTGCAAAAAAAACCACAGATGTTAAGTTAATGCTTATTAGATGAGAATTTAAACGCATTCAAGGAATTTCAGATATCATCATGGTTTGATTTTTATCTTTTTGGACATTTTCTACGTAAACTTTATAATATTTCAGATTGATCGACATCACCTAGAGGGCTGTGTTACAATAATTGATCAGTTTGTAAATTTCTTATCTTTATTTTCGACTATGTTCTTGGATTTCATCAGGGTGTAAAGCAGTCTCAACCAAACTTCGAAAAATTACTGTCAGTTGAGAATAAATATATTTTGATAAAAATATTATCATCAGTTCAAGGTTGTGTGGGGTTGGAGATGTCTAAATTTAATCTTAATAAAAACTATGGGTCATGAACTAATCGAATTAAATGGTTTAGCTGGTGGTACTGGAGTAAGTGCTGCAAAATGATCTGGTAGAAATTGGGGACATTTTGAACAAAAATAGTAAAGAAGTAACAAGAAGAAAAGTATTTAGTATTAAAATGTTAACTATATTTTTTTATATTTGCTTTCTGATAATTTAAGATTTATAAATATCAGAAATATGTTTTTCTTTCTTTTCATACAGTGGTAGCCGATTTTCTCAAAGAATGAAGACGACTTTTTTAAATAAAGTTTTAAATGTTAAAAAGCTTTTTCGAATAACAAGTTTACAAGTAAATAGAGAGAAGCCTTTTTTAATTGACAGCTTCTCTTACTTCCCATGTTTTTTGTGTATTATGCTGTTAAAAAGCTTGATTTAAATCGAAAGTCGTCTTCATTATATTTGTATAATCGCCTACCACCGTGTTATATCCAGACCAATTCAACTCCTCGTAATTTGAATGCTAAATTTACCTCTTATTGGTGTCTATTGATCGGCAATGTTAAATAGATTTTGACAATGCCCAAAAGAATAAAAATCGAGCTCATGTAGTACAAACAAACAAACCTACGCAACAAAAAAAATGTAATAATTTTCAATCTAAAAACCATTTTAGGAGAGTTCTACGTTCTGTATCCTGGATATTTCCTGATATTGGATATTGTCAGGTTAGCGCTAGATATATACAGATATTGGATATTGTACGTTTAGCACCAGATATATCCAGATATTGGAAATTGTCAGATTAGCATTAGGTATATCCAGATATTGGATATGGTCAGGTTAGCACTGTATATATCCAGATATTAGATATTGTCTGGTTAGCACTGGATATATCCAGATATTAGACAATTTCAGGTTAGCACTGGATATATCCAGATATTAGACAATTTCAGGTTAGCACTGGATATATCCAGATATTGGATATGGTCAGGTTAGCACTGTATATATCCAGATATTAGATATTGTCTGGTTAGCACTGGATATATCCAGATATCGGATATTGTCAGGTTAGCACTGGATATATCCAGATATTAGACAATTTCAGGTTAGCACTGGATATATCCCGATATTGGATATTATCAGGTAGCACTGGATATCCAAATATTTGATATTGTCTGGTTAGCACTGGATATATCCAGATATTGCATATGGTTAGGTTAGCACTGGATATATCCAGATATTGGATATGGTCAGGTTAGCACTGGATATACACATATTAGATATTGTCTGGTTAGCACTGGATATATCCAGATATTAGACAATTTCAGGTTAGCACTGGATATATCCAGATATTGGATATTGTCATGTTGGCACTGGATATCCAGATATTGAATATTTTTACGTTAGCACTGGATATATCCAGATATTGGATATTGTCATGTTGGCACTGGATATCCAGATATTGAATATTTTTACGTTAGCACTGGATATATCCAGATATTGGATATTATCAGGTTAGCGCTGGATATCCAGATATTTGATATTGTCAGGTTAGCACTGGATATATCCAGATATTGGATATTGTCTGGTTAGCACTGGATATATCCAGATATTGGATTTATCAGGTTAGCGCTGGATATCCAGATATTTGATATTGTCAGGTTAGCACTGGATATATCCAGATATTGGATATTGTCAGGTTAGCACTGGATATATCCAGATATTGGATATTGTCATGTTAGCACTGGATATCCAGATATTGAATATTTTTACGTTAGCACTGGATATATCCAGATATTGGATATTGTCAGGTTAGCACTGGATATCCAAATATAATCATTATATTGTGTTATTTTAGATTTTCTAATCTGTGAAAATATTTTTCACAGATTAGAAAATCTTAAAATCTTATAAGGGGAAGACGGCTTATGACGGATTAATTTTTTAACACTTACGGTTTTCATTTTTCCGGGAAAAAAATCCATTTTGGAAATGGAATGATCCGGGAAATTTTTCCGTAAAATGGAATTCCAGATAATTCCGGATGAAATGGAAACCCGAAATTTTCGGAGCCCTGTTCGGGAATTACAGAAAAATTTAGATTTTTATACCGGAAAAAGTTACATTTTCTGGAACATTCCGGAATTACGAACAAGGTTCCGGTTTCCGGATAAAATAATTGTTCCGGAAGTGATCCACAATTACGTATTTACAGAACATTCTCCATAATGGAAATGGAAAAAAATTCCAGATAATTTCCGTACGTAAACCGTAACCCGGAATTCCGGTGGAAACCCTAGTTGGTGCTTCTGCTTATTCCAGGAAAAAGGGAGGCTGAACTAACTTCTTAGTCGAACCTTGCCTTTTAAGTAATATAAGTTTCTTGTCCAAAATTATACAATTTAAACTTCAAGGAGACCTCAGATTTTCTTTGAAGTATTTTCTAACCAGATAATAGATATTTACTGTGGCAAAAATAAGATTGTGTAAGTTAACACCAAAATCTGCTTTTTTAACACCTTTTGGATCCGATTCGAATTGAACTGAACTGAAATCTTTAGAATTGTGGATATCGAGATCAATGCTTGATCTCCTTAATCTCTTCTTAATCTCCAGACTAAATCTCTTAATATTCTGAAATCTTCTTAATCTCCAGATTAAATAAGGCTTGTTATATTTCTCCAGAGCTGAAAACTTTAGAATGGATAAACTTTGATCCTGACTTCTTGATCCGAATATTCACTGTGAAAACTTTTCATTTTAGTCCTTAATCCACTCTTTTTCTCTCTACTTGGATATCCTTTAATTGTTTTCTCCAATGAGAATATTTCTGTTTAAAAAAACAGAATTAGTATTCTGTAAATTTATTTCGTAGTTTCTTTCATTTGGTAAAGGTGATGCACATTATATGTTTGATTCTAAATTCTAAAGTAATAGTCAATGTCATTAAAATTAGATGTTTTTTTTAATAGAAAAAAAATGGTATGGACAATAAAAAAACATTTTTACTTATTAATAATGTCATTTCCACATTAGATTTCATTAAGATCTTAACATACTACATTGACGACAAGAAAATTTAACAATGAGTAATGACCATATTTTTTCAAAGTTTTGTTGAGTAGCTTTTCTAAAGATTTAAAAAAGTAACATCTTTTTCCTCTTAGAGTAAAACTATCATTTTTTATATTACTGCCTTTTTTGTCAATGTTTGCTAAAAAGTTTAGTTAAAATTAAATAAATTCAGTTTTTTTTACAGATCTTTGTAGTTAATGTAAAATAAATGACTATAATGAAGGATATAAAACAAGGTGAAAGCTGAAAGGTATGTAATGAAGCCTTTATTAGATTGAGTTTGTAAATCCCAGAAATGAGTGGAAAATGCAAATCAACTTCGATTAACACCAATAATTTGATATACATCATGATATTTTTCTAGGGGGGGGTAAAAAAATTTAAAAATATTTACCCCCCCCTACAGAATCCTTATGTCCGCCCCTGGCCCCTACTTATTGGACGAAACACCTCCAATTGTATGATTTAAAAATTATATCATACATTTACATCCGGATTTGCCATTAAAGACAGCCAATGTTGGCTTGGGAAATCCCGTCATTAAAGTGTTAGTTTAAAGAATATATCTATGTAAAATTATGTACTTTAATCATAAATATATATCTATCTAATCTAAAGTTGTCAGCTCTGGATTCACAACTCCTGGCAAATTAAGCCCTTAAACCCAAGCCAACTTTACATTTTATTTAAACGCTAAGTAATGATTAATAATGTTAATAATAATGGATAAAATACATATAGGGTAGGGTGCCCACGAAAGATGACTTAAAGGTCTTCTTTGAACTTTGAGATCAATTGCGGCATTTATTCGTAAACCTAATATTAGATCTATAATTCTAGATTTAATAATCAAAATACAACCTAGTCATATCTTTTCCAAAATGTGGTCTGCCTTTTTTGTGCTTTCAATATTATTTAAGAAATTGTAGCAGCAATAACTCGAGTTTAAATAAAAGTTAAGAATGCTCGAGAATTATAAGGAAAATTGTTCATACTCTAAAATATAAGCCATCTTGTTCAGATTTAGAAAATTTTGGGTTCTTTAATAAATTCAAATCTTAAAGAAATTCTAAATCTCCGTTTATAGTGACAGCCAAAAAAAGGCAGACCACATTTTGGAATTTATTAATTATTGGTTTACGAACTGCACATTTAATAACGTAGGTTGAAGAATGGATAAAAGAAATAATTTCAAAGATATAAGACTCCTTTCAAGTCGTCTCACTATAACGGTCAAGTATTAAGAGACACACTGATACTAGTAGAAAAACCCGACGTTACCCTTGGTATTTTAAACCACTGCAGATACAACCCTCTGTTACCTAGAGAAGGGGGGGGGGGGTAAATGTAACATTCTTTATTTAAACCACATCGCTCTCAATTTTACAGTTTAGCCTGCTATATTATGGAACATACAAACATACAATTTCGACACTCTAGTTTATGTATTTTCAGGGGATGGGGATGATTGCATCTTGCCTTCTCCTCTTCATTCCTGAGGAAGACTCCTTCTGGATGATGACTGCTATTATTGAAAACCTTCTTCCTTCATCCTACTATTCATCCAATCTTTGGGGGGCTCAGGTTAGTTCCTTTATCCTTCTATTCATCCAATCTTTGGGGGGTTCAGGTTAGATAGATCCTTTATCCTACTATTTATCTAACCTTTGGGGAGGCTCAGGTTAGATACTTCATCCTACTATTCATCCAATCTATGTAAAACGGTTTTATGAACTTTAATGATGGTTTAATGATGGTTTAATAATGGTTTAATGAGATTAAAAAGAAAAAAATTAATATTTGAAGGATATAACATGTCTGGGCAGGAAAGAGACCATCAAGATCCCAAAAAATGTCGAATTTATTAAAAATAATTAAAACCATATTAGCAAGGGTTCAAGAAGTATGTTTGCCAGAATCCTTGATCAATGCTTTTACATTTTAAACAAAGTCTCTGAAAAAGAAACAGAAAAATCTTCAAAAGTTGTTCCTACATTCAATACTCAATCTCTCTTTTCATTTGATCGCTCTTAAAGGGTCTAAAAGATACTCTGATGAATCAAGTTTGTGACTATTCGGGAAATTTTCTTGTTGTGACGAACGAAGCAGATATACTTTCGGAAAAACGCTCCTTACATGACAACAAAGATCTGATCTGAAAAATAATCCGGTTTAGATAGAGTGAAATTTCAACAAAAAATACATTGCTGAAACTTCTACAAGTACCTCTAGTTTCAAAACTTATTGATCAATGATAACACCTGGTAATGTTGTAGTCTCTGTTTGTCTGTCTGTTTGTCCGATCATAGCTCAGGAACCCCTTGACCGATTTGCCTCAGATTTTGATTGGGGAACTTGGCAGAACCACGGAAATCCGGAAATGTTCTTTACTTGGTTTTTAGATTCTAAGTTGAGGGGGACGACTTTTAAAGCGAAAATTTTCCTGGTAAAATCGACCAAGTGCAGTAAACGGCGCGGCGGGAGTGATTTTGAATAATCTGGGCAACGCTGTGTTCCCAAGCTAGTTTGACTAAAGGTTGATATAAGTCAAATTTAGATTATTCCAGTTTAAAGAAAAAAATAAGTCTGTAAAGTTGGCCTGTACGCTGTTATAGATGTGGGGTAATAATAATATTTTCAGAAATAATTTATTTAAGTTTCATATTTCTGAATTAATTTCAGGCTGACCAGCTAGTTCTCCGGTCACTCATCTCTCAATATCTACCACAGGTTACTTTAAATCTTGTTTGTAAAATGACAAAAACAAAATATCATTGGATAATGGATATATCATAATATATCAAACTAAAGTAAAGTACAGGTGTAATATTGAAATCTTAAACGTTTCCAATCATAACTCCTCTTTTTAAACAACTATTGAGAAGAACAAAAATGTTTTAAATTTCTAATCAATAAGTGAAACATTTTCTTGCCTCATATATGTTCAAAGCTAGAGGAGCTAGGAGGTCACAACGTCGCCCCAGTAATATCGCATGAATTTGATCTTTTCTCCCTCTGTCTAGTTTACAGTGATAAGAAAACCTGAATTTGAGGATTTGAAATATTCGGTTTGACAAAGGAATTAATTCTTTTCAACCAACTCTAATTAGAAAATTTGAATTAAGACTAAATTCCTTTCTTATAACTATCTTCATCGGAGGTTTTTTTGATTTTTATATTGATAGTGATATTGAAAGTTTTCTTCAATGTTTTATTCTTTTTATCGCAAAAATAAAGGATCAATGTGAAATCAATAAACAGATTTGTGTTTTGAGTGAAATATACCAACTCTGAGATTTTGCAACTGCTTTCTAAACGACGAGCGTTTTTAATTGGATTAAAATAGATGTTTTACCAATCGATTTCTAATTTAATTTAGACCATACCCTTTTTTTTCCCTGAACACTACCTTTAAATCAAGTGGCCTCATTCTTTATCTTGTGTCTCTAGGTGGATGAGGTTTTAAGATTACATGATATCGAACTATCCTTGATTACTTTACACTGGTTTTTATTAAGGGTGAAAGCTCGAAAACATTATTTAGTCCAGAGCTGATAATTTAAAACTCCAGTGTAAACATTAACTTGCTTTCCAGATCGTTGTCAGAGTTTGGGATTTACTCTTTCATCAGGGAACCCTGGTTCTGTTCAAGGTAAAACTTATCTTTAAAGAAGTAGTGGCACAATATCCCGATTTTTGGAATAATGCACACAACATATGCCACCGAACAAAGACGTCTGGTCAGAATAATTTATAATTTTAAAATGACCGTCATCATGATAGGAAATGTGAATATTACAAAATTAGATTTTTTAAGATCAAGCACACGTCTCCTCAAATATAAAAGTACCCATATTGGATACCCATATACAGCATTTAACATTTACAAGATTAACAACATTAAGATAAGCTAAGATGTATACATCTAGTATACTAGGCTTTTATTGCACTTCGCTATTTGTCATAAATTTTAGCTTTTAACTTTGCCTTGAAAATCATAACTTTTAATCTTTCTGATATTTTCTTCTAGTTGAATAAAAAATACAAAAGCGTTGGTCTCTTTTCCCTAATTTATGATTCTGATATGTATATTACATTTTTGTACGTTAGGTTGCCCTTTCAATGCTACAGATCTCAGAGGAGAGATTAACACAGGCTGAGAGTTCAGCAGATATATTTAATATACTTGCATCATTGCCTAGTCAGGTAGTAGATAGTAATCAATATACTTATAGCATTGCCTAGTCAGGTAGTAGTTAGTAATCAATATACTTGCATCATTGCCTAGTCAGGTAGTAGTTAGTAATCAATATACTTATATCATTGCCTAGTCAGGTAGTAGTTACTAATCAATATACTTGCATCATTGCCTAGTCAGGTAGTAGATAGTTATCAATATACTTGTATCATTGCCTAGTCAGGTAGTAGATATTAATCAATATACTTGTATCATTGCCTAGTCAGGTAGTAGATAGTAATCAATATGCTTCTATCATTGCCTAGTCAGGTAGTAGATAGTAATCAATATACTTGTATCATTGTCTAGTCAGGTAGTTGATAGTAATCAATATACTTGCATCATTGCCTAGTCACGTAGTTGATAGTAATCAATATACTTGCATCATTGCCTAGTCAGGTAGTTTATAGTAATCAATATACTTGTATCATTGCCTAGTCAGGTAGTTGATAGTAATCAATATACTTGCATCATTGCCTAGTCAGGTAGTTGATAGTAATCAATATACTTGCATCATTGCCTAGTCAGATCGTTTATAGTAATCAATATACTTGTATCATTGCCTAGTCAGGTAGTTTCAAGTAATCAATATACTTGCATCATTGCCTAGTCAGGCAGTAGATATTAATCAATATACTTGTATCATTGCTTAGTCAGGTAGTAGATAGTAATAAATATACTTGCATCATTACCTAATCAAGTAGTAGCTAGTAATCAATATACTTGCATCATTGCCTAGTCAGGTAATAAATAGTAATCAATATACTTGTATCATTGCCTAGTCAGGTAGTAGATTGTAATCAATATACTTGTATCATTGCCTAGTCAGGTAGTAGATAGTAATCAATATACTTGTATCATTGCCTAGTCAGGTAGTAGGTAGAAATCAATATACTTGCATCATTGCCTAGTCAGGTAGTAGTTAGTATTCAATATACTTGCATCATTACCTAGTCAGGTAGTAGTTAGTAATCAATATACTTGTATCATTGCCTAGTCAGGTAGTTGACAGTAATCAAATACTTACATCATTGCCTAGTCAGGTAGTAGCTAGTAATCAATATACTTGCATCATTGCCTAGTCAGGTAGTAGTTAGTAATCAATATACATGCATCATTGCCTAGTCAGGTAGTAGCTAGTAATCAATATACTTGCATCATTCCCTAGTCAGGTAGTAGATAGTAATCAAATACTTACATCATTGCCTAGTCAGGTAGTAGCTAGTAATCAATATACTTGCATCATTGCCAAGTCAGTTAGTAGTTAGTAATCAATATACTTGCATCATTGCCTAGTCAGTTAGTAGCTAGTAATCAATATACTTGCATCATTGCCTAGTCAGGTAGTAGCTAGTAATCAATATACTTTCATCATTGCCTAGTCAGGTAGTAGTTAGTAATCAATATACTTGCATCATTGCCTAGTCAGGTAGTAGCTAGTAATCAATATACTTACATCATTGCCTAGTCAGGTAGTAGTTAGCAATCAATATACTTGCATCATTGCCTAGTCAGGTAGTAGCTAGTAATCAATATACTTGCATCATTGCCCAGTCAGGTAGTAGATATTAATCAATATACTTACATCATTGCCTAGTCAGCTAGTAGTCAGTAATCAATATACTTGTATCATTGCCTAGTCAGGTAGTAGATAGTAATCAATATACTTACATCATTGCCTAGTCAGGTAGTAGTTAGTAATCAATATAATTGCATCTTTGACTAGTCAGGTAGTAGTTTGTAATCAATACACTTGCATCATTGCCTAATCAGGTAGTAGATAGTAATCAATATACTTACATCATTGCCTAGTCAGGTAGTAGTTAGTAATCAATATACTTGTATCATTGCCTAGTCAGGCATAGTAGATAGTAATCCATATACTTGTATCATTGCCTAGTCAGTAGTAGATAGTAATCCATCAATAGAATAATCAGATAAGATAATTTATTTAAATTATAAGGCATTCAATCTTTGTAAAATAACATATATAGATTGATGATGTAGAGGCTTTAATGCAGGCTGTTCATGAAATACCTAATGAAATGGTTAACAAGTAAGTCCATAATTTAAACATATGTAGTTCTTATATAATAGATAAAAGGGGTCTGTTTTAAGTTTTTATTTAATAAAAATCTACAAATACTATAATTTTTTCATTGGTAAAAAATTAAAATATCCTTTGTGACGTACATTTCTAAAGAAACATGATAATTACGACAAGTTATGAGTTATGTTAACTATTCAAACCCGTTTTGTTATTCTGCAGAACGTTGTGTGATGTGGAATAACTGTACTTTGTTTGACGGGAATTTCTCATTTTTGTAAGGACAACAGTGTGCAATAAAAAAATTGTAAATTTTAATCTCTATTGTGCGTAGCAGACAAAAAATTACAAATTATAAATTTTCTAGAAGGTATCTCTATACTTAATCAAACTTCATTTACAAAGACGATCGTGTCACTTTAGACCCAATTTCAATTAACCAAATATTTGAAACAGAGTGGCATGTCAGATTCATAATGGAACCCTTTAAACTTTTTTCTGATTATCGAGCGACACAGACGACCATATTTTTATCACACTTTTGTCCACCATTTGTACTGTCAACTCGATCTACCATTTGTCCTGCAAACTTGATCCACCATTTGTACTGTCAACTTGATCCATCATTTGTACTGCAAACTTGATCCACCATTTGTACTGTCAACTTGATCCACCATTTGTACTGTCAACTTTATCCACCATTTGTACTGTCAACTTGATCCATCATTTGTACTCTCAACTTGATCCACCATTTGTACTGTCAACTCAATGTGAACAAAGTCACATATTTAAATTTCAATATATTTACTTATTTTTACAATTCTAAACTCATTTTTCTACTTTAATTTTCTGTTTTCCTATTTTCAATTTATTTAATTCTAAATATTGTAATTTTAATTTGTAGAACTCGGTTGCAAATGATTTAAGGTTAAACAAATTTTCTTTGACTTGAGATATTAAATAATATATGTGACGTAAATCGTGAATAATTAGTCCATTTCTCTGTTGTCACCTTTTTACTTGATAATCTATTTGTATAAATGTAGAACCACTTGAAATTATAAGTCTGCAGTATTATTATTGTAGAAATTATACGTCTACAATCTTATTATTGTAGAAATTATACGTCTACAGTATTATTTTTGTAGAAATTATACGCCTACAGTCTTATTATTGTAGAAATTATACGTCTACAATCTTATTATTGTAGAAATTATACGTCTACAGTCTTATTATTGTAGAAATTATACGTCTACAGTCTTATTATTGTAGAAGTTATACGTCTACAGTATTATTATTGTAGAACTTATTCGTCTACAGTTTTATTATTGTAGAAATTATACGTCTACAATCTTGTTATTGTAGAAATTTTAAGTCTACAGTCTTATTATTGTAGAAATTATACGTCTACAGTCTTATTATTGTAGAAATTATACGTCTACAATCTTATTATTGTAGAAATTTTAAGTCTACAGTTTTATTATTGTAGAAATTATACGTCTACAGTCTTTTTATTGTAGAAATTATACGTCTACAGTCTTATTATTGTAGAAATTATACGTTTACAGTCTTATTTTTATAGAAATTATACGTCTACAGTATTATTATTGTAGAAATTATACGTCTACAGTCTTATTATTGTAGAAATGAAATCTCCCTATTTAGGATAAAAATCGACGGACTAAGACGAAAACATTTATCCGAGATCATGTCAGATCAGTCAAGCTTTTCCCTCCACATGGATAATAGTCAGGTCATTCCAAGACCCTGGAGTCTTCGAAGAAAGGGAACCAGGTAATTTCTTGAATTTTTAACTGATTTATCTGAATTTTGTATCAATTTTCTTAAATTTTGTATCAATTTGCTTAAATTTTGTATCAGTTTTCTTAAATTTTGTATCAGTTTTCTTAAATTTTGTGTCAATATTCCTAAATTTGGTATCAGTTTTCCTAAATTTTGTATCAATTTTCCTAGTTTTTTTAAAATTCTAACTCATTTTCTATAATCAAATTCATAGAGTAATAAAACGAAGAGGTGAAGCTTAGCTCATATGTACACAACCGACCTCCATATTAATTTATTAATAGAGTGGTCAGTTGTATACATCACGATATGTTTACGTATCTAACACTGAACACTTGAATATTAGTATTGATAATTAGATAGACACTTAATATGGATATGAATAAAGAAAGAAAATCTAAAAATTGGTAAATTCCATAAAATCTCCCTTAGAAATACAATCACTTTATAAACAAGTGTACAGTGTACTTAAACATATTGTGATGTACACAACCGATTACTCCATTAATTAATCAATAGGGAGGTTGGTTGTGTACATCTGAGCTAAGCTTCACCTCTTTGTTTTATTACTCTATGTCCTATAATCAAATTCATTTATCTAATTCTATTTTAATTTTCCTCATTTATGGAATTTTTTCTAATTTTTTATTCATTTTGTAATTCTATATTCATTTTCCAAGTTTAGAATTAATTTTCCTTATTTCCTTATTTGAATTTTTACGAATATTTCCTAAGTTCCTATTCCTAAAATCAGATCGTTAATTTTCCCGATTTTAAATCCCTTGAATGCTATGTAATTTCAGGTCCATCTTTCTCGATACAAATCTATTTTTCTAATTATATATCTTTGCAACCTGATTGTGCAAACCTTTAATACTAAAACTGAGAATATTTGATTTGATCTAGTTAAAAGTTTGAAATATCAAAGGTCTCCGAAATCGGTTTGCAGAGATGGGGAGATTCAAAAATCAGAGTTTGTATACAACATTCAACTCATTATTCGTACTTTCAAATCCATCTAATTTCTAGTTTTCTAATATTCTAATTTCAGATCGAAGTCCATTGTTGACATACTGCTAGGCTCATCAGGCCAGGAACCAACAGACCCAAGGTAGAAAATGTTTATTTCTATAATATTTTAGTGGTAGTGGTAGTGGTAGTGGTAGTGGTAGTGGTAGTGGTAGTGGTAGTGTTAGTGGTAGTGGTAGTGGTAGTGGTAGTGGTAGTGGTAGTGGTAGTGGTAGTGGTAGTGGTAGTGGTAGTGGTAGTGGTAGTGGTAGTGGTAGTGGTAGTGGTAGTGGTAGTGGTAGTGGTAGTGGTAGTGGTAGTGGTAGTGGTAGTGGTAGTGGTAGTGGTAGTGGTAGTGGTAGTGGTAGTGGTAGTGGTAGTGGTAGTGGTAGTGGTAGTGGTAGTGGTAGTGGTAGTGGTAGTGGTAGTGGTAGTGGTAGTGGTAGTGGTAGTGGTAGTGGTAGTGGTAGTGGTAGTGGTAGTGGTAGTGGTAGTGGTAGTGGTAGTGGTAGTGGTAGTGGTAGTGGTAGTGGTAGTGGTAGTGGTAGTGGTAGTGGTAGTGGTAGTGGTAGTGGTAGTGGTAGTGGTAGTGGTAGTGGTAGTGGTAGTGGTAGTGGTAGTGGTAGTGGTAGTGGTAGTGGTAGTGGTAGTGGTAGTGGTAGTGGTAGTGGTAGTGGTAGTGGTAGTGGTAGTGGTAGTGGTAGTGGTAGTGGTAGTGGTAGTGGTAGTGGTGGTGGCGGTGATAGATAGTGGTGGTGGTAGATAGTGGTAGTGGTGGTAGATAGTGGTAGTGGTGGTAGATAGTGGTAGAGGTGGTAGATAGTGGTAGTGGTGGTAGATAGTGGTAGTGGTGGTAGATAATGGTAGTGGTTGTAGATAGTGGTAGTGGTGTTAGATAGTGGTAGTGATAGATAGTGGTAGTGGTAGTAGTAGTGGTAGTGATAGATAGTTGTAGTGATAGATAGTGGTAGTGATAGATAGTTGTAGTGATAGATAGTGGTAATAGTAATAATATTGTGTGTGATTACCATCTAGATTTTTGAATATGTAGTCGTTTTACAATGTATAACTAGTTCAACTAATTCTATAAAATGTTCTATATAATTAACCGATCGGGATTAAGGATATTCCATTTAAAAGTTCCCAGCTCTGATATATTTTCTATATTCATTATTTCTTACCTTATTGTACTTTTGCAGAGAAATATCTATTATAATGCTTTCAATAAAAAAACCCTCTTGGATACTTAATTAAATCAGGACGCTTCGCGGCCATCTTCTATTTCAACTTTTGATAGTTGCTCAATCTTTTCAAATTTTCAAATTTTGCAAATTATATATATGACTAACTGATGTGCCCGGCGTTGCCCGTGAAATTTATTTTTGCAGAAAAAAATGTCGAAATTTGTTTAGACTAAAATGCTCCCCTGGCACCCAAGAGTTTCCTTATAAAATTTCAGCCCATTCGGCCCAGACGTTTGGCCAACTATAGCTGACATATTAATATATATGAGCGGAGAGCTTTATTATAAAGATTGAAATCGTTGATGTGAACTCTTCCTGAAAGAATACATACAAAAACTGTGAAATCAATTTGTAAACTATAGCAAGCAAAACACGTAACATATTAAAGGTTCGTGGGTCTAAATATATGCGCCCCCCCCCCAGGAAAATGGCTTTATAGTGTTTAAGGTATGGAAATGCATTGCACATTCAAAGCCCAATTTATCAAGGCCAGCTCATAAGAAAATTAAACCTTTAACATAGATAGCAAATAAATAACAAATATTGAATTTAAATATGTAAAAACTAAACAAAAATGAAAAATAAGAAGACATGGCACATTTATATAAATTCATTTTAAAACTTTTAACATTGTATGTTGCAAAATCCAATTACACAGTAAAACATCTGGAAAAAGTATACAAAATATGACGAATTAAAAGTTTTTGCCAAAAAAAAACATGCAAAACTTCCTCGCAAGATTTATGCATAATGCATTCTTTGTCAAAGCTTTCTAAAAATCAATAAAATATACCATTATGGCAATATGACTGAGGGTTTAGTTTGAGCGCCCAGCTTTTACCTTACACTAATTGGCATGGGAAATTTTTTTTACAAGATTTTCATTTTGATCTTTTACACAGGAATTTCTTCTTTTTTGATGCCATTAACCTTGTAAAAATTATTTTTGGCTCTTCATGCAAGCAAACATTTTCTGCAATACATGAATTTTTGGTTTCTAGTCTTTAACTCAAATAATGTTGATAAATGTACATGGTTTTCAATATTGTCAGATACATCCAATAGAATTACAAGCATGTTAGATAATCCTCTTTCACTTGAAGTGTTTAAAAGACGAAAATTATTGTCTCATATCTTTTATGCAAGTAACCTTGTACTTTTTAACAGTTATCAATTATCTCATTACGTTTTTATTTAAGATTGAATTCTCTCTCTATCTGATTTAAATGATATATTGAAAAATATAACGTCATAATAATTATTTAGCAATCTTTCCGCGCAAGGAATTCATACATGTTACTTTGCTTAGCAGTGGCACCGACGCGACGAACCTGAATCTATCAGAATTTTTCATTGAATTTGTATACATAAAACTCCTGAATTTGAAGAAGAAAGTTAGACAATCTGCATGTTCACTGCTCAATTGCGGGGTATTTTATGTTCATTGAACTATTTAATTAAAAATTGAATCTAAAAATTTTCTCTATATTCCCCAGTATATTTTCACCAATGTATTTCTTTAGTTCGTCTTTATAAAATGCATTCCTCCAGTTTAAAAGGCATTTTTTTGTTTTGATGCAAAGCTTAATTCTCAATAGCTGTAAAGGGAAAGAAAAAATATTGCAAAACTGCAGTCAAAATATCTATCTGGAATATACTACAACTAGAAATTCAAGGCGCCCTTCTTTCTAGGCTTTTAGGGCGCTTCGCGCCCATCATCTATTTAAATTGTGAACATGTTCTTTTTGTTTACATTTTAAGAAGAAAATTTTTTTGCGGATTTAAAAAAAAATCACGGATTTTCAAGAATTTTATTTTTTTAACAAAATTAAAAACCTTCAAAACACATTTTTTTATCATTCTTAAACCTTCCCTGTGGTCACGTGATGTCCCACAAAAAATTTGGGCCCGATCGGTTTAGCCGTTTTGACGTTTATTGGATACAAACAAACAGACAGACAGACAGACAAGGCAAATTTACATATAGATTGTAAAAAGATTAAAATCCAGTTTTTAGTCTTTGGTCAGTAATTTTGAGGTTTCTGAGGTTTTCAGTTCTGATAATTAGCAAGAAGTGACAGAAGTCCGAATGAAAAATCTATTTAGAATGCACATTCATCCTAATCGGATGGGCGCTATCAGGGATACCGAAGCAAAACAATTATTTCTAAATGCCAAGCCACGAAGGCTTGAGTTTAGAGGTAGTAAAAGACCAATTTTTTAAGATTTGGATTTAATTTACTTAATTCGTTGCACCGCCGTTTTGTAATCTTTCTTTTTATTATACAAACTAGCTCAAGTGCCAGCGTTGCCCGTGGAATTTTAAAAATAGAATTAAAACAAAAAAAACTTATAATTTATTCAGCCTAATTGATTCAGCCGTTTGGCCAGCCATATCAAACATTTAAATGTGTGAAGTACACCTGCAGTAGGGAAATAGTACAAGAAAATGGCGGTTTTTACACTTTTTTCCACTTAATTCTACTCAATATTAATTCATTCTCCTGAGTTAGATCTTAAATATAAACATTGAATCGAATTAATCTAAATTCAATCTAAATTTAAATTTGATAATCAAACAAAACTTTCCTGTGAAGTGTCCTAAGAACTAATCTAATTTGAGTTCTGGTTTAGATGTAAGAATATAAAGAGAACTGAGCAGTTGGTTTATCTCAAGGAAGCAATTCTTAGAATTGGAACTTTTTTCCAGGTAATATAATACATACTCCAGGTAAGATAACCCATACTCCAGGTAATATAATCCATACTCCAGGTAATATAATCCATACTCCAGGTAATATAATCCATCCATGAGAAAGCCAGTCCCTATGCTTTGCAGACGGGTTCTTTATTGGAGCGAACAATGTACTCTCATAAAGCTGTAAAGCACCAATACCGAGATTTTTATGTACTCTATATGTTTACCTACAATACAAATATGTGGTTCCTTATCGAAGCCTTAACAGAAGCAAACTCTTTTGGTACGGATACACACACATAATGCTTCCTCACCATGTTCAGGAGTCCTGAATAAATATAAACATTGAACAAATACAAAACCATTGCAATACAATACATTCCACTGCACAGTGCACAGTGTACTGTACAGCGTACACATAGTACACTGTAGAGAACCTAATGTACAGGAACAAGATAATGTAGAGTGCACAGTGTACTGTACAACGTACACATAGTAGACTGTAGAGAACCTAATGTGCAGGGACAAGATAATGTACAGTGTAAAGTGTACTGTACAACGTACACATAGTAGACTGTAGAGAACCTAATGTACAGGGACAAGATAATGTACAGTGCACAGTGTACTGTACAACGTACACATAGTAGACTGTAGAGAACCTAATGAACAGGAGTTAGATAATGAACAGTGTACTGCACTATGTACTGTACAACGTATGGTACAACGTACACATATCAGACTATAGAAAAACTACTGTACAGGGACTAGATCCTGTTTACCAGAGTGTAAAGATGCAACCTGACTACTCAGTTATCAGTCACACCAGGCAATTCATATTCATGTTCATGTTCATATGTTCAATATTTAATATGCATGTTAATATTCATATATTCAATATTTAATATTCATATTCATGTTAATATTCATATATTTAATATTTAATATTCATATTCATGTTAATATTCATATTTTCAACATTTAATATGCATGTTAATATTCATATATTCCATATTTAATATTCATATTCATGTTCATATTTTCAACATTTAATATGCATGTTAATATTCATATATTCAATATTTAAGATTCATATTCATGTTCATATGTTCAATATTTTATATTCATATTCATGTTCAAATATTTAATATTTCAATATTCATAGTCATATTCCTGTGTTTAATATTTAATATTCATGTTCATATTCATATATTTAGAATATTAATGTTTATGTTCATAAATTCAATATTTAATATTTATGTTCATATTCATACATTCATTTTTGATATATTAGTTTTACATTCATTCATATTTACGTTAAAATTCATATTTTCATATTCATATTAATGTTCATGTACATTTTTGCATACAATTTTAATCACCGCCCCCCCCCCCTCAGTTTATAAGAATATTATAGATGTATATATTCATATTGTTCATGCTTATATTGATATTGTTCTATATTCATATTCATATTCATATTTATAATCATATTCATCAGTTGCTTACTGCTCATAGCAGTTTGGAGGAGCACTGCGTTCAATTGCACATGTCGTATCCTACAGGGGAGTTTCCTTAAAATTCTCCTTAGTCGGAAAGACTATAACACAAAGGAAAACAGAAAGCAATCCCTTATACTCTGCCTCCTACAAACCTCCTTATCTCTCTCCTACCTGCTCCACAACTCAATGTCAAAAGTACTATTTGGAGAGGCCTCAAAGCATAGAAACAACAAACAGGAAGAAAATAGAAGAGAATCTCTGCTGTAAACTGTTAACTGTCAATTTTTCTGATGTCGGCTTGAGACAACATTAGAGAAGGGTTAATTATTTTACCTAAAGTAAAATATTCTAGAAAATGAGTTGCTGAAAATTATAACACCAACCAATACAGAGTTCAAAATTAGCCAAAATATGATTAAAAGATGTACGAACAAGAAGAAAATGAAGAACAAGAAATTTAGAAATGTTAAAATATTTCCATCTAATATCAAATAAAAATTTTAAAAATATTGTAAAACTTAATAAAAATAAATTATTAAAGTTAAAAATATTTCTTTTAATATTCATATTCATATTAATATTGATGTTAAAATTCATATATGATGTGCTATGATTTCGGTTTTAATTCAAACTAATATTTCATGTTTTTATTTATATAAAATATGAAAATGAATTGAATTTTTATCAGAGATATCGAAGTTTATCTGAATACGTCGCTAACAAAAAGGTACTTATGAATCATTAATGTGTATAGGTTATAGACTCAAAAATCATAATTAAGAAATCTGTTATAAAACTATTTTGAACTTTATCAATCATTCTTACTTCATGGTGAATTTCATTATTGACCTGTTATAAGTATTCATCATGTTATAAAGTTATATTAGCTGTATATTGTAGCATCCCGCTATAAAGGTTGATTGGTTCCCAAAGGTTTTGCCACAGACTCAAATTTTCTAATCCTTAAATCTTTAAAGTTTAAATATGTATTTAAATAGTTTCAATTTTTCAAATCTAGATTTAAATGGTCCTTAAATATTTTAAATATCTTTTAAATTTCATTACCTTAACAAGATTACTGGAAATTACTTACAATATGTTACGAAACTATTCTAAATTAAAATTTTATTGTTGAGTCTTTACAGAGCAATATTTAATCGTTAATAAGCGGTTCTGAGAAAACTGAGTAAAATTAATAATACAAAACCTCCCCATACACTTGTACTCCGAAAGCGTACTGCATATTATGATATTTGATGTTTGTATGGTACTGTATGAATAGGCCATAATCTCTTAATATCCTTTATTAGTAAACTGTCCTAAGTGTACACTCAGACTAATATACACGGACAGGTAATTAAGATCCCCCCCCCCCCCCTGTTAAATACAAGTTTGAAATTTTATTTAATATCTGTAATAAAGGAATTTTATTCATTAAGTTTTTTGTTAATCATTAAATGATATTTGACCTAAAATCAAAATCTGATTAAAAATATTTTAACATATTTTAGGAAACGAGCTAGAGCACTGTTAGGAAATTTTTTATCTCAATTGGTCAAATTTAGCGGGGGGGGGGGTGAGAAAATTTTTTTTCTTAGAATCCCAAAGTTTTTTCCTTCTTCTTTCCTTGCAATCATCCACCCCTCTCTTTTTCATCTACTGGGATGGGAAGTATCTTTGTGGAGGGGGGGATAGATAAAACTCTTATTATTGATGGTTAGGTTAGGTTAAGACAATTTCTGGGCCGAGCGCTACGGCTAGGATGGGCTAGGGGCCGAGCACTGCGGCTAGCACAGGCCCAGGGGCCGGCGCTGCGGCCACATAATCAATTTAGGAGTTTTATCTATCCCCCCCTCCGCAAACCTACGTCCCATGCCTCATCTACTGCCCCACCCCTTCCCCTCACTGTACAATGCGAAATTAATTAAGGATTCGAAAAGGAAAAAATATGTTTAACTACTGAATGGTATTTGCAGTTGAAAATAAATTATTCTCAGATTTGAATTGAAATCCATAAACTAAATTAAACCCTAAACTCATGAGATCTTTAAGTTGAAACTCAATATCTTTCAAAAAAATCTTTTTTGATAAAAAAGGAAAGCCCCCAAATATATATAATATTTTTATTAACGTTGGGATGCTATTTTTTAAAACTGTATTAATAAAAAGTTTGGATTAAGATTTTGAGCGAAAAGACGACGATGAACTTGGATTCAGGAACATTTTTCAATCTTGATATTTTTTTAATTACCTTGATTTACTCCGGGTAGTTTAAATCCAGTCTTTTTAGTTTTTTACTTTTTATATAAACAACTTTACTTTTGTCATTTCCGAAAAAGGGTATTTTTGAGTTCGTTTTATAATTATTATGCTTAAAAACCCCGAGTATTAATATAAGATCTTCAGAAATAAAGGTTAAGAATAAATTTTAGTCGTAAAAGGTGATCGAGGAACAATTGTTTCTTCCAACAAAGCCTTAATTAAATCGCTCTTAAATGCAAACGCTAAGGAATTGCTATTAAACTCAAATGTCAGAATCGCTCTTAAAATGAAGCTCTAAAATGTTTGTTCTTAGACTAACAAAAACGCTTAAAATGTTCGGACGCAACCCTCCCTTTGATATTTGGCTCGATGTTCTGAAGAATGTATAATCAGGAAGAATGATATTATCAATGTCGTCTCACAAGAAGATGAACATTGTTGGGTTGGAGAACTTAACGGTCTCATTGGATGGTTCCCAGCTAAATTTGTTCAAGTATTTCATCATTCATCATTCATCATTCATCATTCATCATTCATCATTCATCATTCATCATTCATCATTCATCATTCATCATTCATCATTCATCAATCATTTTCATATAAATTCTAATTGCATTTTTCACTATTTATTAGATCTGGTTAGAGGTTCCCTTTGCTCCGCCTTAAAACAGATTCTTGAACAAGGACTCCGCCCTACTTCTATACTTGGTGGAACTATTCATCCTTGGTTATTTATTCAGGAACATTCATTTGTTCAATTAAGCTTGTATCCCAATCTTGACCTTGTGTCCTAATCTTGACCTTGTATCCCAATTTTGTTTTGACCTTATGTTCCAAACTTGACCTTGTGTTCTAATCTTGATCTTGTGTTCTAATCTTTACCTTGTGTTCTAATCTTGATCTTGTGTCCCAATCTTGACCTTGTGTCTTAATATTGACTTTGTGTCCTAATCTTGACCTTGTGTCTTAATCTTGACCTTGTGTCCCAATCTTGACCTTGTGTCCTAATCTTTACCCTGCGTCCTACTCTTGACCTTGTGTCCTAATCTTGACCATGTGTCCCAATCTTGGCCTTTATCCCAATTTTGACCTTGTGTCCTAATCTTGACCGTGTGTCCCAATCTTGACCTTGTGTCCCAATCTTGACCTTGATGTCCAAATATACAATCATTTAGCTTAAATCTATTAGAGAAATATAATGACATCTATCTGTTACCGTAATAACAGCAGATAACAGAAACAGAAAACTGTGGAATAGCAATACTAGAGTGAATTTGATGTTGTCACAAGGCAAATACTAGTTTATAGTGAAATGGGTCTGTTAACAAAACACAATTACTGTGCACGTCTCATATTCATTGGACTATTTAAAGTCATTTGATTCTAAAAGTCGTATTCTTATTCTAGAGTTATCTGGTTCTCACTGTATGTAGTTTGACCGTAATGAATGTGAGGTCAGGAGGCAGCTGCAGAAGAGATTAGTAGAGATTACAACTCTGTTTTCTCTAGACTTGTTCTCTGTAAAACATTCAGGTAATGTTTTCACGTTGACAATGTCGCTAGAAACTTACAAATTCAGCTAGTGATGTGATGGCCCATTACTTTTTTTAACTTTAAGTTTTTGGACTTTTTTTAAGGGAAAGAAGATTTTCGAAACAATTTTGCATAGATTTTTGCACAGATGCCTTAAAAGAATTTGCATATTTTCCGTTTTCCTTGAATACAAATTTAGTTTTTGAAAATTTTGCAAATATTTTTGCATATTTGAATTCGTCGTGGCAAGGGCTTTTTAAAAATGTGTTATTTAATAATTTTTGCGCACTTTTAGTTTTTGCATATCTTTTACTTAATAACTTAATATTGCAATAAATATTTAAACTTTTGCAAATTTGCAGATTACTAAAATAGTGCCCAAGGGCTTTACAAAAATGTATCAAGTATTATAGATTTGTATCATAATAAGGAAATAGAGGATCGAGGCCCCCCCCCTGACAATTTTGGGTAAACCTAGGGTTAAAGCAAACCTTTACATGAATGATGTTTTAAAATGTTTGGAACCTTCACAGTATTTGCGTGATGCCTATAAAAAGTCTATTAACCTAAAAGTTCTAGAAAAACTAACTATAGCTATTGCCTTTTACAAATTGTGGCTAAAACCAGCACATTTATTTTATGAAGGTAAATGCTTTCTTTGGACTTAAAATACAATTGATTTATTGACATAAAATTAATGGTTTTGATAAAACAAATCAAACAGTTTTCAAGCATGTCTGTCTTGGTGTACATAGTTTGGTGTACATAGTTTGGTGTACATAGTTATCTTTTTCTACTTTTTCATAGAAAACGCACGGGGACAAAACAGTAAAGAAGAGAAAACGCTAAAAATTGATGTTTTATTTGTGAAATTGGGATAGAAAGTAACAGCTTTCTGGTATTAAGCGCTAATCTAATCTTAAAATCAGTGTAAAACCTGTCGAAGTTCATTGGTGTTGGTTTTTTGGAAATAAAAATAAATCTCAATATTTTGCAAATAAAAATATTTTTAGTTAAGTTGAGACTTTAAGGCACTTTCGATGGAAAACACCTTTTTTATTTAATTTATTTGTTAGGTTGGATGAGGATAAAAAGGTTTTACTTTGTTTATTTGTTAGGTTGGATGAGAATGAAAAGGTTTTATTTTGTTTATTTGTTAGATTGGATGAGGATGAAAAAGTTTTATTTTGTTTATTTGTTAGGTTGGATGAGGATGAAAAGGTTTTATTTTGTTTATTTGTTCGGTTGGATGAGGATGAAAAGGTTTTATTTTGTTTATTTGTTAGGTTGGATGAGGATGAAAAGGTTTTATTTTGTTTATTTGTTAGGTTGGATGAGGATGAAAAGGTTTTAAGACCAGATGAGCTTCTCTACAGATGTGTTCATTATATAAACCAAACTCATGATAAGGTAAGATACTTTTTAACGGAAGCATTTGAAATTTTTAGAAGTTGGTTTTTATCCAAGAGAATATTTCTTTTAATCATTCTTGAAATTCTTAAATTAATAATTCTTTTTAACAAATTGTTTTTTTTTCATAACAAATTAATACAAAATTGTGATAAATTATTTAAATAAAATTGTATGATTTAACAGTATTACCTTTACAATTATTTTCAACTCGTTATAAAACAATAATAGTTAGTATTTAGAAACTATTTAGTATGTATATCTTTGTGTGTTGATAAATCTTTAGAACAATAAGAAGGAATCTAAAATGATGAAGTTTTGAACTGCACTTAAAGGGAGTGTCTGAATAGACATTGTAGTTGAGCTGAGAATGCAGTATTGTAAAGAATAATTTTAGAAATAATTTGAGACTTATAAGACGTTTGTACGGTTTATAATTATTCAGAAAGAGTAAAAGTTTTATCTTTAAAATCCTCCTGGATTGTTCAACCCACCAGGAGGATTTTAATGGTTGAATTTTTACTTTTTCTGAAAGTCTCAAATGATTTCTAAAGATTTCTCTACACTACTGCATTCTTAGCTCACCTACCCTGTCCCTTTAAGTTTATAAAAAGTTTCACTTAAGGGTATTGTCGATCAAATCTTGCCTGACTCTTTATCTAATTAGTTACATATCTGATTCACGATGACGTGCTCTTTAACCAATGCCTGCGCAAAAATCATTGAGCTATCAGCTTTCCCCTCTTGGAATTGTCGTATGCAGTATGCACCTCTAGTTTTCATTTTAAGCACTTTTATGAGATTTGTTGATCTACACCGCTACAGGCTAGAAATACAGAACATTTTCTCATTATAGCGTTTCCATTAGAAGGATCATGATTGATAACATACAAGATGTCAATCATACGTCAGATTTACTTCAGTTTCACGTGTCACTCATTTAAATGTACAACGTGTCTCTGAAAAAGGGTGCTAAAGCTTTTTCGACTACTGAACGTCGTTTAAATGCCGTTTTAATCTTCCATCATTTTATGTAATTACTTAAAAAAATTATATAATATGTATATATCTAGCATATAACTATATTTGTGAATCTAGCATGTAACTATATTTGTGAATCTAGCATATAACTATATTTGTGAATCTAGCATGTAACTATATTTGTGAATCTAGGATGTAACTATATTTGTGAATCTAGCATGTAACAATATTTGTGAATCTAGCATGTAACTATATTTGTGAATCTAGGATGTAACTATATTTGTGAATCTAACATATAACTATATTTGTGAATCTAGCATGTAACTATATTTTTAAATCTAGGATGTAACTATATTTGTGAATCTAGCATGTAACAATATTTGTGAATCTAGCATGTAACTATATTTGTGAATCTAGTAAATATTTCTCTAGGAAATAACTGCCAGTTTTAATATCGTTTTTAATTGTCTATTTATGTTGGTGCATTTTCATAAATAATTTTTCAATTTTGACTAAAAAATTCTTCCTAGGGGTAAACAAATTGGGCCTAATCTGTTTAAAAGTTTTGACGTTTATTTGATACAGGCAGACAGATGATCTTGATCTTCTCTTGATTTTAAACTTTCCTTTAAAGGGACTTTAAACCTAATTTCAAGTGATGGTCCATGAAAGATGGCAATGCCGGATTCAAAATGGTTCCCTTTAAAGCTTTGTCTTATAAAGTATGAATTAGATATGAATGTAAATAATTTTGATATCTTTAGTTGTTTTATGTTTATTTTCAACTGCAATTTTAACTCTAATAACTTTTTATTCTAATTAAATTTTACAAATTTGAAAATAAAAATAAATGATTCTTTTGGATGATCTTGCAGCTAGCCAAATTGCAAGAGAAAGAAATATTTTTCCGAGCCCTGTATCTCAGACCTATTCTGAGGGGAGCAAGGTCACTACCCTCTCCCCTTGTTTTTTTTTTCTATTTTGCTTGAGTTAGCTGTAACACAGTAGCTTGTGTAAACTGCATTTCTACACACTTTCCCTGATATTTTCTTGGAGGCGGGGAGGAGGATGGGCCCTGCTATACATTTTCTAGTTTTTTATTTTGAGAAGGACATAGAGGGGGGGATGGGACGTCTACCATTCTGTGTATTTGTCTTCATTTGCTATTGGTTAAAAAAATAGATAGTGTAAAGCTCAAATCCCCTTCTTATTTCCCTGTTCAAAGTTTTCTTCTTTTTCCTTGTTTCCTTGTTTTAAGCCCCCATCTCTATTGTCAAGAGATTTCCCTGCCACTTTTTTTCTGTTCAATTTCTTTTTTCTTCTTGTTTCTTGTTTTTACACTGTAATACCTTTCCAAATAGTTCTTTTAACATCCGAGTTGTGGAAAAGGTAGAGGAGAGATATTATGAGATTAAGAAGGGTATAGGGGATTCCTTCATTTTATACTGTTTCCCAGTTAGGGTAATTAAGAAAACCCATAACTGCACCCCTTATGCAAAATGGGGAGTTGTAAGCCCTGACAGATCTCTTGAGAGGAATCTTCCTTAACAGTCCATGTCTTGTACACCCACGAGGAGTTAAACTCCTTCTTTCAGTGCACCAAGCAGAAGATAAAGTTTTGTTTTAATCTATGTACTTTTCTTGCTTCCCCCGTAGGATACAAGATGAGTAACTATACTTAGCGCTTCTCCAGCCTAATAAGTCACTTGCCTGACTGCAGGCAAGTGATTTCTCTACAAAAGTAATTTAAGTGATTTATAAAATGATGTCCAGAATATTAATAAAATAAAATTGATTTAAGAAACTAAAAAAATACTAAATTTGAGGTTTAGTTAAACTTTTAAAAAAGGTTAAATTGTAACATTTGTGAAAATCATGGAAATTTGATCCTTCTTTTTTATCCTAAACCTTTCTAGCCAATTCAGCAGATTTGTTTCTTGGAAAATACCTCGTGCTTCAACACGCAATAGAAAATATTTTAGAAAAAAAACATATAAAATATGAATAAACAAGAACAACACAAAAACAAAGATCTAGAATTTTAATTTTTATCTTTAACGGAAAATTTATATCGTACTGTGCTTTTAGATGATTTTAATTTATATCAATTTATAAAACCGCAATAAAACATTAAATCATAACTTGGGATAGGTTTTTTGCTCTAGTTGTGAACTTGTGGTTTATAGCGTGTCAAACTTTCAATTCTATTCTTCTAGTCCTACTCTTAAATTATGTGAATTTGAGAAATTCTATAATATTTTAATCTTTATTTACTTGAAGTATTATATTTTACTTCTTTTATAGGTCTCCATCTATAGGGTAACAAATTAAAGGCTTCTGTGAGGCCACTTAAAAAATAATGAAAAATACGAATTAACTAAAATGCTTTGTTTTCAATAGAAAGCAGCCTTTAAAAACAAAATTTTTAAAATTATTTAGGGTAAATATTTTTTGAAAAAATTGATTTATTCAAAATTTTATTTTTTGTATGTCAGAAGGAAGAGATAAGGAATGTACAAGGAACCTCAATGATTTGTTTACAAAAAAAATGTTGTTGTTGTTGCTGTAGTTGTTGTTGTTGCTGTAGTTGTTGTTGTATCTTAAATAGATCAGGTTTGATATTCTTGAACTTCTTAATCAAGATGAAGGTGTCAACTTTTTTTAATTGTGCCCAATCCAATCGTTAAATTTGTCAATTTAACAGATGTGTGGTGTTGAGTATTATGCGTATTTTCTTTAAAAATCATTTCGAATCTTTTAATGGATTTTTCTGATATGTATTTAGGACTTTGTATTTTGTTGGTTTATAATAGTTTCTGCAATATATTCTTTATATAAAAAGTTTAAATGCCTGCTATATATTCTGGATCACTGATACCATCTTCTTGAACCATGGGTTCGTATAGTTTTATCGCTGATCAAGATCGGATCGGGCTTCATATTACATTTTGAGAGGGAAAAAAAGTTCTGTGCATTGTGAACATATGCAAGTTTTTTGCAGGTTTACTACACTTTAGGAATGTATACTGCAATTTGGGGGGTGTTAAAAGATGTAAATATTAGAAATCAAAACAACACTCCCTTGTAGGATACATTTTGCATTATCGAATTTTTCTCCAATCTGACATTTTTTAGATGAAATCAAGAAAAAGTTAGAAATATTTCTTATTCTAGTGTCCTAATGTTTATAACTATAACCGTCAAATACAAGGTGTCCCAAAAAACATGGGAATTCAGTGACGAATTTGATATCGTCTTTGTTATTAATTAGCATTGTAATACCTAATTTCAACAGCCATAATATTATTATGTTTATTATATGAAAAAGGTAAAATACTGTAAATATGTGTTCATTATGTCTCCCCAAGATGAACAGTGAAGACGGACAAGTTTACTCTGTCTGTATACTGCAATACTGCAATTTTCTTGTTTTACCATGAAGTACAACCGTATGCAGTCAAAACATAAACAAACAAAATGTGAACATAGCAGACGAAACTCTTACAGATTACAGCTTTCTAAGTAAATCACTAAATCAAAGAATTATTGGAAAAGACGATATCGAATTCGTCACTGAATTCCCATGTTTATTGGGACACCCTGTATTATAGAAATCCAACGTATAGAAATCGCTAGGTATAGCAAAAAGGCGTATTTTCCGGGAGAATTTTTTTTATATTTTGAGAATTTGAACGTGTTTGAAAAAGATTGTATCTTATCATTATCATTATCATAATTTCTTTTTTTAACATACCCTGGACTCTATACAACTAACTAGATCAATGTGATTTGTACTGCTCTCTATTGTGTTTAAGGTCCCCTAGATTCTATCATGCACTGACAACATAAATCAATGATCATATGGTTACATAAAATTAAGTGTTTCTATTAAAAAAAACTATTTTATGAAATTGATGTGTACAGTGTTATTTTACAAACAAAAAATTTCTCAAAAATATAAAAAAATGTTCTCCCGGATTAAGGGATTTCTATACATTGGATTTCTATAATGTTTGACGCCAGTTATAACCGGGTGGTTAAAAGAGGATATATAAATTCATTCAAATTACAATAACACATATAGTTTTATTCAAATTTGCTCACCTTATCTAATAGCAGGTCGATTAAGTACTTCATCACCCTGTTGTAGGGTGATATGTAACTTCATCACCCTGTTGTAGGGTGATATGTAACTTTATCACCCTACAGCAGGAAATATTGGATGTGAAATAAAAAATTTTGTAGCCAGGAAGATAAAGTTACTTTTTCGCCCAGTTGTAGGGCGATAAAATCAATTTGTCGTCATACAACGCGGGAAATATCGGGTTGGATAAGTTTCCTCAAATTTGAATAATAAATTCTACAAATGTATTCTACAAGTAAAAGAAAAAGTTCTAAAATAATAATAAAATAAAGATTTGCTCAAACTTTGATGTTTCATCTACTATAATATTAAATTAAGCGAGTTTTACTATTAAGTTTTATTAAATCAAAGTTAAATAAATTAGAGTTTTGTTTAGTTTATAAAAGGAAGTTATTACAAACATAAAATAAGTTACGCAAATACATGAAACTATTGTTTTATCATTCTTACTCACTCCATGGTGAATTTTATTTTAAACATGCTATAAAGTAATCATCGTACTATAAAGTTAAATTAGCTGTACATTATAACATGTATGCTATAAAGTTTTGATTGGTTCCCAGATTTTCTCCAAAAAATTTAGAATATTTCCAAAATATATTATTTTCAATATTGTTAAATAAAACTAAAGTTTTAATCAAGTTTATATGTTATTTCTTCTTTCTTAAAAATTTTACTTTATCTAGAAATAATCATTGCAATAAGACAACTCCACTATCTTGGGATGACGTTTGTGTACAATTTATTTTCTCTTTATCTCGAACCACCTTGATAAAGAGAAAATTTCTGTCTAAAAACTTTATAAGTCTTTGAACCAAAATAATGAGGTTATAAAGGGTTTTTTTGTTTCAGCATTAAAAATTGATACTCAACCTTACATAATTTTTTATGTAAAACTTTAAAATAACAAAACAATTCAGAAGAAAGTAGAGTTCCTCTGAAAATTTTATATTTGATACAAATTTGGAAAGTTCAACATATTTTAATTTTCATTAGATGTAATATTCTATTTTACTTAATCATTCATTTTTGTATTTATTCAATAACTATAATTTACGTATATTAAGTTCCTCTGAAAATTTTATATTTGATACAAATTTGGAAAGTTCAACATATTTGAATTTTCATTAGTTGAAATATTTTATTTTACTTAATCCTTCATTTTTTGGATTTATTCAATAACTATAATTTACGTAATTTTATACATTTACATTTTATACATTTACATTTCATAGCCCATTTTTTCAAAGATTATTGTCGTGATTGCTCGAGCTTTATTTATTTAAGAAACCTGAATTAAGCTTATTTTTTCCTTTTTTTTTTAAATATTTAGAGGATTTATGATATTAAATACATAAACGAAGAACTTGGTATAACAAATCATAAATAAGAAGAAATCTTGTAGTTAAAATAAGGAACAAAAACAGGTTAGTGAAGCAATTTAGGATTTTAGGAACAAAAACAGGTTAGTGAAGCAATTAAGGATTTTAGGAACAAAAACAGGTTAGTGAAGCAATTTAGGATTTTAGGAACAAGGTCAAAAAAGAAAGAACTTGGAAAATTTGAGGTAAATTAAGAAAAAATAACCAATACATTAACGAAAAAGTTGGGTTGGGTGAGTTAGGAACAAAAAAATAAGGAACATTGAATATTGAGCCAGCTTGCAACACGCAAAAAAAACTTTCATAACTATTTAGTTCATAATTAAAATATTCAAGGTTGCCATCAAGAACTGTCTTAATTCTATCTGTTGCGTCTATGAGGAGAAAATTGTCAAAAACGACTCATACCAAAGAATGTAGCCTCAATACAAATTCAGAAAGTTGCAACATTCCACTCGGATCATAATATAATCAATTTAATTCCAAACAAATCATTCAGATGTTACATCCTATAATCATCGATAATTTTTTGACGCATTCGTATATAGTTCATATTTCATAAAAAAAATGTTATATACAATTTACTTGGAACGCCGATTAGTTGGCTGCCAGGTGTCTCTGCTCTCGATGCTCTGAATGATTCCACGTGGCAGAGACACCTAGCGGAAAAAAATCGTCGTTTTAAGTGCATTGTATATAAAACAAATAACAAATTTTATGAGATATCAACTATATACGAATGCGTCAAAAAATTATCGATGATTATAGGTTGTAATGTCTTAATGATTTGTTTAGAATTATATTGAGTTTTTACGATCTGAGTCGAATATTGCAACTTTCTGAATTTGTATGGACGCTACGTTCTTCGGTAAGTATCGTTTTTGACAAATTTTTCCTTATAGACGCAACAGATAGAAGTAAGATTATAATAGCAATCACCATCGACAATTTTTCGCCGTAAGCCTATACCCTCTTTCATTTTTCGCGAACACTACCTTTAAAAAATATTAACTTACTGTATTTAGATATATTTATTATTCATTATTGATATCAATCTTATCTTCAGTTTTCATGCCTAGGTACTTCATCTCTGGTTTGAGAGTCTCTGCTCCGCGGAGAAATCTATTGAGAAGTTCTATTCTCCTCATGCTATCCTGGCTTCTCCAGGTAGTGAAATATACAGGAAGAAAACATTCAGGTTCAAGTTCTATTCTCTTCATGGTTTCCTGGCTTCTCCAGATAGTAAAATATACAGGAAGAATACATTTAGATTAAGTTCTTTTCTCCTCATGGTTTCCTGGCTTCTCCAGGTAGTGAAATATACAGGAAGAAAACATTCAGGTTCAAGTTCTATTCTCTTCATGGTTTCCTGGCTTCTCCAGGTAGTAAAGTATACAAGAAGAATACATCCAGTTTCAAGTTCAATTCTCATGGTATCCTGGCTTCTCTAGGTAGTAAAATATATAGGAAGAATACATCCAGGTTCAAGTTCAATACTCCATATGGTATCCTGGCTTCTCCAGGTAGTAAAATATACAAATAGAATACATCCAGGTTTAAGTTCTATTATTCTCATGATATTTTGGCTTCTCCTGGTGGAAAAACATATGCATGAATAATTCCTCCAAGTTCTCCATATTCAAAATAATTTATGCTTCTAAGAGCATATTTTTCTGACAATGTTTCAGGTTGGGTTCTGGTAAAATGTGAGTTACGGGTTCTTTCACAGTTTTCTTTCCAGCTCTCGCCTAATTGGGAAATCACTGGCAGGTAAAAAAATTTTTTCCATTACTAGTTTGTCATGCCCAATTTACGAAAATACCCTCTGAAACTCTATCTTAGTAACAGTGCAGAAGATATATATTTTTAAAAATCAGAGTTTTACCATTTTAAGGTAGAAAATAAATTATCTTATTAATCTTGATGAGAGAAAGATATTTAGAGTAACGTTGTGAATGAGTTACGTGAAATGTATAGTCCTTTGAAAGATATTTGAATATTAGTATTTATAAAAGTCCGGAATTCAAAGAGCAAACCAATCAATAACAGGGTTTCTAAAAATTTCGTAAAAATTGCAAGAAAATTCTTTATAAAATTCTGAGAAAAAAAATCTGAAGGCTCGAAGAAAAATTTTCATTAGTGTAATAACATTTAATAAAACACTCATTTAGAAGCCCATAGCTTCAGTGATCAAACTACAAAATCATTATTGAAAGATTATTATTTTTCAGCACCGAGGATTCAATTCCACTGAGGGAAGGAGTTCGAGATATGTTGGTTAAACATCATCTATTCTCCTGGGATATATAAACATATGTTCGTGATATGCTGGTTAAACATCATCTATTCTCCTGGGATATATAACCATATGTCCCAAATATGCTGGTTAAACATCATCTATTCTCCTGGGATATATAAACATATGTTTGAGATATGCTGGTTAAACATCATCTATTCTCCTGGGATATATAAATATATGTCCGAGATATGCTGGTCAAACATCATCTATTCTCCTGGGATATATAAACATATGTTCGAGATATGCTGGTTAAACATCATCTATACTCCTAGGATATATGAACATATGTTCGAGATATGTTGGTTAAGCATAATCTATTCTCCTGGGATTTGTAAACATATGTTCGAAATATGTTGGTCAAAAATCATCTTTTCTCCTAGGATATATAAACATATGTTCGAGATATGCTGGTTAAACATCATCTATACTCCCGGGATATATAAACATATGTTCAAGATATGCTGGTTAAGCATCATCTATTCCCCTGGGATTTATAAACATATGTTCGAAATATGTTGGTCAAAAATCATCTTTTCTCCTAGGATATATAAACATAATTTTGAGATATGTTGCTCAAGCATCATCTTTACTCCTAGGATATATAAACATATGTTCGAGATATGCTGATTAAACATCATCTATACTCCTGGGATATATAAACATAATTTTGAGATATGTTGGTCAAGCATCATCTATACTCCTAGGATATATAAACATATGTTCGAGATATGCTGGTTAAACATCATCTATTCTCCTGGGATATATAAGCATATTTTTGAGATATGTTGGTCAAACATAATCTATACTCCTGGGATATATAAACATATGTCCGAGATATGTTGGTTAAACATCATCTATACTCCCGGAATATATAAGCATATTTTTGAGATATGTTGGTCAAACATAATCTATACTCCTGGGATATATAAACATATGTCCGAGATATGTTGGTTAAACATCATCTATACTCCCGGAATATATAAGCATATTTTTGAGATATGTTGGTCAAACATAATCTATACTCCTGGGATATATAAACATATGTCCGAGATATGTTGGTTAAACATCATCTATACTCCTAGGATATATGAACATATGTTTATTTGACCTATATTTTAGACATTTTTTAGCTCAAAATTTGTAAAAATATTGTTTTCTTCAAGTTTTGTTTAATCGAAATCGTTCGGGGTGTAGCTTCTGTATAAGTAAATCTTTAACAAAATATATTTGTACATTATTTTTGAGGCCCCTTAAAATAAAAATAAATCTAAAAAACAAACTATACTCTTTACTATTTGAGAATACAAATTAGACTGTTACGTTTGATCATGTAAAATTGTTGTCAAAATAACATAAATGACAATGACACATAATTCTGTGAAGTTATTGATATATCTCTATGTTAAATGAAATTACTAATTTTTAAATAAAACTGAACAAAATTCGTCTTTCATTCTTTAATCTCTGAAAAAAAGTAAATGAAAAAAAGACAGTTATAATAAATGTATTTACATAGATTCTGTATTCATATTTTCGTTTGATCACATTTACATTGAAGATACAGTGGAGGTAGTAATATAATTAATTTATAATTGGGTTGGACTGGATATTAATGTTGGACATGTTCATGTTATAACATACAGGGTTTATCAAGAACTGCGAGACTTGTTAATATTTCGTAATTCAATGGATAAAAAGACAAAGATGACCCATCATATGTACGTACATTGTAAAATATACTGCCCGCAAAGCTGACCGGCCCAACATGTAATCCTACAGTACAGTAAAAAACTGCAGGTTCAACTAATATACTCAGCCCGAAACTTAAAATAAGATATCGTCATGAAACCAAGTATCGTAAACCCGTTCCATGAATGGTGTAAGGCAGTTTTGTAGCTAACATAAATGCTTTTTCAGAATTATTATTTTATTTGGGTTCTTTATTTTCTCCATTTCTTTTAATTTCTTAAACCAAAATCTACACAAATGTATAGACCCCTAAAAGGAAACTTGAGAATTTCGTTTAACGATACTCTCTTAAGTTTCGGGCTCTGGGACGATACCACAGAGCCCAAAACTTAAAACAGGGTATCGTTATGAAAACCAGTTTTGGAACCCCGGTTTCACGAATGGGGTTAGGCAGTTTTGTGGATATCAATATTCTTGTGATGAAATATTATTTTATTTCATTTCTTCATATTCTCCATTTTTTGAAATCTCTTAAATCAAAATCTACACAAATGTTAAGACCCCAAAAAGGAAACTCGGGAGTTTCGTTCAACGATACCCTTTTAACTTCCGGGCTCTGTACATTACAGAACTGTTTTATCGTTCAGTACAGTACAATCAACAAATAGCGGCCCCGTGGGAATTTGATATCATGGATTTTTTTTAAAAATCGGATAAAGATAAAAAGGTGATGTTATTCACTTTGATGAATAGCCCAATAAAGACCACTGTACTAGGGTTTGCAGCGAGAAGGAAAATTCATATTTTTTTCGCATTTCGTTCGCTCGCGAAAAATGCGAAAATTTTCTCGAAAATATTATCGCGAATTGCGAAATTTTCGCGAAAAAAAAAATTTGTTTAGCGAAATTTTGCTTCGTTTTCGAATTTTTCGCTTCATTCATTTTCGCAAAAAAAGCGAAATTTAGCGAAAAAGTTTGCAAAATGCGAATGAAAATTTTCGCATTTTTTCGCGAAACGTTTCGTTCACTGCAAACCCTGAAGCAGTAGAATACTTTTAATTTTTAAATGAAGTGAGCAAAGCCAGGAACTTTTGAATGAGATTGGTCTAAGCTACATACCTAAACCCCATTTTTCAGAAAAATTATATTTTGTATTTCACTAAACATAAATCATTAAAAAGTTGTCAGTTTCAAAGTAGAATTGTCTTACAACATTAAATGTTGCAAGATCAGTTTTCTGAACAATGCCAACAACAAAATGATGAAACGTATAGAATTAACAATTTTTTAAAAATACACCCTAAATCGGAAACCTTAGAAATTTAATCGCTGAAAATAAACACTCATAACTGAGCTCAGTCAGGTGGGGTTTATATCTCTCAGAAAAAAAAGTGTATTCAGGCTTTTAAGCCTACTAAGCATCGTTGTAATGTGTAAATTGGGTACAATAACCACAATTGGGGTCGTCGATAAATCATTTTTCTCTACACTACCGTTTTAACCTTGAAAAGTAGACTTAATATTCACAAATGTCCTCGGTCTCGGTCCAAAGATTCTCAAAAAATTATAAATTATAATTTTGTTTTTACGTTTTATTCCACAGTATAGAGTAAATTATAATTTTGTTTTTACGTTTTATACCACAATATAGAGTAAATTGCGCATTTTCAATTAAAAGATTGAGTATTTTAAAAAATAAATGACGAAAAAACAAATTTGTGAATTTTTTGAAAATCTTGGAAAAGGGGCCGACTTGATTTCACTCAATTTTGAAAGCTAAAAAAGCAATTTTAGCATAAAATATTTCAACGACAATTCCTCCCCCCCCCCCTTTATGGAAATTGTACCTGCAATGAATACTTTTTGGTACAAAAAATCGACATTTGGTGGGTGACAGGACAATTAATATCTTTGGAAACCGCATTTTAGAAAAAAAATGTTTCAGCTACGACCACCCCATTTATGGATATAATTCCATCTAGAAGCATTTTTTAACACAATACAACGATGCTAAAAAGCCTAAACACACTTTTGTCAGAAATACCTTGTACACTGTATAACAAAGGGAGTTTATGGTTCTCTAACATTTAACACACGATTTGTTTCACAGAAGAAGAAACAACATAACTACATTGATATGCCTTTTATACCACAGATTTCCAAATATAATATTGATATATTAAATAAGAAAGACAACTGAAGAAATTACTAAAGAAATATGAATTTGAAGTGAGGTGTGTGTACATTTTTGTATGTGTGGTCAGCACTGAATGGCACAGAATTAACGTTATTAATAATGATAATGACAAATGTAAATTTACACAAGAATCAAAATGTTCAAATGAATCCTATTTCTGATTCTTTAAATAAATAATGAGAAAAAATAATATTGATAATGTATATGCACATCTAAATTCTAGTTTTCACTGTAAGATCTAGAATGTAGGTGTTTTGAAGAAAAACCTCGTATGATCACATTCTACTTAAATAATGAATTTAAAGGATAATGCTATAAAAGATCAAATTAAGTAACAAGCCATGACTCACAAGTCAGTCTGTGCTGTTCTGATGTAAACAAAGTTTAGTACAGTACAGTACCGTACAGTGTACAACAGAATCTGTAGAAAACGTACATGAAGGTTTACATACATTTTTAAAATATTGACTTGTGCTCCGAACAAGTAACTGACTAGGTATCGAACAATATAATTACAAAAGTTTTAACGGATATTTCTAACTGCACAGGGGTTTATAGAGAACAGGTTTTCTGAATCACGGGTTTTTAATTAACTTTTTCCTGAATCAATGTGAGAAGAGGCGCCGAGCATCCTAATTACAGAAGATGGGTTTGGCCTGTGTGGTGGTGGTACTGGAGCAAGGTGGAGCAGTGGGTATGTCGGAGAGTGTGTCAGGATTATGAGGTGTTCCATAGGATGGGGCTGAAATAGCAGAAAGTGGGCGGAATTTTGTTCAAACTCTATAAGAAGATTATGGTGTAACTGGACCAGTAATTGAAAATATATTCCTTAGTGAATCCTTTTTGTTACTTTACAGAATGTGCTGTGCACTGTTTACTTCAGTTATTTAAAACTCAAATTCTCTCTGAATGATAAATATGTTTATAAAGTGCTTTTTAGATTCCTTACCAGAACAGTATGATTTCAAATCCTTTATAAATGACAAACAGTTCCAAGAATTAAATATTTTGTCGAGTTCCATTTTTTCATCTGAGAAACTTCTCCTGTGAGCGGTTTATTTTAAGTATTTCCTTAATCCTTGAAGATTTTCTTCCATGTTCTTCTGGGGTATTTTTTTGCTTTGTTGAAATATAGCTGTAGCACGAGCTGTTCTTGAGAAATGAGTAACTTTGTCCCAAAATATGCGCAGTGTAAAAAAACAGTCTTTAGATTCGTTTCGAAGAGCAGTCAAAGAGCAGTTAACCGAATCTTGTTGAAGAGCATCAGTTTGCTGAATCTTGTTGAAGAGCAATTTACTGAATCTTGATGAAGAGCAATTTACTGAACTTGTTGCAGAGCAGTTTACCGAATCTTGTTAAAGAGCAGTTAACCGAATCTTGTTAAAGAGCAGTTAACCAAAGTTAACCAAATCTTGTTAAAGAGCAGTTAACCGAATCTTGTTAAAGAGCAGTTTACCGATTATCAGTCATTTGATTTAATTTCTCCTCCAGTGAAACCATCATCTGTTTCAGATCTGTGTTCTCTTTCTTCAAATGATTGACCTCTCCCTTGAGCGCGTTATTTTCCTCCTCAAGGTAGCGCGCGCGCATTGCGATCTGATTCTCCTTCAACCGGCGCGCTTCCCGTGAGCGCTTGGCGGCCTCGTTGTTTTTACACCGCTTAGCCCAGTACTTATTGTTTTTAAGCTCGTCGGGGACAAACTGTTTTTTTCTCTTTCTAATAATCGGCTGCGGTTTTAATTCTTCCTCAGAGAATCGGCGGGTAGCGGGGTCAAACTCCTATAATAGGCAATTATTATTTTATTTATTTAATAAAAATTCCTAAAGAGGAATTTTACAATTTCCTATCTAAACGGCCATTTTAAGTTTTAAAAAAAGTTTTTAAAAATGTTTAAAATTTTCTTCAAATGTTTAAAATCTACGAAAATATACGGCCATCGTTTTGAAGTTTCACTTAGTTAACCCGAACTAACATTTCGGACGTTCTGTAAAATATGTTTAGAAACTATTCTAAACCCTATTATCAAAAACTAAATTTTATTTCGTAGGTTCATACCATACAGTGAGAATCAGAAAACTGTGGAATAGGAAGACGATGTTAAAGTAGTTGATGTTGTTACAAAGCAAACTCCTACCTTATCAATTCACTTATTCAGAAATCGGTCTAATTACATTGCTAAGTTGCTATACCTCATGTTAATTTGAGACTGTAAGTTTCGTTTTACTGAAAGCATTCTAATCAAATTGTCGTCTAACAAATCGAGTTTAAAAAAAATAATTAGTTTTTAGCTAAAATAATATCTGTTTTCAGGGTTGTGATTCAATCTTTTTAGAAAAAGGTTGTCCCAATAAAAATGGGAATTATTAATGTTATTAAAATATTCTTCTAAGCTTGATAATAAACGAGTAAAATTTATTTCTGATGTGGTCAAACCGTTTTTACATGTTAACAAGAATAATTTGAAAAGATAACTGTACAGAATTTTTTTGTCTTTTTCTGCAGCTGTAAATTGTTTTATGTTATATAATTTAAAAACTTTTTCAGACTGAAACTCAAATTTTTTTTAACGAGTTTAACGTCGTCGTTCAAGTTTCGTATTTTGTGGGGGATTTTATGATAAATACTAAATATAATGTAGATATAGTTTAGGACGAAATATATAATGTAGATAGTTTAGGACGAAATATAATGTAGATAGTTTAGGAAGAAATATAATGTAGATAGTTTAGGACGAAATATAATGTAGATAGTTTAGGACGAAATATAATGTAGATAGTTTAGGACAAAATATAATGTAGATAGTTTAGGACGAAATATAATGTAGATAGTTTGGGACGAAATTCTTTATTTCTCATAAGTTTTTGAAGGTACAAAACAGACAGCAGCCCACCAGGAGTAGGGGGGTAGGGGGTGGCCCGAGGGGTATTTGGGAGGTTAATGTTTTAAGATTTTAACAACGTTATCAGAGCATGTAAAAAAAGAATGATTCCATGTCGAAACTTAATTACAAAGTTTTCAGGACACCCCATGTAAGATACCGTATTTTGTTTACAAATAATGAGAGTACTGCAATTTCTGGAAGGAGTATAAACCTAAAAACAGCCTGTCAAGCCAAGAATGTTTTGTTTGAACATAGATATGTACTACAATAAAAATTCAGTATTCACACATTTTTTTATGAAATATTCTTAAGCAGAGAAATAGATAAATAAAAGAATGAAAAATATTCCCAGATTTTATTCTCTCAAACAAACAATCTATATTTAAAATATTTCAAATATTTCTATTTAGGGTAAAAATAAAAGTAATTGGAATATATTCACAAGATAGAATATTCTTCAGTATTAAATATAACAAAATACAAATATTATATTTTCTTCAAATAAAAGTTATTTTATGTTGCTTTAAGTACCCCTTCAATAGATGCAGGGTTAACATGTACTTCACTAAAAATATACCCGGCCTTAAAACCTTTTTATGAGAAGTTATGAGGAAAATCTTGTAATAAATGCATTTTTTAATTTCCTTTCTTGTTTCTGATAAATAAATCCGTAAAACACATATGTAACGAAACCACAATAGAAATTTATCCAATTTCAGATAGAAAAACAAGGATAATTCCGTGATTTATGCTTTTATTTAAAGGGTACCGTTGTGAATAAGGCGTGCAAATCTTTCTATGGAGGCTTACTTGAAGAAACGTCTACAGTCTGCTTAAAACGGTAACTGTACCTGTCCAGGAATAGTAGCGATACGAAGGTCGTCTTCAGAAAATTTGACACAAACTGTCGAGGTGAATCCATTTTGGAACATTTGAGAATCATCTCCATCAGACTCATCCTGGGACATATCATGCAGACGTTCTAAAATATTCATTATAGATAGAATTCATTTCACAGGATTATTCATTATACAAGGATATTCATTATACAGGGATATTAACTATACAGGGATATTCATTATACAGGGATATGTATTAAACAGGGATATTCATTATACAGGGATATTCATTATGCAGGGATATTCATTTTAAAGGGATAATCATTACACAAGGATATTCATTTTACAGGGATATTCATTATACAAGGAAATTCATTATACAGGGATATTAATTATATAGGGATATTCATTATACAAGTATATTCTTTATACAGGTATACTCATTATATAGGGATTTTCATTATACAGGGATATTAATTATACAGGGAATTCATTATCCAGGGATAAGCATTAAACAGGGATATTCATTATACAGGGATATTCATTATGCAGGGATATTCATTTTACAGGGATAATCATTACACAAGGATATTCATTTTACAGGGATATTCATTATACAAGGAAATTCATTATACAGGGATATTAATTATACAGGGATATTCATTATACAAGTATATTCTTTATACAGGGATACTCATTATATAGGGATTTTCATTATGCAGGGATATTAATTATACAGGGATATTCATTATACAGGTATATGCATTAAACAGGGATATTCATTATACAAGGAAATTCATTATACAAGGATATTTCTTTATAAAAGGATATGTATCATACAAGGATATTCATTACACAAGGGTATTCACTATTCAGGGATATTCATTATACAGGGATACTCATTATACAAGGATATTCATTATACAAGGCTATTCATTATACAAGAATATTCATTATACAAGGATATTTTTTATACAAGGATATTCATTATACATGGATATTCATTATACAAGGATATTAGTTATACTAGGATATTTATTATACAAGGATATTCATTATACAAGGGTATTAACTATTCAGGGATATTCATTACACAAGGATATTCATTAAAAAGAATATTCATTATACAGGGATAATCATAATAGGGATATTCATTTTACAGGGATATACATTATTATTCATTATTATATATCGTTATTAAGGGACATTCATTACAGTAGTATTCTTTATATAGGTATATAATCAATTTACATGGAATATCCAAGGGACAAAATATCAACCAAAAGCAAAACTTTTGCTTCCAAAACATAAATCAAAATTTTTAACTTAAATAAGAGATAAATAAAAACTAAATAAAAAATGGTTCATTAAGTTTCAGCATAAAAATAAGCAACAACAGAGAAAATTTGAACATTTTTCATTTGTTAAAATAAATCAGTAAATCATGAAGCAAATTTTCAGAACCTGGATCCGGTTTTGGATCCATTTTTATTCCAGGGCGGATTCAGGATCCGGATCCGCATCAAAATTAAACTCATACAATTTACACAGTAACACAATACACTCAAAAATATGATAAATGGGTAAAATTTATTCTAACTGCCCTCATCTCATCAACTAAATGAAGGGGAACAAAATTTTAAAGAAAATCATTGCGAAAATGTTTTCTAAAACATATTTATTTCAGTCTATTTATTTCAAGAGAAGTGTTAAAAGAAAATGCATTTATTAGGAAAATGAGATTAATTAGGGATTCTTTTGTAAGTTTAAACAAAAAGTTTTTTCTTAAAAGTACGAGAAAGAAAATGAGATTATGAAAATTTGAAGTAATTTTAATTTTTAAATTTTTTTATAAAATATATCTTTTTTCCTGCACAAATCAATGTACATAGCTTGTTGTTCATAGAGCTCGAAAAGGGTAAAATATATATTACTTTTTTAAAATTACAAACTAGAAATGGGTTGTCCACGAACTCAAAGTGACATACCATTGAAAGGGAGAAATCTAATTTAATCTAATCTAATAATTTATTTTTCCGTTGAAAATATGACAGGTTGTGCATAAAAATTACATTCTTATTAATTTATTAATTAATTAATAAGAAAGAAGTCCCTCTTCCTCATCGTTACTCAGGTAAAGGCATAACGTGTATCGTTGTGAATCGAGAATACAACCCTTCAAATGGAATATCACGTGAAACTAAGTTGATAGTAGCTTAAAATAAAGTTAAGAAAAACACGAAAATTTTGAAAATATTTAGATATACAGTGAATCCCAGATACATTACAAAGCAAGATTTTTTATAATGTCGTATTGCATATTTAGGATCAAATGCCGCGGAAAATTGAGTTTAATTTTAATATATCAATTGCATTCATATTTCAGGGCTATTAAGTTACTTTAAATTAAAATAAAAGAAGTTTCTATAGAATCATCAAAAAACTTATGACGGTCTATGTATTCATGTATATTGGATTCACTGAACTAGGTTTTCTAGAACCAAATTTAATAAATAGTGAGGAGTAGTTGAATTCCGTAGAGTAAGTTGAACTATTATTAAACTTCAAATCGGTTGTGGTTCAACTACTTCTACCTACTTTTTGTTGTGGTATTGTTATAACGGTAGGAAAGGAAACGCTTCTTTAAGATTTACCGATTTTCTTTAGGAGATGTTTAGGAGATGTTTAGGAGATGTTTAGGAGATGTTTAGGAGATGTTTAGGAGATGTTTAGGAGATGTTTAGGAGATTTTAGGAGATGTTTAGGAGATGTTTAGGAGATGTTTAGGAGATGTTTAGGAGATGTTTAGGAGATGTTTAGGAGATGTTTAGGAGATTTTTAGGAGAAGTTTTAAAAAAATCTTCTTTTTTCGCTAATTTTTATGCTAAAACTTGATGAACCATTCAGGGATAAGGAAATTTTTAATAATATCACTTTTTCCTACAGTTCAGATTTAGGTTTCAGGAGAAAAAGATTTCTTTACAGCTTATGGTTTATATTTCGCCCCTTGGATGGAATTTTTTTGCGGATCTGGAAACGAATTCAGGAATCCGGCTTTGCAGTACGATTATTTGTTTACTATAATTCATTTTTTCTTAACATACGCTTTTTCTTCTTGAAAACTTGAACTACAATTGATTTTACATTTTGATTGTAAAAAATAAAAGTCAATGAAGTGCATTTAATAATACTAATGAATAATGTGAGAATCTCGAGTACAATTTAATGTGCAATGTTAGAAGCTTAATTATACAGTTTTTTAACCTTGTATAATATTTAAATATTATACATTTGGACAGAGGAAAAACAATAAACCCTTCCCCACCTTCCCGAATCCCGTTTTACCCACTAATAACAAAAAAAATCTTACTTTCTGAGTCGTCTCGATCCATTTCTCTTTTCATTCTCTCCATTCGATCCATCCGATCCATTCGATCCATCCGTTCCATTCGATCCATTCGATCCATACGCTCACCCCGATCCATTCGGTCCAGACGGTCAAGTCTCTCCGGAGATTGATTGACCGGCCGGACCAGTGGTCTAACACTAGCCTGAGGTATGCCAGAGTCCCGGGCATGTTGATGAGGAACAACTTGCGGCATGCCTTGATGCGGACTGACATGCGGATGTGGACTAGCATGTGGATGTGAGTTGGCATGCTGATGTGGGGATGTTTCCTAAGATAGAAAGAAGATATAACAGGGCTGTTAAGGGTTTGTCTGCAACTATGAACTGTTTATTAAATTGTCTAATTCTGAACGAAATCAGTCATATCTCCTGTATTACATGCACAAAAAGGAAAATCTCATTGAGGAAATGCCAGGACTAGGGCTATTTTGTCATTATATTTTCATAAAAACATTGCTAATTAATCATGTTTAAAAATGAATGCTGAAAACTATCTCTAAGGTCAAAGACGACTTGTAAGTGTCTGCAGTCAAACATCAAATCCCATTTCCAAAATGTTTTAAAAGTTCTGATTAAGATAAAAAATCATTAGTCAAACTCTATGAAGCTGATTGATTGATTGAATGATTTTCTACTCATGGATTGATTAAGATGGATTTTAAATTACCTGATGTTTTTGGTAAAGCTCCGGTGGTTTACCCACGTGGTGCATTATGGGAGGTCTGATTGGTATTTGTTCTTTTAATTCGTCGATATTGGCCGGCCGAATCATACTGTATCTATCGTGCATATCCTGGAGCCTATCCTGTGTATGCCGAGGATCCCGGCCTCCAGCCATCTCACGACCTCCATCCATCCCCTTGCGGTCAGCCTCCCGACCCCCTGTGTGACCTCGAGGTACTTGATTTCGACTAGATAGTCCGCCTGGGCTCTGCTGCATGATCTCGTTGACCTGGAGTTCCTTTAAGAAATCGTCCAGGTTCATCACCTCCCCCGTCACATTGCTTTCCAGGAAGTCGTTGGCGATATTCTCCAAGCTGAGATTGTTCTTCCACATAGATGGAACTAGAACAGTTTATTATACAACATGGTTAAATTATAAATGAGAAGAGTTTTATAAGCTTTGCATTTGAAGACATTAGGCCGGCTGGAATGGTAAAAAGAATCATGATAAATTATAGTTAGTTAAAGATGACTGTAGGTGGTATTTCAAGTAACACTCCATGCAAAGATGACAATGTCCGATTTACAACGGTACCCTTAAAACCTTTGTCTGATAAAATACAAATTATATATCCATGTTTTTGTTTCTTTTGATAATCAATTTTCATTTGCGGATTCTTTGCAAAATTGATTTACTCATTTCTTGCTTATAAGAAGCAATGGAGAGACTATTGGAAAATTTAGAAAAACGACTGTATCTTTCACATTTTTGATCAGATAAAGGTTTAAAGGAAACCGTTGTAAATTTGAGATGGGTCTCCTTAAATGGAATTTGTAATGTTACTTAAAATTAAGGTTACAGTCCTTTTTAAGCTTTTTCAGTTTACAGAATATTCAGTGGCTTTCATCTTCTCTCATATAATAATTATAACAATAATACCTGTGAACGTTTGTCCCCTGGAGCTCCCATCCTCTGCAAGATATTTCTACTTTGATCCATTTTCAACCCTTCATCCATCATGTCAAAGTCCATTCCATATCCAACCTCCATGAGTAATTGACCTCCGACAATCTTTAAATCATGTTTAATCTCTGTACAGACTTCATCACTTATCTCAGGGAAAGGTTTTCGGGAAACTTTTAAGAACTCGTATCTACACACTTCAATTCTTCCTTGAAACCTACTCAGTTCGTCCTCTCTATCTTCTTAATTCGTCCTCACAAGCTACTCGATTCGTCCTCCTGATGGTCCTCAGTCCGAAATCACAGAACTCTTTATACTTTCTTGGCGTATTCCTGAATCCATAGAAATACTAATTTGCTCTTAAAAACCGGATTTTAGTAAAAATTTCTTAATTTTGCGATTGTCGGAAGTTGATTTGGAGTTGGAAATAAAAGTTTGAACTTGAAGAGAGCAAATTTTGAGCAAATAACTCCGTTATCGTCTCACATTTTGCCTGAAAAAAAAAAACAAGATAAAATTATTAAAAGTCTGATAGAGTTAGAATATAGAATATTTAAAAATGGTAGAATATGTATTTTTCCTTAAACCAGGAAATAAATGCAAAAAAAAGTTTAATTTAATACATTAATAGTTAATGTATTTTGATCTACTAAATAAAAAACTCTTTTTTATATTTAGTTATGAGCTTAACTTGTAAATTTTAACAAACTATTTCTTGGTCAAACAAGTTTTAAAGTTAAATAAAACTGATATTAAAAAAACTAACACCATAAATATAATATATAATAAACTAGCTTGGCAACCTGGCTTTCCCTGCAAACTATTTTTTTTCTTCCTTAAAAGTCCACCTATAACTCGACTTCAAATTTGCAAACCAAGCTAAGAACACTTCCCGTGGTTCTACCGAGTTCCCCAATCAAAATGTGAGGCAAATCTGTCAAGAGGTTCCTGAGTTATGATTGGACATGTGAACAAACAAACAAAGAATATTACTTTAGACATAAAGGAATTGAGTCTTTGGAACAAAATCAAATCTTTAAACCTCAATATCTTTAGAACTCGATGTTGTAAACCTTCGATATTTCAAACTCAGATTACTTGATCTAACAGAATTCATAGTTTGAAATATTTAAGGCCTGCAACATTCGGTTCCAAAGATATTGTGATTAGAAAATCAGAGTTTGTTGCAAAGACTCAATTCCTTTCAAACAAAAAAGTGATCAAAAGGTTCTAGGACAATTATCTAGAATAAACAAAGAGCTTAAAAGTTTTGTTTATATTTCCATTCTTAAAATTGCAGCACACTTTTTAAGAAAAAAATATGTATTTTTTATCAGTCGTTTCTTGTATGTTGTTCCGGGAATTATATAACAATTGTTTGTTTATATAATAAACATCACTACTCTAAAAATACTGGAGTATGATTATACTAGTGTACTGTTTAACCTTCAGACTATCAGCTGATTTTCGAATAATCAGCTGCAGCAAATTGTATTAATTAGTTCACACCAATTTTTTAAAGAATTGTATAAGGTTTATAGGCAATATATAAGATGTTTTAATTCTTTAAATTTGAATTTGAATTGTATCTTGTTGGGCTTAGCTCTGTATGTCAGGTGAAGAATAACTAAAAACCTGTTTTTCAAGCAGTCTGTGCCTCGGTCAGGGCTATATTTTATCTGCTTGAATTGACCAGGGATGAATATTTATTTCAAAAATACATTTACATTTTTTCCTTGAGTTTTTTAAACAAAAATTACAAATTTTTAAAATGTTATTTTTTTATTCCCAACCTGTGTGTACTGCAAATTGACCATTAACTTGCTTAAAAAACAGGAGAGGGAATTTTCCCATTTTGAAATATCCTTTCCTCTATTTACGTTTTGTTGCATATTACAGAGACTGGAAAACAAGAAATAATCTTGAAGAAATATTAGAAATATGACACCTCGACCCTTCATACCGTATTATACATTAGTACAAAACAACACTAGGGAAATAATAAGATTTATAACAAAATATTATCGAGTAGTTTTGTAAGGAAATATCGATTTGTTTCAACTCCCTGTACGTTTTCACGGATTTAAATCGGCTCCCCATTAACTATGTCTAACTCATATCGAACTCCACCTACCAAGTTTAACCTAACCTAACCTATTTTCAGATCTAAAACAATTTTAGGTCGGAAAACCCTTCGGTCAGAATATCCCTTTGGTCCGAAAACACAAAGGTTAGTTTCCTCTAGGTCGGATGAGTGGATACCAACAATTGAACAAATGAAACAACTTGCAGAAACATTACAGCGCGTATACAAAAATTTATCCAGAGTGGGATCAACAAATTTTAATTTTCCAAGGGGCTCATCACCCATATCCCCCCCCCTCCCTATATACACCACTGAAGACATATTCGTATTTTATAAGAATACTAATTTCTCAATTTGAACCCAAAATCCAAAACATTTAACAATTTTGGCCCCCCTCCCCTTTCTTTTAAAAATAGTAATCTTATAATATTTTATTTGCTTATTTAAAAAAATAATTTAAGAATTCTTTAATTATCAGATTGTAAGTATTAAGGACTGTTGCAAAAAAATGCACTTATTCGGACGTCTCAACTCTCTGAAACTCTCTAATTAAAAACCACTGACAATAATATGCACATTGCGGACACATTTGAGGGCGAACTAGTCAGGAGACTGTCAAAAACTCTCACACAAGTGTGATATACATACATGCATTCATTGCAGATCTATATAACGCTAGAAATTGATAAAACCTGCTTTGCAGTGCTAGCTGGAGATCTGGAAAATTGTCAAAACCAAGCTAAGAACATTCCCGTGGTTCTGTCGAGTACCCCGGAATCAAAATTTAAGGAAAATCGATCCTGTAATCTGCAATAGTTGCTTTTAAGACTTGTGTTCACATGTCTAGTCGACTATTTTATTACGTAAAAATGTTTTCTTACCATTTTGTCCTTAAAAGGCCAGTAAACGCAAATAGATTATCAAGTACAATAAGTGGCAACAGAGAACCAATTATACACGACGTCACAAGTGTCAAATATAACAAGGAAAACGAAATTTTCTCACATTATTTGACATGTTTTCCAAGATTAAATAAAAAAGTTTAAAACAGAAAATAAAGAACAAATAAAATTGCCCTTATTTTACTGTAAGATTAGCACTTTATTCTAAAATTAGCACTGTTAATAATGATGCTGTCGAACAAAAAAAACTGAGTTGACCCTTGTGATGTAAGAATACAGCTGTACTGAGAGTGTACAAATTCTACGTTGCCATCTATTGTACTAGAAGCTATTTGAGTAAACGCAATTTCACTTGTCTTTCCTTGTATAAAATGCAGTGGCATGCCTAATTCACAACGGACTTCTTTAACCTTCTTCTCTTCAAATTTATGGAAATTTCCCTTTTTTTCAACCTTAAATTGATTGTTTTCGACTGAGGTTTTCCTTATAAGTGACTTGCAGATTTATGATAAAAGAGAAAGGAAGGAAAATATAGAGAAATGATATCTTTTCAAGAAAACAAAACACAATCAATATCTTCCCCGTTGTTAATCCCATGAAGGAAGAGTATAAGAGTATCGTTGTGAATAGAACATATTACATGTTAAATTGAGGCTCACTTATAGGGACAGACAAATATAATGATGAAAAGGAAATAATTAATTCTAATTTCGATTTATTGACAAATTTCTTTTGAGAAATATGTTCCTAAACTACTATAATTAGTTTACTATAAAAATTTTACTATATTTTTCGTCGTCTTTATTTAACAATAACAAAACCGATTCTGAAAACGTACCCACCCACATTCATGATTTGAACGTCGACTATGCACTCAAACTCAGTAACTATACATCGTGGAAACGTTTATGTGTCTCAAATGAATCCTAAAAACAACACGGCATACTCAGTTTAACTACCTTACGTTATAGCCAGTCTGTCCCTTTAAAATTACTTCAACATAGTCCTAGATTATATAGATGCCAATATTTTTGTTGATTCACATTTTAATTTTGTACTCTCTTAACTCTTAACATTATCAGTAAAGACTCAAGAAAGGCACGTAACTCGGTCCAGTTAAGTGTAATATGAATTAACCTATATAATCAACCTCCTCGCTCACATATACATAAATAGATATCTTAGCTATAGCTGGCCAGACGTCTGGACCAAATTGACTGATATTTTTTGAGGAAACACAAGTTATTTTGTACAAAATTCGTTTTTTAATTCCACGGGCAACGCTGGGCGCTGTAGATATGTAGATAGAAAATTTCGTTTTATATAGGATATTCTGTGAGTGTGAGTGCTAAGTAATGCGCAGAAAATATAAAAATATAATAATAATGTTAGTCTTCTATATAGTCTTCACTCATATAATCTTACAAGAGTTGATTATAGAAAATACACAAGGTACCCCAGTATTTTTTATCCTCCAAGTTACTGCCGCGTACACTTATTTTGTAAACAAAGATTTATATGAATGTTTCTTTAATAAAGAAAAATGTATTATTTTCAAATCGTATAAGATGTTGGAAAACCAAAACATTCCAAATAAGTTTTTCTGAACAGGAAAATCCTATTTCAGCTTCAGAGCAGCAGTAGTTTATATCACAGTTTTATTTCATGAATCCCTTCAGGACATTTGTACATAAATGTGCAGTACGTTCCAGGACAATTTAGTAAATCTGTATTTTTGTTTATGCAGGGTGACCCCCCAAAATTATGACTGTAACGACGACCAAAACCTCTTGAAATATGACAGTATCATGGATTAATTTTATCTTCTACCTTAGATTTAGTTTTTTAACGACTTATTTAATGATAACTCTATACACTATAACCTCGTTGACTGGATTATAAACAAAAATAGAGAAACCTTTCAATCTTTAAATATTGACGTCAGAAAACCATTAAAATATCAGAATTGATAAAAATATCCACTTGATTGACCCCCCTCCCCTCCCC